TCTTTGCCTGACAATTTATGGCGATGCCCTCGATGGTTCTGGACCCCGGGTGTTCCTTCCTGCCTCCCGGACTGCATGTGACTGGTTGGATGGATCCCGCCTGTTGGGAACAGACAATTTCGAAGCTGTGAAGTTTACAATATTGGCCAAGGATTCAGGAGAGAACCTCGCCCCTTCACCGACCAATCCAGCCGAAAGTATATCATGGTGAGATGAGAATACTCTCACTTAATTCTTCGACAACCGCATGATTCAACTCCGACTCTCACTTTTTGTCGCCTCTAGCTTTTAGAAGGGCTAGTCCCAAAGTGCCGCGCATTTGGGTTGCCTAATATTGTTGCTGTTGAGTTTCTCGAAATGCCGCTGGGATTTTGATAAACAGGCGGTGACCAGATCGTCGGTGGTTCGGAAGCCTGTGCCCTCTGATGAAGACCATCATTGGAAGGTGGCGCTCTCAAAGCGGGGATCTTTGCTTCTTCGCCCCTCTATCCTCGCCGTGCAACAGAACCGACGGAGCCCAAGGGAGAACAATGCACAACGGCTACGGATGCATGAAATACTTACAGTCCTTCAACTGGCGGTGCGGCGCGCAAATGTCTCGTCCTAAACTTCTTCGTACGAAGTACAATGTCTGCCTGTCTAGCACTTAATCGGCGACTGGTTGATTTATCTCCACTACAAGTGCTTGCAGGACGTGGTGCATTAGTGGGAAGGGTTGGCCAGGTGCCAAAACCACCCACCGCCTTTGCCTGAGCTGGCCCCATTCGAACCCCTTCAGTCTCGTCTCCAGTTCAAATGTGTGAGAGAGAGGGAGAGGCGGGAAGTCGAACTAACGATATCGAACTAACAATCGGGCATCGTCAAGACCTCGACTAAGAGTAGGCGTCATATCAGGGATATTGTGATGTGCTCCCTGCCAAATATCCTGACTACAATCTTGGTAGATTTGGGTGATGATAGGATTAGATGAGATCATGGTGGTCTTGTCCAAGAAGGCAATCCTACTCGGAGGGTCTCAGTCTTATCCGGAACCACACATCAGGAATCTTTCCGCACAACCGTGTTTGAAGTCCCGCACCACCACCACATCAGAGCAATTACCATTTATCAGGAACAATATAGACCCGATCAAAGCGAAATCGTAGTTAAACCATCCCCAAGGCGCCTAAGACTGTCTGTTCCGCCTATGACGATCTCGCCTGTGGGAGACTGGGAGACTGAGCGCCTTCTTCTGCCGCCCTGGCCAGCCAGACGTGCCGTCCGCAGATTAACCCGGCCGTCCAAGCCGCAATCAATGTTAATCAATCCATGACGCTGGGAGGGAAGGCTTTAAAGGAGGGATGAGGGGAGCTGACACCTTTTCTTTTCCGATACGGATGGTTCCTGTTTTGTGTGACATCCTGTATGAGCCAGATCACCTCCTTTGTCTGACCTTTCCCATATTAAACGGGCAATCAACACCGACAGGTCAAGCGAAGAAAGGATGGATGATGTGAGGGACATCAGAAACAAGTTGCCGCCTATCCCCGCCCGATAACCTTTCCCTTCTTTTCTTTTTTTTTTTGGACTAAACACCGAAACTGCCTGAGAGTTGCCCCAGATGGAATCTCGGGATCATTTGGTCTTCCGTTACCTCCCGTCCCCCTGGTCGAGGAGGGGGAGATAAGATGAAAAGGGCAAAAGAAAATGAAGAAATAAAAGCAAGACAAAATTACTAGCGACGAAAGAGGGCGAAGTTTCTTTTCTTGGGTGGATCTTGGCAATGAACAATAGACCAGGGCACTTACAACGTCTACGAAAGTATCAAGCCTTCTTGGTTGGGAGAGGCGGTCCGATATGGGCGTACGGAAGTTTTGCAAGTCGCCAAAAAAACCCACTCACATCAATCGCTAAGTACGAAGTATGAAGTACTCAATACAGCGCAGTTGTATCTGGCCAGATCCAGCCTTTTTGCCCACCCGCACATCGCCGAAACTTGGGAACTAACTTGTCATTCGCCCATTGACAGTGTCTGAATTCAAGACTTCTCCCCTCTCTTGTTGCGGCTTTTTCTTTCTTTTTCTGTGCATCTCCGTCTTGGCAAAGTAAAAACCGCCACTACCACTGCCACTGCCAGGCTGAGCCCAGTCGAATTGCTTCGCAGTGGCAACTCCTCTCGGACCAAGGCATCTTTTTTTCAGACTGGGGAAGAAGACGTCGCCGGGAAAGCCCCGGTTTGGCGGTGTCTTGCACCCGCCTGCGAGGGTAGCATGCGTGCTACGTGCCGTCTCTCTTGGGACCAAAAGTGCGGCAGGGAATTCTGAATGCAGATGCGTCTCTGCAACCACTCTAGAGAGAAGTGGAATAGCACATCGATTTAAAAAAGACGTTGGACAGGACATTAAGCCAAAAATGTGCCTTCTACCCCTCTTTACTTCGTACTTGTTGTATGTATACTCCAAACAGCTGCTCACCGCTGGCATCGATCATCAATCAATGTCATTTTCCCCCCTTTGCCCGTGTCCAAAATCCTTTTGAAAGTCACGTCATCCGTCCAAGTACAATAATATTCTCGATTTACTCAGCACTTCCACCAGATGAATTGTAAAGCTGCTGCACCGGGGAAAATAAGCTATGTTAGCACTTGTTAAGAACCAGTAAGGCTGGATTAAATTTCCTTCGTATTGCATTGCAGATCGATCAGTTATGTACGTACGTATTATGAGTGGTCTGGCCAGATCCTTCCCCAAGCTGGGAATATCCAGTCATGTCGCGGAAGACCACTTTCTCGAGGTACAAAAACGAAAGTATGAGGTACCGGGCCAATCTTGCATCTGCTGGCGATCCGGCGCAAGGGTACTGATTTTCCGTGGTCGATGCGCCAACCTTGATGGGGTTCTTGGGCTGGGATTGGCCGGGCAGCTCATCAGTCGACTCGAAGTGGGATTGTACAGTCTACATCATTGGCTTTGTTACCCTGTATTATTGAAGCCATCAATTGATCAATTTCATAGCCGAGAGAGTGCGAGATTGCATTGAAGTTTGAACCTTTTACCTTTTCACCTCTCTCCAACCTATGACCTCGAAAAAAGACACTTTGATGTGCCACTTCCATCTTCCTCTAACCTGATACCACCAAGAGCTATTTACGGCATTATTGCTTGCTCGAATTATAATACCCCCCCGCGCTCAAGCTGCCTCATCCCCTCCTCCTCGCTTCGCTCAACTACACTACCCCTCTTCAGTCCAGCTGATGTTGATGTTTGCATTGGATGGAGGGTGAGGCCACGCCGCTCTTCACGTCCTCCACTCTAAGTGCGTGCTCGTCCTATTGTCGATCCGAGCTCCATTTTTCTTCGATTTTTTCTTTCTTTTTCCAATCTCCGGCTTCCCACCCTGGCCTATGAGCGCGTCGGTGGCCCTGGTCCATCGTTGATCACTTCTCTCCTATCTCCTCGCACTGGTGCACTCCACTCCATCCATATCTCCCCTCCTTCGTGTGCTGTGCTGTGCTGTGCTGTGCTCGCTCAACCAACCTGACTTGACCTGGGTTGGAGTCTCCCAATTACACCAGGTGCTCCTCCAAGTTCTTGAGAGCACGCCGCGCCTCCTCCACGCTACTGTACCCGCCAAGGTATAGTCTACCCACCCATCCACCCCTCCTCCTGCACTAAGCTACTATCAACCCGGGCTTGTGCCAATGATATGCCACATCTCTCACCTCCTGCCTCGTCTATTCCCGTTCCTTCTCCCCCTCGGTCGTAAACATTTGAGGGACAACATCCGGCCGTCCTTCTGCAGGCTGAGACCGAGTTTGTGTATGCTGACAGGTGTGCCGTCTTTGTAGACCCGAACAAATCCGCCTTGGCCTTTGGGCGGTGTCACCAGAATATTCGTAACCCCCTCTCATCTTCCCGTCAACTCAATCTCTCCATTCCTAGATCCTTATTCTCTTACCCCCTTTTTCTTTTTTTTTTTTATCTTACGGAATACCTCCTCGAACCGTGAGCGTCGACCCCCCAATCGCGATACCTACAGCGACCGACAACTACCAAAAGCCGACCGGACCCGTGCATCGGACGAACCACTCTCATCCACGCACTCCGTTTTGACGTCCGCGGGTTTTCACCCCCAGGAACCACCGGCCGAATCATCCGTCCGTTCATTCATAAACCCCTCAGCCAAACAAGCCAACCTCACTCCGCGCGTGCCGGTGCAACATTTATTTATCGGCCTCTTCGAGCAAGCTTGGAGTTTCCTACCTGTGCTTCTTGTGACACTCGACACGGCAGCACTGATGCGCCAAGTTTCCCCAGTGTCTTGACCAACGCAGCGTCTCGCCTGTCACACAGTTTCTTCCTGGTTTCTTGTTTCGTCACTGGTTTCACCGTCTCTTGGGATTTTCCCCCTCCCTCCCTGGCCGTCTTTTACGTTTCGCGAAATTCAAACGCATGTGACAGGACAGCACCGTGTCTTCTTCCAAATGAATTTATCTGCGCCGCCGACACCCCTCGCCATCTTCTTCTGAACTGGCGGTTCCTTCGAACGGCTCTAGACTTGGCTTGGCGGCCTAGGCCATTTGACACCACATCTCTCCCAATCCCCCCGTCGTGTGTCTTTCTTGGTGTCCCGTGTTGTTGAAGGGCCCCGAGATAGTCTTTTGTTGAAAGTCTAGTGCTGGTGTTACTGGCCCTTCCCCGTTACGCCATCAGTCGAATGAGAGATCCTACGATTGGTCGACCGGCTTATACTCGAGAGAAGAATCCCCGAGCGAGTCTGGACCGCTCCGATAAACGGCAAGAGGGCCCCGACTACCTAGGACCGTGCTTTTGATTTTATCATACGTGAGCGCATGGCGGAAGAGTTGACGAAGCTGTAGAAAGGACTGAGGAGAGGACGAGCAAGGAAAAATCTACTAAGCTAGACGCTACCGACCTAATCCCCCCCTCGAGATGGCTTCGTTTTCGGATATCTCGATACTAGGATCTGCGAAACTCACAAAATCTCGAAGCAAACCGACGATGAAGCCGATATTGAAAAAGACAAGCCATTCGGAAAAGAATTCTTTAGATTTGGATCGCGGTTGGGAAGAAGCAATACATTATGGAAACCATGGTTGGGGTGGGAGTTCTGGATTTGGGAAGCCGAACTCGCTACGGAACTATGAGAATCGGTTCGGAGGAGGAGGAGGAGGAGGAGGTTTGGGAGGAGGTGGAGCGGCGGGAGGCGGCGGTCTGGGTATCAACGAGGCAGGTGCAACTATGGTTCGCGGCGGTAAGGACGTGAGCTTCAGTCTCTCAGCAACGGACTTGAGTGGAGCGGGACCTGGGGCTGGCTCTCGAAAATATTCACATGCTCGCAGCACCAGCGGAACGTCCGTAGCTACGTCTGGCAGCGGACACCTTGGTGGCATTCGAAGCGGCTCTTTCGTCCACCCTTTCCAGCAGATACCGCGTTCATCTACACCCCCCCTTTCCTACGCCAACTCTCTCACCTCCTTCGAGACCTCGAACCTGGTCCGCGATTATTCCCCGACAATCACGGAGGACGAAGACCTCGACCCTCAAAACAGTCTCAAGAATTACTACTCAACTCAGGCTTACCCCTCATCTCTGAGGCGACCGTCCGTCGCCAGCCAGCCCAACTCTTCCCAAACCGACCTCACAGCCCCTCCTCCACTTCGAATCAACACATCTCAAAGTAACGCAGCCACCCCCGCTACGAGGCTGGGGCGGGGTATGCTAACCACGAGCAAGTCCGACCTGAGGCTTGACGCTCTATCCCCTGCGCAAGACTCACCCATCTCATCAAGCGTAGCTGTTGCATGTGCAGTAGCCCAATCAGTTACCTCGCCCGTGTCATCGGTCGCCCCTACGTTGTCACCTATTCGAAGCTCACTCGAAATGAACTTTCGCCTACGATCCCGTTCCGAGCTCGATACCGCATCCCGCCAGGAGCAAATCCGAAGGGCTCGGAGAGAGTTTGAGGATAAGGAAGCCCAGAAGCAGGCACTGCGCGACGAAAAGGCCGCGCGGAAGCGCGATGCCCAGGTCGAGAGGGAAGCACAGAAATTTGTGAAGAAGCAGAAGCAGCTCGCAAAGTCAAGTGGACTGGCCAGTGGCCGTAACAGCGTGAGCGCCGAAATGCGACCCTCCTATTCCAGGAAGAACACGGCTGGTACCAACGAGAGTCTCCTCGACTCGGAAAAGCTCGAGTTCGCGGCCAGGAACTATGCGGCGACTGCTCCCGGCGCCGCGCCTACTGCTGCGGACACCCAGTTCGACGCTCCGCCGCGCCGGATTCATTCTGCGCGACGTAGGACGGCGTCGGCGTGGACGTCCTTCATTCTTTGGGTCAGGACTAAGCTATTCAAGGCAGGTAGACGCTAGGAGGATCTACTACGCGAATCTGGCCTTGTCAAATCTGACCTAGATCTCCTGGAGAGAGACCCAGTCGTCTGGCTACAAAGAAATGTTGTCGGCCATGAGTGGTTCAGCACAGGGCTCTCACAGTCTCATCCCGGACCTGATAGAGACGCATCCACGAAGGACAAAGAAATGTTCATTGACAGACCATACAATGGCAATGGTTATGGTGATGCCGAGGGCAACAGAATCAGCAGGCTCAAGGAGCGTTTGGGCAAGCAGTCTTCTGAGCCATCCAGCACCCCTCACAACACAAGCCTCTATTCCATGGACCTAGCCTTGACCCCGGCCTCGGCCTCAGCTCTTACCTTAGACCCACGAGAAGAAGGCGACTCCTATCAGTTGACCATTGACGGTCAGCGTGTGACGATCTCCAGGGATGGACGCACCTTATTTCATACCGACTTACAGGGCCATCCTGATATAAATCAGGTTACCAACCGCGCTGCCGCATCTTTTCCGTGATGGCTATCCCCTCCTTCCCGCCGATCTACATTTGGGCCCGACTCATCGCCTACCTACGTCATACGGCCGTGAGGAATACAGCATCGCGGTTGATCGATCCTCCCCACTCTCTCGTCCTTGCCTCGGTAGACATCCTATAGACATATAGATCTATACCCGTCTTTTGGGGGGCGTCTCTATTATTCCCTGAATGACATACTCCTTCATTCCACCCTTCACCCCCTCATCCCCCACTACGACCTCATCTCTTACTACGACACCGCCCAGAAAGAATTCTTACGTTTCCAAGTTCAACGACAGCATTTACGATTTTCATGGGTTTTCTTTTCCTCTTCCTTGAATGTTTTTTGTCTTTTTTTTTTCCCCTTCTCCTCCCTCGTTATATCGACCGGGAGCTAGCCTAGCGCCGGAGTTCTCGGGTTTTTAAGATGATTTATTTTTCTGCTTCTGCTTCTGCTTCTTCTTTTCATGAATTGTTATGGTCTTTTTTTTTTTTTTTCGGTAGGAAAGGTCAAGGAACCCCGGAGGAAGGGGTCATCGAAATATACACGCATAAGATTAACGGGTTTCATCTGATGTTTGCGCGCTTCACTTCTTCATTTCTTCACATCTTGTTCGTCTTTGATTTGGGGATAAGCCGGGGCTTGGATTGCCCGGGCGGTGTCATTGGCGTTTCTGTCTGGTAGGGAATTTTCGATTCTCTTGGATGGGATGGAGCGGGACAGGTCTGGCTGGGTCTCTCAACTCCTGGTGTCTCTCGCTTGGCCATGGATTGGTGGGCGAATCGTCTGGTTAAGAGCAGTGCTATAAACCCTTTGGATAGGGTATACAAATGATACAAAGCTTTCTGTGCAAAACCGATCAGAGCTGTTCCGCGGCGTAGAGGGTAGAAGCCTTGTCGTCGTCGAATGTGAACACAACTTTGGTGCGCTTTCGTTCAAACGCGTCGTCTTTCGGGTGATCCGGAATGACAGGGCCTTAGATTCGAGTAAGACGTGAGAGGAACAAAGGAGCAACAGAGGAGGAATAACGTCGAGGGACGGGGTGAATTAATAATACATTGATATCTCTAGGCAGCCGTGATATGCGACCAATGCGAGACATCAGGGAACATTGTAACCGAACATGGAGGGGCATTGCAGACGCTTGAATGGAAGACAGTTGAGTCAAGAGAGCGTTGAGTCCGTTTCCTTTTTTCAACGTTATCGGTCTTATTGGTGTCTGTTTAATGGTTCCGATGTCATTGATTGCTCGACATTGGAGAGTACAATCTACACTCTCGTCCTCGTCACCGTTTCTATTCTCAGTCCTCCTTGGGTGGATTGGGCGACGATACAATTGTATTGAGTGGATGTGCCGGCTCCGGCTGACTAAGCCATAACGGCAGTTCATCCACGTTCGCGACTAAACTCACTACGACATCGCAACTTCATCCCCCCTTCGAGATGCAGTTGATCACTCAACCACCACGAACCGTCTGCGCCGACAAGGAAACGACCTGTCGGAGAGATGCTCAGACCGTCTGACCGCGATGGGCTATGACTGGGCTTGCTACCAGGAAACATGTTACCGGTTATATATCCAGGAGAAGAGGTCCCTGGAGGACATTATGCGGTACTTCAGGCTCCACCATGACTTCACGCCGAGGTGAGTCACAACCGCCCTTCGTTGCGTTGCCCCCCCTAAACACCCTAACACACTCACACCCCCCCATTTCCAAGCCTTTTGCTAGTTGTATCCACCGTAACCATCCCTCTTTGGCCCCATCATACGTCTTTTTTTGGTTTTGCCTGCCTGTGGCTTTTCACTGGCCTATCGGTGCCTGCTTCCGGACTTCATTACTGTCATAGTATTTATTATGTACGAGATGGAGGGGAGGGGAAAGATGAGGGGAGGAGGCTTGGGAAGCTGTATATGGGCTTAACGGGGAGTATACCTACGAAAGTATATCTCCGCGCAAGACGTTGGGCAGGCTTTCTTCATTCACGGCGCAGCACAAAACCGTCCATATACCACCGTTAACCAGTACACCTTTCCCTCTACAATAAACGTTGTTGTTTTTCCCCAGGGCTCCCTTTCCGGGGTATTCTTTTCTATCGGACGAGGCTCCGAAGTTTGCCTACTTGCCCTGCCTTTTTATTTTGTCCAAACAACTCAAGCAAACCCAGAGAAGGCACAACAAAAAGAGCGCTGTCTTTGATGACTTCTTTGATAATCTCGAAATGCTTATCATGGATGCCGATCAAAACTGGAACTGGGATTTGTCTTTGACTTCTGATCCTAACATTTCATCACCAAACTATAGCAAGCGAGCGTTCCAGAACCAGTTTAGGAAGTGGGGTTTCCCACTCAAGCAGAACCCCGTGTACCGAAACGATGAGCTGCTCGCGCGAGTCAAGGAGCTCTGGGAGCAAAACCTCCCCCAGAGGGAGATGCTGCGGATCTTGGGCGAGGACGGCTTTGATATCAAGCCTCGAGAACTGGTACGTCTGCGGTCCCAGAATCGGTTGCTTCTTAGAGACCCCAGAGGCGACAAGGCTCAAGGGTCAGGGTCTCCCGGCGGGCCCTCGGTCGAACTTTCGAACGACGAGTCGAGACCATCGAGTCGAGGGAGCGGCCCGAGCACCCCCGCTGCCTCATCGTCGACGACGGCGGCTGGAACAGTCTCGAGCCCCGATCCGATGGCGTCGTTTGGCGAAGATCAGGTCCCTGGACCGGGGCTTTCACAAGACGCGGTGAGTTCACTACCCCCCAAGCCTGGCCGGAAACCTCGGAGGAGGACCCGTCGCTGGGCGGGACAGCCGGCAGATGCCGCCCGACCGCCTCGGTTCCCTTCGGAAACCACCCTCGACGAGGCGAGGTTGATTCTAGGACTGGATAACGTGGGCTACCGAGCCGTGCGGACCACCTTTCAAAGAATCTGCGAGGAGTACGGAGTCGTAAAGAAGACGTTGGCGGGACCCGAAAAATGGGAGGCCATCAAGGACCAGGTCGTTCATGAGGTAGACCAGTTACAGACCCCCATGTGGGACACCAGTCAAGAGAACATGGAACCCAAGAAGTTGGCTCTCGATATCATCTGTACCGACGTGACGAAGCGAATGCGCGATGGCGATAAGCGGATGACGGTCAGCGATGCGAAGAGGATCCTGGTGATCAACCCCGAAGATTCGAGACAGCTGCGGTCGACTTTTTACCAAATCCTCGTGAGCCGGCAGGACCAGTTTACGTGCAAGTCCAAGGCTGGGCCTGAGCAGTGGAACAAGTTGATGACGCAGTGGATGGAAGGTTCCGAGCTGATTCAGAGGCTGTTGCCCGAGGATTCGTCCACACCCGAGTATCAGGAGAGGCGTAAGGCGTTGGATATATTGGCTAGCGATGTCATGAAGAGGTTGAGGGATGAGAGGACGAGGAAGGAATCTTCGTCGAAGAAGAGGAAGAGCCAGACGGCCATGTCTCTCGACGCTGTTTCCGATGATAATGCGAGATCCGATGCGACCGAGACGGTGCCGACGCCTCCTCAACACACACTTTCGCCCAGCCATGCTCTACTTCATGCTTCGTCACCGTCTAGTTTTTCAGGCACGGGAGACCAGATGTCCCACACGCTTGAGGACTACGATACCGTATCGCCGATGTCACAGATGCAGCTCGCCCCAAGTTCTCCCAACAGCTCGATGCACGTATCCGTTGCGGTTGGGCTGCAAGCGCAGGACCCCGCGCTCTCTCCGCCTGACGATAGAGAGCTGGACCATGCACACGGCCACCATAGACTTTTGCCCGCAGTGCTCGATCCCCAGGCAAGCATGTCTCTCGACTCGCGGCTCGAGACGCAGCTTCTCCTGGCGCATAGTCCCCAGACCTCGTTCGTTGAGCAGCACTTCGTGCCTCCGTTCGGCGTAGGGCCAACCGGTGCCGTCTTCCACCCACTAGCCGCCACAGCGCCGACGACGATCGCGGTGTACCTCCGCTTGCACCCCTCGTCGATGTACGTGGCGGGGCCGACTCTTTGGATCGCGACGTTGAGCACGACCTCGCTGGAAGAGCTGAGGCAGGTTGCGGTAGATAAGTTCGCTGATGCGGTCGTGTGCGTGGGAGTAGAGGGTGTGTTGAAGGATCCGAAGGGGGTGGAGGTCCCGTTGCAGATTGATGACGATGGGCAGTTGGGGGCTTATTTGGCTCATATGGTGGGGATGACGCCGACGTTTAATGTGCAGTTGGCTTGGGGGGCCTGAGGAGGAGTTTTCATGATGGTGGATTTGGAGGTTCGGAATCTCTACTCCTCCTTTTGTGATTCAGAGAGGCAATCGAGCGGATCCGAGAAGGGCAAAGGGTGTCAGTCACTGCCACTGCTCGACTCCGGCTTCGAGTTCAACATCATAACGAGGCAGGGTCCACGTTCTGTCATGGATACGACGTGCGACAGACGAGGGAGCCCTGGGGCTCTCAAAGCCCTGACAGAGAGGAAGAAATCTTCAATGAGGATTCTGTGTTCCCCACTTTTGGCTGTCGAGATCCAATGTGATGTGGGACTGGTCCGGCTACGATTGCAAATTCTGGGTGGTCATTTTTGGAGTCTCTTTATTTTTATCCTCCCCTCTTGTCTAGATTTTTGGATGGGTTTTGTTTTTTTGTCCTTCCTGTTTTTTTTACTTCCATTCTCGCGAATGATGGATATGAGATTGCGCATACGTTATGATAGTTTATATACGAAATGGGATTTTGGGATACATTTGCTTCTGTCTTGAATCGAACGGCTTTGCTGAGATTTGAATTCCAAGTTCGGTAAGCAACGTATTACATGGCCGATCAATACGGTCGATACGGGATATATTGGTACTAGTGCTGATCGCCCGTGACGCGTTCTCTCTCCACTTGGTTTGCGTTTCTGGGTGACGAGAGCTGCCGAAATTTGAAGGTAGATCAGTGCCAAGAAGGAAGAATTACGAAGTAGAGGAAGAAGAGAGATCTTCGAAGAAATGAAGAAAAAAAAAATGATTGAAGAAAAAGCGTGTGCCTGTCTACCTCGGCATGTGGGTACGTACAGTCAAAGCAAAAAAGTTTCAATCACTCGACCCCGCTTTACATTTCCCCTCAACAACTTCAAAATCACTCTCCAACTTTAAATAACTATATCTCAGCTATTTTTATATATAAAAATATTATAAAATATTATAGAAATATATAAGAAGTATCAGAATATAATTTTAAAAAGATCTACTAAATTAGTACTTTATATACTACCTATCTATATCAATTATAGCCTCCAGCTATTTTTTTATCCTACCTACTAGCTTCTATAATATCTTAACTTTAATATCTTCCCACACCTCTACTACAGTTATTTTTAGTACTTAGAGACTTCTATAGTTCTTTAGTATATCTACTAAGTCTAGCTAAAGCTTACAAATATATTCTTTAAATACCTTCTATAGGTTTTTAATAGAGTTAAAATTAAATAAATATAGTAGCTAATTAATTAATTTTATTTTATTCTTTTTAGTTTATAAAAATAATTAATTTTAAACTATTTAGATTATATATATAAAAATATTATCTTAAATAAAAATACTATTAGGCTTATATATTATTAAAAGTATTTCTTTAAAGAGATTATAGATAACTTACCTAATAATTTCTCTATATAGAAAATTAAGGTCTCCTTAGTATTCTATTAATATAATATACTTACTAAATAAAAATATAATTTAAAATATCTATAAATATCTTATTAGCTTACTCTTTAACTAGATTACTAACTTCTCTAATTATTTTCTTTATTTTAAATTAATTAATATTAGCTTTTAAATTAGAATATAATTAATATATTTATAGAAAATCTAATTTTAATATTACTTTTAATTATATATAATTATAATCTTATTATTAAAAATAACTTATTTTTACTATAATATTTCTTTACTTATATATTTTTTTATAAAAACTAGCTTCTTTTAAATATATTCTTCTATTAATTTTAATTATTAGAATACTACTTTATATATAATATTATATTATTAAAAGTATAATATTAAAGTAGTATTTATATAAATAATATTAGCTTATTTCTTAAGATTTTAAATAGAAATAAAAGGGTTTCTCTTAATAATTAAGAGAATATATTTAATTTAGTTAGGACTGATATTATATAGCTACCTAGATTATAGTTCTAATTTTACTAAAGCTTAGTATCTATATCTAGTTGTAATGCTATTTACTATACTAGATGTAATATTATATTTGGCTACAATTGTAAAGTGGGAAATACTGATTCTATACTTATATGTAATAAGAGTCCTCTTATGAGGCGAATGATGTGTTTTTCTTCTTTCTAGAGCCATTTCTGGCTATGATGTGATTTTTTGAAGTTGGGGATAGGTAAAGTAGGTGATGCGTTCGCGGCGTGTAATTAAAAAAGTGATCGAAACTTTTTTGGCCCCACTGTAAGTTCAAACAAAATGCCATCTTCTCTCAAATCCCCCTTACCAGCCAGCAAACGGGATATGGGGCGCATTTTCTGTTTCATCATTGCATTGATGCTTGGAAGTTGGGGGGGGGGGGGGGGGGGGGGGGGGCTTGGGGTTCCCTTCAGTCCCGCCTCAGGAGATGCCGCACCAGGGGAGAAACCCGGGTGACTTGGTTGTGTGGCTTTACACTTTCCCCCTTTCCTTGTTCTTTGGGCTCTCAAGCAACCCTGGCAGACGGCGAGGCTTTGGAGGTTTATGCCTTGATGTCCCAGAATGTTTCCTAATGCGGGGCGGGTTGGCACTTTCAAGTGCGGAGCTGTCAATCTGCAGTTCAGTGGCATGGAGTCTTTGATGCCAGCAGTCGATGCAAACGGCGCTTGTTCTTCGTTGCACTACAATGAAGGCAGCTAGATACTCTGATGGAATACCGGACTTCGACCGGAAAAGGGCATCTCTATCCTATTGGAGAACTTTTTTATTTTCCCTTTCCTGGGAGCGAAATCTGGTTCTTTACGATGCGGCGGCCCATGGACCTGGGATTCTTGGGTTGCACGCCTAGGGCGGGTGCAAGGGAGCGGGCAGTGCTCGGGAGCCTTGTGAAGATTGCTCTTTCATGGTATGGAACCGGCGAATGGGAGGTTGCGAGATTGCCATTTGATGCGGGAGGACTCCGTGAGGCTTAGCAACTTTATCCAGTTTTGATGTCTTGCTTGACACATTCTGGTCTGAGCCCAAGCTCAGCATTTTGACAAGACACGTGACTTCAAGCTCTGGTGCGACTCAGCGATCCATGATGCAGGGAGAGGGGTCCTACGGATAATATGCCAGGTCCTATTATTATCAGGATGATGAAGGGTAATACGAAGTATTGTTGTTTGATTAATTGATCTAAGCTGACGTTTTTTCACATGGAGAAGGGGCCATAATCATCAAGCATTTTTCTGTATTTTTCTTTACATCTCCCCCGCTGTCATCCACCTTGGGTTCGGAGCACAGCCCTACGGGTAGTCATCGGTCTGTGACTGTGATACGGTAAGCCTCTCAACCTTGTTCATGATTGACTGGTCTACGAAGGCCAACTATCGTTTATTATAGAAACATTAGGTTGGCAGGCAATAAATCACGGCGGTGAATGGCAGTATCCGTCCACTAGTGCCAACTTAAGTGAGATGATTCTGATAATTGGGAGGATGAATCGAACTAGGTGAATGATGCAGACGGCCGCAAAGTCACATTCCATTTCTATTGGATTGCTAGGGTCTATTTTGCCTTACGGTTAGGCGCAGAGTTGTTGGCTTTTCCCTTTGATGCAGCTTTTGACTATGGCCTGTTCCAATGGACCCAGCCTTGCGGGCGGGTTGACATGGCAGGGGCAGGGTTGGGAGCTGTATGTAGTAGTTGATGTATTGCAGACTTGGTATTTCATCGAGGACAGGTTTGCAATGATTCATTCACTCGCTTGGAGGAGCAATGCCATAGTAGATTTTAATCGGGGGGACTGGATTTGCAAATACTCTTAGGAATCGCTGTCTTTGGCTTCTACCGTACTCTGCGCCAAGAATTCCGAATCCGATGAGGCCAGTACTGGCTCTAAGTCGCAGGGGCGGAGCCGGTGGGTTTAGCCAAGCCCAAGCCATCAAATGGGGGCCAGGCCTGCCAGGCGGTACAGCCACCCCTGACCTGAGTTTATTCCGGCCGGAGAGGGAGCCTGGCAACCTCAAAAAATTGGGATCGATGGCCGATGATCGATGATGGCGAGTCTTGTCTGGTCTCCCCGACCGAGGTACGCCCATCAATGATCACAAGATTATTTTAAGATAAGGTCTATTTTGATCAACTGACATATGATGAGAAGGAGGTTATTCTTGGTGGGAAAGTGACGGCGGTTGCACACCTCCTGCTGTTGAAACAAGAAGGAAAGTGCAGACCGTATTATTACCGCCCTACGAGTGACTTTGCAGCACGCACTTGCATACAAAGTCCACTAAAAGTTACTTCGGTGTTTAGTGTGTGGTGGCATCTGCAGGTTTCCTCGTACCTGGCTCGCGCCTGACTGGTCTGGTAGTATGTACTGTCCTGTACCTCCCCCATACGAGTGTCACTTTGATGTTGCCAGCACTATTAATACGACACGACACGCATACGAAGCCAGCAGTGTACTCCGTATCCACCAAGCCGCCAAATGGTACAGTTCAGTACAAAGGCCACCAATTCGGACTGCGAAGTACAGCCCACAACGGGACGCTACGCCTGGCTAACAGTATAGGACTTTTCTCCTTCACCAATTTTGGGCTGGTCCAGTCCACTTCCATCAATTGACCGTTGATCACCGACGTCCTGTTCCCCCCTGTCTGGTCCTGTCTGGTCCTGCTTGGCCCTGGCTTGGCTTGGCTCGCCCTGGTTGGTCTCTTCAATCCTCTCGAACAAGATTCCACTCCTTCCTGTTTCATCAGCACTGCCAACTCGGACGTTGACGCCTTTCGTTTTAATTCCTCCTTTTATCCTCAGACCTCGTCCATTTCAACGTTTTGACGTTTTTGTGTGTTGCCAGGCTGTTTTCGCCCTTCTCATCCTCATCCAAAGAAGTGGTGAAGATCGTCCAGAGCATTCTCCAGCGATTATCCGACCCCAACAGTCACGAACGCTGCCACACAGCCCACGCATTCCCAAGCATTGTATTGCCCGACCGCTCTCGCCATTCTCCTTCAGCCGCGCCCCGTTTCTTGCAACGTTGTCGCCCCAGAAGGACAGTCTTTCATTTCCCACGCCGCCCAGCAACAAAAAAAAAAGAAAAAAAAGTCATCCAACGTCTGTCGTGCGACCCGGCGAAGGCTACATCACGAGCAAACTCTTCAATTCTTCCTCCGAAACGTCGTCAAAATATACACCATCGATTTCCTTGTCGACGTGTTCCCCTTTCGTTCCCGCTTTTTCCCCCTTCACCCCTTTCAACCGCCCGTCCTACAGCGACCGACCGACCCTATTCGACGACCCGACCGATCCCGTGAAATCTTCCGAGAGCCACATTGATTTCGAGTCCTACGCGCGATTCTCGCCCTTCTCGCTTCTTCAATTCTTCCCCCCAATTTGATCGATCGTCCCGACGAATTCGCTCTTTATCTACTTTCCAATTCACCACCTCCGCGATCGATCGACGCCTCCAAATTTCCCGACGACGCCTGGCTTCGACCATCCATTTGATCGCTCGAAGAACCGCATCCGCCCCGTTCTCTTTTTTTTCAACGAGTGTTCTCAAAGAGTTTCCTTCCAGACTCTTTGCCGTCTCGTGAACACCCCCGCTTCTCGCTACACTATCTGGTAGCACCGTCTAGTTTTGTCGGCTCCGAACCTTTTTGTTGGAGTCGGACAAAACATTCGCACATTCGCCCATCCTGGCGACCCGAATCGACACGCAGTCACGGGGGTCTCTGCTCGGCGGGGACCCAGGTTATTCTCAGTACGATCAGTACTCTCCTCAATCATACGGCCATCAATCGCAGTACTCAGAGGCACCAATGAATCAATCATACCCCCAGCAGCCTCAATACGCCCACTACCCTCCGGCGCCGCAGACCTACTCGCCTCCTCCGCAGCAGGAGCTGGGTAGTCAGGCCAGCCGCTATCAAACATACAACGATTTCAACCAGTCCCAGTACAACCAGACGTACTCGAGGGACGGACAAGCTTCTGCCGGCGCCGGGTCGAAGAGGGCAAAGTTGTTCAGTCTGGAGTTCGTATCGACGAAATGGCCGCGCATATTCATGCTTGTTGTCAGCCTCCAGGCCATTCTGTGTCTGGCGTTTGAAGCGTACGTCCTTTCCCCTTTCCCCTTTATATCGATGATTGATACTCCTTTTGACTTTGGCGGAACGGGTGTACACACACAACTTGGTTTATTCTTGGCCTTGAGTTTGATTTAGTTCCGCGCTAACTCTCCACTTCCAGGTACGTCTTCGGCCGATTCCAAACGAACCTTGGGCCGTACGTCAAGGATAACACCAAGGCCGACGCGCAATACAAAACGATCCCCACGTTCCTTACTCTTTTCATTTTCGGTTTCTTGTACGAACTAGTCATTGTATGGGACGCTCTTCGTATGAAGAACACCATCCAGGTCATCGGCGTGTGTATTTCTAACTTGGCCCTGCTCATCTACACGGCCATCCAAGTCGAGCAAATCTTGGAAGCCTTGGACATTTTGGGTGATTTCCCTGGCGCCCTCAAAGCCCCCGCCGATGAGATCTGGGATGATATCCGACCTTTCCTGGTCGCGATTCCCTGCATTATTGCGGCCACCACTATTGCTATGTGCTTCGCAGCCTGGAAGCTGTACCAGCAGTTCGCTTGGGATATTCTGAAGCACATCGGCGCCGACTACAGGATGAAAAAGAGGTTCCTACACTACCAGGTATGTCCCTATCTCTGCACCTCTCTCACTTGCCCTCACGCCTGTAAACCCGAACGAGCACTTGAGCTAACCCCATGGTACCAGATTTACATCGCGCTGCTCAAGTTCGATTTCTTCTTCTTCCTCGGCTTCATGGTTCAGTTCCTTGTTGTCGTTAACGACCAAACCGATGACCCGGAGTTTGGCCTTACCATCGCCGTTATTCCTATTACGATCTTTATTCTGCTACTCGCCGCCTGGTCTGCCCGACGCGAGAACAAGTGGGGCATGCTCTTCACTATCGTCTGCTACCTCGGCGCCCTCACGTACTTTATCTTCAAACTTGTCCGAATCTATCAAGCTCGCACTCAGGCTACGTATCGACCTGTGCGAAAGTCTCTTACCGCCTTCTCCGTCATCACCATTCTCCTCATTCTTCTAACCATTGCCAATGCCATCATCTGCATGAGGAACTTTGGTGCTGGCCTGAAGGATCACCTGACATCGTCGTCCCGGCGAGACGAGGAGAAGCCCGACCTAAACTCGATCAACCTGAATGATCTCAAACAACCTCAGGTTCCCAGCAGAATGACTATTGACTAAATGGAAGAGAAAGGGGGGTTACACAGAAAAGTTGGAAATAACAAAAAAGATATATGAAACCATGACTTTGGAGCGTGTGAGTGAGGCGGTCTGGATTTTTTTTTTCTTATCAAAGGTGTTCGAGGCGGACTTATTTCAGCTGGTAACAAGGAGGGCTGAAATCCAGGATGGAGAGGAGAAGAGGGAGCAGGCGGAATCTAAAATGTACAAAACAAGGACATGACTTGACGACTGGTTTCCCTTGATTTTTGTTTTTATCTTTTTATTATCCCTTTGTTTTTCTTCTTGCGAGTCATCCTGCTCTCTCTCTTCTTTCCCATCTCGGCGTTTCTTTTTGACATATACACTTGTTCCTTTTCGTTTTCTGTTTTTCGTTGATTCTTTTTTCTTTGATCTCTTGTCCATCTCGATACCAACTGAGATGAGAATACGCTCGGGGCAGCATTCATCGGTTTGCAGAAGAACTCTAGTGTTTCCATCCATTATCCTCTTTTGTCTGTTTTTTTTTTTTTTTTTTTTTTTTTTTTTTTTTTCCATTTTGGTCTCTATCGGAAGTTGTTTGAATATATCCTCGTTGAGAAAGAGACGGAAGGATATTTTTGCGGTGTTCTCTTGGTTGTGAAGAGGTAGCTTTTACATACATACCCCCATCTTGACGAGTCGCTCTCGTCCCCCCTTTTCAATATCAGAAAGTTTTATTTAACTTGGCTTCGGTTTCCATGAATGATCTGTGGCTGGAACTTTTACATTGTTCATGGAGTTTTTTTCTTTGGTTCATCAAACGGTGAGCAAAGTGGCCAGGGTTTGAAGTTCACATTGTCGTTTCTGGGATGGACACATTCACATGCAGACAAGACAGGCAACATCTTATGATGATAGGATTTATACGAGAAAGATTTATGAATTCGAATTTCGATGAATACACAATTGATGTCTGCGAAGTAGATACACTTGATTCGCTGAAAACATTCCCAGATCAACCCACCCGCCCAATGAACTAAACACCAGGAAGCCCAAAAGTACCAATTTACAGAGCCCTGAGAAACTAGACTAGACGACGTCTCCCATTCGCCACCTAGCGGTCTTTCTCTCCCGTGAAAAGGCCATATTTCTAGATTTCGGAACTCTACAGGCAAGGGGATGATGGAGGAAAGAGAGGAGAGAGAGAGAGGGAGGAGGAAAAAGACCGGTATCCGCAGAACGCCCCAACCGTCCTGTTCATGACCCATGACAATCAAAAGGAAAGACATAAGAAACGATAAACAAAGGAAGTTCCGTTGACTCCCTGTCTGCCAACACATTCCACTCCACACCAATAGAACCCGTGCGAAGGAGCTGTATTATAGCTTGATTTCCCTCGCATCCTTGTAGACACCCTCGCTCGGACAATAGGGACACTTGAAGCGGCTCGCCTTGAGCATCTTCTTCAACGCCTCCTTACAGACGACGTGACCGCAGGGCAACATCATCGGCGGGTTCTGCGCCGTCGTCTGCTCCTTTAGCACGGGACATACAAAGATGGGATGGTAGACCATCCTACTCGGCAGCGGCGTCTCGAAGGGTTGCTCGTCGTACGACGTCCACTCGGTCTTCTTGGCCTTCATGGCCTGGTTGTACTTGAGCAGTTGCGGGAGGGATATCGCTCCGGCTGTGACGGCGACATAGAGGGGGGACTCAGCGGAGAGGTGGAGGAGGGAGCAGAACTCGCGGGCAAAGGAGTGGGCGACTTCTTCGAAGGCGGAGTGGATCTCGAAGAGGGAGCGGTAAGGCGAGTCTTGGATGTTGTTCGAGAAGACGATGGCCGTCATGAGTTCGCGGATCTGTTTGCCGTGGCGGGTCTGGAACTTCCAGAAGTGCTGTCGTGCATATTGGAGGGCTCCAAGGAGGCCGTTGCGCTCGTCGTCTGGGAGGCCGTTGACGGCAGGGCCCTTCAGCAACCATATGAACTGCAGGCGGTTCAGCTCGAATTCCAGGTTAGACGAATTCGCCTCTAGTCCATCTGCATTTCGCTCGGCCCATTCCATGGCAGGGAGGAGGTTACGATTCCGAAGGTCGCCAAGGATTCGGTAGAGATCGGTGAAGTGGACTTCGAGAGGTTCGAATATGTTTTGCATGTCATCTGCGGCGCCGATGACACCGTGCTCGCGGGCCTCGGCGAGGAAGGATGTAGCGACGTCAAAGCGGCCCTCACGGAAGAGGTGCATGATTATGGTCTTTGCAATGTGTGATTCGCATCCTGCTATTGCGTTGGATTCTGAGGGAAGGGGCCTATGTGGTAATAACTGTATATGGAAGAAGAGAATGTCAGTTAGTACCACCAAAAACCAAGAGAGTTTAGGTGTGTGTGTGTGTCCAACTCACTTTGTCTAGGGCCTTGCCAAAGTTCTTCTGCTGTTTTGATATTTCCCTCAGGTCCTTGTTCAGTGCTTCGAATCTATCTTTGATTGGATTTTGCAGTTTCGTCATGGTTATGCTCGCGGTATGAGGATCCTTGGCTGTATGACACGACAGGGTCAAGTTGTTAGCAAGGGCCTTGAATTTGTGAGGCTCAAGGCACACATACCATTTGCTACCTGTTCCCTCGCGGTTTCGAGGAGAGCGATTATGCGGTCTGCGTCCGATACGGCTGCTGCCAAAGTGGCACCCTTCATCTTCTTCAGCTCCTTCTGGAGAGACACCATCGGCGTCGGTTCTGCTCGGTTTGTAGACATGATTGGGGAATGTGGAAGTGAGGAGAGGGTATGGGAGGGTTATCAGCGAAGGGATCAAGAGGAAAAGAAAGAAAGGAGAAGGGGTTCGAGTAAAGTTATGTGCAAATATGTAATTTACGCTCGAATTATGAGAAAAGACGGTGGGGAGGCGGGGAGAGAGCTCATGTCCCCTCGACGAGCGGGAACGGAGGAGACGGTCTCTCACAGAAAGAACTGGAGTGTCGTCGTAGCTCGAAGGGAAGGACCAGAGCTTCTTGGATGCCAGTCGTGACAAAACAGTCACGGAGGCGGCGTGGGGGAGGTAAATCGGGCAAAAAAAGGTATTATACTACAACTATCGTGGGGATGGCGGCAAGGTTGGGTTTCTGTCGTCATGAGATCTCCTCTCCTCGTTTGAAGGAGAGTTCCGCCATTGAGATCGAGTGGCAGGTGCCTTATCGATAATGGCCAGACTTATCGTGCCAATCAGATGGCAGGAGACGATTGCCTTGATTGGGGTGATGGCTTTGCAGGTACGAGGGTACTTTGTACGTGTCGCTCGCACACCGGTAGACTCGAGAAGGTACCTGTGTACGAAGTACTTGGTGTGTGATGTGGTATTCAGTGGCTGGTTCTCAGCGGGCAACCCCGCTATTCGCCATTTCTCTCCGCCGAATTAGGGGCAGCAGCCAGTGAAAGGCCTCCCATACAAGAGCCGTCATCGGCTGTCACACAGGCACAGGAGTGGTACAGCTGCGAAGTACAGTTGAGCACTCAATGTTGGGGGTTCCAACAAGTCCCCCTCAGAAAGTTGGAGGCTTTCGCTTGCGTCACATGCCACACCTGTGGTCGTCCTTAAATCGACATCGTGGCAGGACGTGCTTCGATCTAGACTTCCTTGGCTGCTACATAAACTCGACGACACCTCCCACTTCCATCCTTGGTTCCTGCATCGCCTCGACCTCCGCTGCTTCGCTCCCCTCCCCTTCGCCCGAGTGTCGGTCGCCGACTATCGAGCATTCGCCAGATAATTTCTCTTCGAACCATGACAGCAATCCCGATGACCTTCGCTTCCCGACAATGAACTCCCATCCCTCGATCGCGATCACGGCACACATGAGGCTACGGAGGACGGTTTTACCCCCTAAACCGCTGGAAAATGGCATTCTTTTTTGCCTACGATAAGGACCCTTCCTTATCTCGTCTACACTCGCGAATGCCCTCACAGCAAGGATCCACCCCAAGTCCACTAATTCTAGATACACCAACGCCCGCTGCCGATGGGACAATGGAGGAATATATATCGGAGAAGCCTTCGGTCTCGCCCACACCTCTACCACACCGGAGACACATCGTCTTGCCAGACCACGTTGCTTTCAAGTGAGGTTTTTTTTATTTTTTTTTTCCTCTCCGTTTTTCTTCACCTCATTTTCTACGTCTTACGCGTACGCGTAGCCCCACTTTACTTGGGCCTCTGCTGACCGCCTCCCTTCACCCGCTCCAGATATCTCGAAGAAGACCCGGCGGTTAGTATAGTGAAACCAAAGAGCGTTTTGCAAGGATATGAGCTATACCTGGTCGAACAATGGGCCTGCTCCCGGCGGTCGCCCACCCTCGTCATTGCGACATACACCGGAGATCGGCGACATTCAATAGTGGTGGGCGTCCTTGCTGTACCTGCCGACGAAAGCACATGGTCACCGAGACTCAAAGTCTTTTTCAAGGCTATTCAACAACACCATGCTCGCCCAAAGGAAACGCCCCTGGGCGACCTCATGGTGACGAATCTCAGCAGCTTCCCGTCGGCTCTTACCGTTATCCCGATACCCGAAGGTGACATACGGAAGCACCAAAAATCTTTCATGGTGAACGAAAATCTGAAGCGCATGGGGTGCTCAGGTCGATCCGGCTTGACATTAACCGATCCGACGCAAGCCACTCAAGCAAAGTTCTACCAGTTATACAAAGTGAGCACGAGGATACCGCTCTTCCAAGCTGTACTAGAGCTCGTCAAGTTATGCCAAGTGGCCCTTTTCATATTCGGCAATCTAGATCAAGAGTATACCGATGGGCTGCTGTGTGATGTGACGGAAACAGCTATCAGGAACTGGTGGACCGGTATCGGTACGGACTACTACAACATAGAGCCTTCTGATGGAATCCTAGGCCCAACCACCGTGGCCGCCCTCTTAGGCACCTTGATGGGAGCTAGGAATCGTCTGCATTCCTTTGGCGCGCCCATCTCCAAGGACGTGTTTGATATTGATAGCACCCGCCGAGCCATATCATACTTCCAAAAATACCAGAAATATGAGCGAACAGGCCGGCTTGACCGCCAAACCCTGCTCAAGCTGCAGTCCGTCACCGCCAAGGCAGCTTCCGGTGAAGGATGGGGCGTACCGAGAGCCGTCAAATCGACCATGGCCGAAATCGGCGGGAAGAGAGGCGAGATCGTGATGGGCATAGTCTCCGGTCGCGACAAGGCGGGCATTAGTGACATCGAAACCGTTGATATTGATCGTTTCATATCCCTGGCCACCGGCGAACGGGCCAAATGGCTCTGGCATGGAAAACCCCGGAGGAACGGCTTTGATGGACCGGCCGCGTACGACGAAATTGCTGGTAGTATGCTAGCTCAGCAGGATACGAGGAGTACGAGGAACACGCACTCCCTACCCACCGAGGAGGAATTCGAGCGCCTAAAGAAGGATGACAGTCCCGGCCTAATCCATCCTCATCCTCCATCTGCTCCTACTCCTGCTATGACTGATAGTCCTGGAGGGGATCGCGACAGAGAGAATATCGGGAAGGCCGTTTTCAAGAGCGTGGCGGGCAAAATGAGCGATGCCAGGAGTGGTCTCGGTCGGATCAAGGATACGATCGGTGGCGGCCGAAGAACTCACGGCTCCAGGCCGTCAATGATCCAAAGTGATTTCATCGAGAGTGGGATTGTTAGCAGCGGAATCATTAGCCCGGGTCTCATGGTCGCCTCTCCCATGTCAGCATCATCCGTTGGACAGATACCGAGGACATTTACGTGGAAAAACAAACCCGAAGAGTATGTCGATGCGTTCAAGAAGATCGGCGAGGGCGGCGATGTGCAGTATGATTCGGGAGCAAGCCGTTCTCAGAGGCCGGCCCCGCCTCCGAATTCTACGCTTGCATCAACCAGCGCAGACCATACTCATCTGGAAGTGGATTTCGATGGCCTGGCGGATGCGGTTCGTAAAGATGTCGTCGAAGGCACAATATCGGTGGCAGGTTCGGTAGCGGACGATAGCGATTTGCGAGGTCCTCTGCTGATTGCCGAGCGGACCAGCGGCAAGCCGTTATGCCATCTCCACCGACGCCATACCCTAGAACTCGCCCAGCCCACCATGAGAACACCCCTCAACGAGCATCGGTGGTCCCGGCGCCTATCCTTCGGAGACGCCGAGGAGGCGATCCTCCGTTGGGAGGAAGTCATCGACATCGTCGATCTCGAGGACATCCTAAGCAGCAAAGCAGGCAGCGCCCTTCCTCCGAAGACGAGCTGCCTCGAAGAGCTCGCCCGCAGCCTAAACCAGAAGATGCTCGACATCAAACGCGACATTGAGCCCTGGGCGACGCAGAACGTCGAGGCCGTCGAGGCGCTCGACGTCCGATTCTCTCAGCACCAAGAAGATCTCCAGATGCTCGCGGCGCACCTAGCCGAGGTGTGTCGCAACGTCCGATCTGCCTCGGTGGAGCTGATAGCGGAGGAGCGCGGGAGCCTCTCGAGGGAGCTCAAGGACGTGGAGATGTTGCTGGCGAGGCTCGAGTACGAGATGAACACGCTCGCGTCGAAGGTCGAGGACGTTGAGGACGGAGTCGTCGCGTATGAGAAGCAGGTGGAGGATGTCGAGAGGCGCGTGGAGGAGCTGAAGATTCAGCTGGAGACGGAGAGTTGGTTGCATTGGTTTGTCAGGACTCTGACGGGCATTGGGACGGGGCCGAACATTACTAGGGAAGTCAAGGCGTAAGTTTGTCTTTTTCTTTTGTTCTTGCCAACGAGGCAGCAGCATTTCCAGGTTAGCATTTTCGAAAAACGAATGGATATCAACATCTTGGTGCATTGGAGTATAGGAGCAGAAAGCCCAAGGAATCCCGGGAAGGGGCCTGATGACACATGAGATTTCATACTAGGCATGGCTAGCATACAAGCTTGGGGAGTAGGGGCATTTCGATAGACAATTTATCTACTTTTCTTCTATGCATTTTGGTGGGCAAGGCAACGCCTTTTGACGGTATTGGCATCGTACATCTTTGGTTTAAGAAGTGAATCGTCAGCGGAGATTTCATGAATTTCTAGGAAAAGTTCCCCCAATCTCTAGCCAGGGACGATTCTATACCAGAGCAGATTTATACATGATTTTGTTGTTTGTTTACCGTCCCCTCAGCTTCTTGCCAATTTTATCGTACAATGAGGCTCTCTCTCTCATCTCCCCCTATTCCCGGAAAAACACGAAAAAGTCTATGAGAAAAGAATCCCTTCCCAAAACATGGTTCCCTCGGGTAGCAAAACACAGGCCACGATAAGGCCACCAATGATTAAACATCATGAGATTCCACCCCAGCCAGCCCCCGGTCCCCCCCTGAAAGGATAAAACCAACAGCAACGAGAAAATGAAGCCAAGAGTAAGCAGGTTTATATCGGGGTTTTCAAACCCAGCATAAACTTCAGGCCAACCAAAAGGTCCCCTTTATATATCTTTTGGGTTTTTCAAGTCGCAAAAAAAAAAAAGTGAAATCAAACGAGGAGAAGTAAAGAGAAGAGGACTCCACATCTCCTCGGTTGGGGTATTTATTTCATTTATTTCAGGCCGCCAATCTTGCCGCCGGACTGCATCTGCTGACCGTACTGCTGCATGAGCTCGTTGGTCTTCATGTACGCCTCGAAGAACTTCGCCGTGCAGCGGTCGAGGCAGACGGATTCGCCCTTGTTGATCTCGCCTTCGCGGTAGTCGGTGGGGATGCACTTTCGGGAGCAGATCTTGGAGAGGCTGGGTTGATAGAGGTTAGCATTTCGGGGGTTCCGGCGACGAGTCTTTTTTTCTTCAACACGGAGCTTGGTTGTGAAAGGGGTAATTGGCAGGGTGGGTGAGAGGGAAAATGGTGGATTGGGGCTTTCTTTTCCTAGATGAGAGAGAGATGGATAGATTGAGACGAACCGGTTGTGGAGGTCAGACATAGCAATGATTTCATTCTCCATCATCGCAATCTTCTCCTCCGAAGAGGGCTGAGGACGACCCATTCCAAAGAACGACATGTTGGGGGTATAAAGTGGTAATTAAGAGAATAATTCTTCTTATAATCCGAATTGAAAGAGTGACTCGTGTCCGGGGATAGATGGGGAGGGTCGTTTGCGGGTTCGCTGGTTATTCGTAGCAGAGCTTGTTGATGATCTTTGCGATGCTGTTTTTTTTTCGCAAGCCAAGAATGGAAGAGGCTGAGCTGCAGAAGAAGGAAGGCGGTGTTGAATGGCAGAAATTTCTTTGCTGACCTCAGCTTGCATACATGGGCACAGTGCTTTAAATACGAATACCATATTTGTACTGTACGAGGTACGAAGGTACATGGGGACGACGGCAGATCTTCCAGTTCTCGTCCATCAACCACATCTTCATGACAATCAACTTTGCTTTCACCTCACTTACCCATCATACTCTAAAGCCACGAGCTACCTACCGAAGTTAAAGGGCATTAGGCTTACCTGCTCTCTATTTGTAGAACTTCGACTGAAACAGGGGTCCGCACTTCCCAAAGGCGCACGGGGAGTCCTCAGAGAGGCATCCGGGAGACTGCATCTGGCAAGTATATGGCAGGGAAAGCTGCAGCTGTGAGAGAAACGGCAAGGCATAGATAGTAGGCTCGACTCGCCAACTCTTGTCAGGGATGAGGTCGCCTCGAGCTCTGGGGGCCTCCCTCCTCCCTCAAGAGCAAATCGAGCGCATATCGCGGGTCTTGATATTCCAAGTCAGCGAGCAGCCGGGCGTCGAGCACAGGACTCCAGAGACATAGCACCTCTACCAAAGAGAAAAGGACCAAGCAACTCGATAGTCCATGCACCCGAGTCCGGGCGCGGCACTTCCAGAAGCGAGGCCAAGCGAGGTCTCCGCCTCGTTCCCCGTCCCCCATCCATATCGATGTTCAATATATTGACGGGGAACTGAGACAGGGCAGCCGCCCATCTGAAATTGACACCCTCGCTTCATTCCCCGTTCCCCCGTTCCCCAGTTCCCCAGGAAATCTAAAACGTTTAGACAAACCTAACCTCATGGCAAAAGAGACCAGGAAAGAAAAACAGGGGTCTCATGAGAGTCCTCACACGTGGCCACAGACTCCTCCCCCGCACCCGGCCACGTTCCCAGCTGAGGATTTGCAAAAACCCGGATCGTAGAGTTTTCCCCTTCTCGAATGATGCTGGGCCCAGCATTATCAATCAGCCGTGGACGATCGAGCCAGTAGGAAGCAATGTCATGAGGCACTTTGTGGGGTTTACCGTTTTCTTAAGTTTAGACGAAAACCAACTTGCCTAGCATCCGCAGATCAGGAGATCCCCCAGCCTTGATAAAAGATAAACCCTCGTGGCAATTCCGCCCGATTACACCCCAAATCGGTGTAAAAGAAGGGGAATCCTCGCTAGCGCACCAATCTTGCTTTGGAAATCCTTGAGATTGTCCAGATTTTCAGCGCCAAACAGAGGAAAAAAACGGCCAAGATGCAAAAATATTGACCTGATCCAGGTTCGGAAATGCAAGTCATGAGACACTGATGTTGATTCAGTGAACATTCGACGGCACGCTAGTCTGGCATGTAAGTCCAGGCGTGAAATCATACTCGCATGATCTTTTGCCGATGGTGTATGGACGAAGTGACCAGGGGAGTGTATTGCGGAGTACAAACAAGCAAGGGGCGAGTAAAGAGGGAGAAAGGTAAGTGTACTTGTCGGGTCTTATCCTTGGCAAGTGGGCCTTTTTTTCCTCCATTTTTTTTCGGCCCCATGTAAGGAACAGGGCAAGCAGCCCAACCAGAGATGACCTCACCCCTGACCAAAAAAAAAATACGGTTACATTTTAACGGGTCCCTATGGAAAGCCCTGTCGGCATGTGGTCGCGGTGTGGGTTCCGGGCTGCGTTTGTTGGGCTCCACAGGCAGAATCCAACAGAAAGTTGAGGTTTGCAGGGCGGAATGCGTCACTTCCTCCTAGTAGTCTCTCCGCCTAGTTTTCCCGAACTCATCAAGGGTAGGATTTGTGCGTACGAAGTACAACCTCGTTCCGAGACGCATCCCTCAGGGGCCGGCTCATCCTTCCGAGTTGTGCCGTGTCCGGAGGTCGGGTTCGGAGCACCAGAGGCCTCACGGTTACACCGGTCAGACCCGACCATGCTCACTTTAACAGATGCCCTGGCCATGCTGCGGTCAGTACGTCCGCCACAGCTTGAAACTGAGCCTTCACGGACCTGCTAGAATCCCGCCGATACTATCTGCCGTGTCTTGTCTAATCGGATGAAGTACTTCGTCGGCTGTGATTATTAGGCAGTGTCCTGGGTTGAGGCATTAGTTTACAAGGCGAGGCCTTTGTAATATTATCTTCTCGTGTCGACAACCTTGTCGAGAAAATTTTACCTGGTAAAAAAAGCAAGGTTATTTCGGAATCTCGACTCGTGCCTCCCCTGCATTTCATAGTGTGCGGGGAGAGCCAGGATTAAAACTAGATTATCATCCAGAGAGCACAACAATCGAGGTGCATAATTCGGGTAGAGACATCACATCATATATATGCGGTACACCGGGTGAATCGTAGGGCACATCGCCTTCTAGCGAATATGACAACGTTTATCAAGACAGCCGTTCGAGATTAGCAGGGGAAGTCTAGGCGATTGACGGTTAGAGTTAGCGGACCACCAATGGCCAAGTTTCGCCTCCTCCTTTCTCCAGTGAGCCTCTTACCGAGGAGACACCACAGACTCCCGTGGTTTCCGTAAGGAGAGAGGCTTGCATTAGTGGAAGAACCTGCCAATGCTGGACCAGCAGGAGCAAAAGGATAGTGCAATGTCATTCACCAAATAGGGCAGAAATGTCAGTCATAAACAAGGTACTTGAGCAGTATCAATCGGTTCGGTCCCTCAACCCTCAGGGGAGAGAGTTTAGATGTCTCCCCCCTGAGCTGATCCTCTCAACTCGATTTTCGACGCAAGACGAGGACAGGATTCTCAGCTGGAACGCTTCCGGTGCATGGCTGGGCAGTTTATGCATATGATTGTGTTGCAGTCTGCAGTCTGCACCTCCTTCGATTGCGACGCCAGGGGGGTGTGACAGGCAAGACGAGGAGCAAATGGGAGAAATGCGTGGGGGCCAGGGTCGATCAAGAAATGGGTCGATTTTTGTCAAGAATTTGGTTAGAAGCGGAGGACCAATTTAGTGGGTTTTGCGGAGTTGAGAAGAGAAAAAAGATTAGAAATGCTCAAGGGATGGTACGGATGATACGGCGCGGATGGCACTATAGGCAGGGGAGGCCGGGATATGATAGGTGACCAGTCGAGGCGATCAACGGCAAAGAGAAAAATTGAAATTTGGGATATGAGAGAGAGACTGCAAAGGCGAGACATTCTCCATATTTACTCCAGACTTTGTCGAGGGAGGCAGATGGGGACAGAGGCAGATCTTTTCTTCTTCTACACTAGATCAAGCAAGGCTGCGGGAGCGGAAAGAGAGACGGGATAGACAGTCGTACAAGGTTGCTGCACTGCACCTTCCCCTTCTTTGGGGAACTGAGACAGCCTCAACTTCCTCCAACGGGAAGAACACCAATACCAAGGCGAGTTCGCAGATCAGCAGCTGACTCATCAGGCTGAACTCAAGAGGGAAAGTTCCTATGATGTAACCGTACAGACTTATACATGAGAAGTACTTGTCGACAGTTGATGCAGCTCGAATTCCCCAATCACGATGAGGACAATCCAAGTCGCCACTACGAAATACTTCGTATGCTATACAAGTACTGCACAAGTAATATTCGTCATGTCAAACGTTGACATTCTCAAGCGACCGAAAATATCTATTGGAGCTCTGCACGAGAAGCGAGGAACCAAGAAAAAGCAAGCGAAAGGACGTGCGCCCTCCAGCTAGCGGACTCACGGGCACACTCGGCAGTGACGCTGGCATTGGACGCGGGGGGAAGAATTAGAATTGGGGCCGAGCGCGATCAGAAAAAAGATCAATTCGACCATTATTGTGACGACATGCTGTTTCCAAGTGAACAGTGGGCTACTTCGTACCATGGTTCAATGGTTGCATACAAAATTATTCTGGAGAAACCATGCCTCGCCCCCCATCCGCGGAACCACAATATTACCACAATCGTTCTTACTTCGGACATACGAAGCAATTCGTACAATTCGTAACAGGGAAGATGCGGAGCACAACATCGTTCCATTGCCCAGAGAGGAAGTCGCGAATCCGGATATGACGACGAAAAACGTGGTCGCGAAGGAATCGTGCTTCCGTAGTGTGTAAGTTCACACGAGGCAGTGGAGCCTGGAGTCATCGACGGGGACCGCCGGGGGGTGCTGCGAGATGCTTGCAAGATGCTAGGAGGATTTCAACTATTACCGCGCTTTTGGTGTGATTAATTGAATGGCTGATACTACCTCATTTACGCGTCTACGAAGTAGTGTCGTAGTGTACGGAACAAGCTAGGTAGACTCCGTATCGATCTCGATCTATTTTTTTTCATATCATCCGACAACGCTTGCCCACGATCCCGACATGCAAGTATGGGTCGAGGCAGGATGACGAAATTTGTTTTCTTTTTTCTCGAAAGAGCAAGGCCCGGGACAAACAAACAACCAAATCCGCTCTCCACCTGTGGTCTAAGGCGTCGGTTTCCGGCGCTTTCAAGGACCGATTTCGTACAGATGTTTTCGCGCGATTCTCCATGATAGGCTTACCTCCAGACCCAAATCACTGGCAGACTAGCAGTTAAGCGGCCGTATCTGAAAATTCTGCTACTGATTTTTTCTCCAGACTCGAACCAAGAACGACATCTCACGGTGAATGCCGCCTAACAAGGGCCACTAGCCGAAATAAGGCCCCAACATGGGCTCCGTTACGTTGTGGGGAGACCATGCTAGTGTCGTTTTGAACCAAGTTCTCAGTAGGCTATCGAGAAAGAGGGTCTTCTGTCGTGTGAGCAGAATATTCGATAGAAAGGCAAACTCCACCAATTTCCACCTAAAGCCATGTGGTGTCTCAGTCTTCGAGTCCCTGACCTGAGGGCCACTTCCATCCTGGACACTAAGATTAGATGCCACGAGTTTGAGAGCTCCATCGAACACGTGGAGGATTGGGGCTATCATGGATCATGGCTAAGCCAGATCGATGAAATTGAATGGGGCAACATGGATAACACTGAGGCAAAACTTGATACCAGTCTCCGTCGACGATGAGAAGAAGGAGGTACTTTGAGCGTGTAAGTGCATAACCGTTTCTTCCGCTTGTCCTCGGCTCCAATTGACAGTTCCTATTGCCTCCCTGTGGAGTGCGGACCTTGGGCAAGCCTGGCTCGAAGTTGTACACTACTTCATCCACTATACTGAGTACTCCGTACTTTCATATGCTCCTTGCTTCTTCCACTCCTACCAGTCTACACTAAGAGGTACGTACACTACTCCAGGACTGTTCAATGTTCTCTCTGCATTTGTGCGAACAGACGAGGGCGTGTGGAGAAAAGGAGCATTCAAGCCACCTTGACACAGACCAAGTCCAGCTGTAGCCTGTAGGAACTGCCGAGCTCAGCATTGCCGTGGTGAGATCAACTGGTGGACTGGCGGACGCTCGGAAAGCAGGAACGACAAAGCTCTGCAAAAGCCGCAAAGTCTCTGCAGTCTTTGCAGTCGCTGCCTCTTGGCTCGACTCCTTTTTTTTTCGCGAAGTTTGAAGGATTCAATGTTTGAAGTTTTTAATTTTAAGGTCCGCGGAGTTCGGCTTCAATGCTGTCAGTGCATTCGGCATTCGTTAAGTTTATGTCAAAAAAGGACCTGTACTTCTTCGTGCAATGTGACGTTCTTGAGGACCGCATGATCAAAAATCCCAGTTTGAATCTGGCGATTGTATGGTTTTCCCAGCCACGAGAGGAACAATTGAAGTCTCGCCGAGATGGTACAGCTACGACTGGAATGCTGGAATACTATAATTGTCCATACGTAGTACGCATAATGCTACATTAATAACTTGATAATACCGAACAAAATTCTTCAAGCCGCGCACAGAACATCTCTTCGCCCCCAGAACCCAGCTTTGGCTGGCCAGGTCACCCAGGCTCCCTCCACGATTCAATTTTCATCGCCGATTCGCCCCCCTGATCTTGAAAAAAGACAACGGACTGAAAAGTCTCTAGGACCCTCCAGGGGAATTAAAAAAAAAAAAAAAAAAAAAAAAAAAAAAAAGAAAAAAAACGGGACCCTCCCCAGCCATGCATCGTACGATTCAGACTCCACCAACCGGTGTGTCCAGATATCGTCGTACCAATCCCTGGAAGTTTTCGTCGTTTCCAGAAGAACCCTTCTCCGGGGCAAGAAATCGTATCCGGCCAACCCTGATTCGGCCTGGTCTAGCGCCATTACCGGCACAGGCAGCGGGCGGTGGAAGGGGGGGCGTGCGCTTAGTGGACGAAAACTTCGTTTCGCTTTGGGGACGACCAAGCCGGAACCTAACGGGTGGACAGACGCGAACTTCCCAGGCTTCCCAGCAGGAACTAGCTCCGGGTTCAGTTCACGAATCACACACCCCCGAGTTGCCCCAAACGGCTTCGAGAGTTCCCAAACGGCTCACAACCGAACAAGCCACAGAGGGAAACACGGACCCTGTGCTAAACCGGAAGAAGGAAGAAAAAGAAGAGAAAAAAAAAAATTCAAAGCCTTGTCGTGTGGTTGAAGTACACTACTGAGTTATCCTCGCCTCACACCGGAACGGACCACGAGACTTGGGGAGTCTGCACAGGGAGCATTATCACTTTTATGCTACACTGAGTATAAACTGCTCTCAAACCGTGATTCTATCACATTTTGGACACCGCTACTTGCTTCCTTGCTTTCTTATAGCGCTTTCTCTTGTATTATAGCCTCCCAGGATCATGGCTCTATTGCCTCTGTAATTTCCGGGCAATCCCTACGTATGCTTTGTATCAGGTAGTGTACTATGCAAAAAGCAAAAAAAAAAAAAAAAATATGAAAAACCGTTTAAATCTTGTTGCATCCGAACCCAGGCTCGGTTCGGATCCTGCTTTCGACGAGGTATTAGATAGTGTACTGCAAGTACTAGTTTCATGGTACTATCATTAGAGGTTTTACCATTGATTTGATGTATGATGCCAATACCCATACCATACCACTGCCCAATGCCAATGCCCATGCCAATGCCAATGCCAATGGACTAGCCAGGCGACCCTCTTACGGGGTGCACATTAGCCGCTCCTTCATCGTGCACCTGTGGAGACCAGATTGTGCTGGCGGGGGGGTGCGACGTATTTTGACTGGCGGCTACTTGGAGTTGACACCAGAATCATACGAAGCACTGGTACGTGCCTTGCGTAGTGTACACTATTGTACGAACCATACTAGCAAAGTAGTGTGTCGGTATTGTGCGAAGCTTTGTCCATGTCCATTTTCCGCTGTCCATTGTCCATTGATTATCCATCGTTCCTATCCATGACTCCATGTCGTGTCCCATATGGTCCGTGTCGATACGTCGAGATCAGATTTTTTAATATATAAGATGAGGGTCTCTCGCTGATCACTTCCAGGTAGTTCTATTCTCCATATCTGAATTGCTTCTTTCATCTCCTCCTCTCCCCCTGCGTCTTTCGATTTCGATATCTGAATCATCCCCAAGATCTTGTGTTACACTTGATATCATACCTTCCTCGAAGAATCTTGTCGATCATCCAGGTCCCATCCTGAAGCTATTACATCCTACACGTGGAGAACCCAGACAACCTAGACACAACCTAGACACAACCTAGACTCAGCTCCTCCCAAGGCCCACTCCAATACGACAAATACAAGGTCGGAGCCTTCACTCCTATCAGTATCACTTGCGGCGAACGGAAGAATAAAAGCCTGAAAGTACAAACTTTAAAAAAAAAAGCCCAGTATCCCGGATATACATAGCCATATCACCCCATCAACTCTTGCTCCCTGCCACCCCTCACTCAACTCACTCAACACGCTTATCTTCTCTCCTCCTCTCTTTACACTTGGAGACACACACCACACATCCACACATCCACATACACACTTCACAATGGCCCTCTCATACAAGCAATCGCAAATAGTCCGGGCGACCATCCCAGCCCTCAAGGACCACGGAGAACGCATCACCACAACCTTCTACCACAACATGCTCCAAGCCCACCCCGAGCTCCACAACATCTTCAACGATGTCAACATCGCCAACGCCCGCCAACCCCGCGCCCTCACGGCCGTCATCCTCAGGTTCGCCGCCGACATCAACAACATCAGCGAGCTGATCCCCCGGCTCGAGCGCATGTGCAACAAGCACTGCTCGCTCGGCATAAAACCCGAACACTACAAGATCGTCGGCAAGTACCTCATCGACGCCTTCAGCGAGGTCCTCGGCCCCGCCATGACCCCCGAGGCACGTCTCGCTTGGGACAAGGCCTACTGGGTTCTCGCCCGCATGCTCATCGGTCGCGAGGACCAGATGTACCGCATGTTCAAGAAGCAAGGGTGGGAAGGCTGGAGGAAGTTTAAGATTGCCAAGAAGGTCAGGGAGACGGATAACGTCTACTCGTTCTACCTCACTCCCAAGGATGGCAAGGCCCTCCCCGAGTTCTTGCCCGGCCAGTATATTTCGGTGAAGATGGAGATGGCCGACCAGGGCTACGTCCAGATTAGGCAGTACGCCCTCAGCGATGCCCCCAGGCCCGATTACTACAGGATTACCATCAAGAGGGACCGCGGCATGCAGGTGAGGAAGGCCGGCATGGTCATGAATGTCAACCCCGGCCTCGTGTCCAACGTCATGCTCGACGACCTCCAGAGGGGTGACGAGCTCGACGTCTCCCACCCTGCCGGCGAGGTCTTCCTCGACCCCTACAGCGGTGTTGGCGTGCCTCTCGTCCTCATCTCGGCCGGCGTCGGTGTCGCGCCCATGGTCTCCATTCTCAACTCCGTCGTCGAGAACCAGCCCCACCGGCCCGTCTCGTTCATTCACGGATCCCAGCGTGATATGCCTTTCGAGGACCACGTCAGGCGCCTCAAGCAGGCGAGGCCCAACACCGTCTCGGTCAACATCTTCAAGTCCAGACTCGCCGAGGCCGAGCTCATCGGCGTCAACTACGAGTATGATGCGCGCGTTGACCTCGCCGCCGTTCACGCTGATGATATCTACCTCGATCACGGTGCGGCCGAGTACTACATCTGCGGACCCGAGCAGTTCATGGTCGAGATGTCGGATTACCTCGTCATGCAGGGCGTCAGCCTCGAGAGGGTGAAGTTCTCTCCATTCTCGACCGGCGAGCTCCAGATACACGCGAAATAATTTAGGGGAAGCGTGTGTTGATCTGTTCTTTTTTACCCTTTTCGACTTTTTGTTTCTCATTCTCTTTCCTTTGTCGTGTTTCTTTTAGAATATTGGTCCTAAAGACCTAAACACTTTCGAACTGCCTCTTGGCTTGGGTTATTTTTATTTATTTTATTTTTATTTTTCCTTGTACATATGATAACATATTTCCTTATTGATGGGCGGGGATATCTTCTATTGGGACGGAATGAAAAAAATCGGAGACATTTTTCCTTTTGTTAATTTTTCTTTTTCTTTTTTTCTTTCCCAGTTTACTATTTTCCTATTTTCTTGTTTTAGTGAGAGGTTGCGGGATGCAAGGTAGAGATAGACATTTATTTATTTGTTATTTGTTACAGCATAGCATAATGATATCAAACCCTCGACTCAGTTCAAGTTCGGTTTCCCTTTCTCCTCGGAGTCATTAGATGTTCATGATCTGATTCTAGCTCGAACTCGCATAAGAATCTGGGCACCATGACACTCCAAACTCCTCCCTTGACATGAATTGTATGTAGATGAAACCTGCCCATCCCTTGCTTAGACTTCAACATTTTGCTCGTCTGAAACCCCTAAAGATATCTCAAATATGACCACCAAACCAACATCGCCATCGACGACGCCCCACAGTCCCGAAGTCCGTATATCCGTCCTCATCCACAGACGCCTGGAGAGCACCTTCCTCGTCGCCAAATGCACAGGAACCTTAGGTCAAGGTATTAAGGGAAAATCAAACGTTTTGGCAATGAAAAGCTAAAAACGAAAATCTAGGCCAGTTCCGAGCACCGGGCGGATATCTCGAGTACGGCGAGACGTTCCTCGCCGCAGCCGAGCGGCTCACGAGGAAGGAAACGGGGCTCGAGGTGCATGCGCGCCGGGTCGCTGCTGTGGATGGGGAGGTGATGGGGGGACTTGGACGTGAGAAGCATTATGTGACGATATTTGTGGTGTGTGAGCTGCAGGATGAGGGAGATGAACCAGAGGTGAGAGAGCGCGAACAAGAAGCCCACTTTATTTGACGAGAAATGAATTGCTTAACTCCTTTCTTTCTTAGCTGTGCCAGGTGGTTGAACTCGAGGAGTGTGAAGGGTGGGAGTGGAGGACGTGGGATCAGTTGAGGAGTGAGCAGGAGAGGGAGATTGATATGCCGCTTGCTAATTTGTTGGATCAGAATCCGAGCGGGGAGATGTTTCTTCGACGAAGCCTGTGAGAGGATGATGGTGCTTCTCTGCGCGGTCTGAACATTCAAGGTGTTCGTGAATCGAAATATGCCCCCTCCTCTGCCGTGCCCTCTTGCCGGACCTGTCGTGGTGACCGAAATGGATTCCTGTTAGGGTCAATTGACATTGTTTAGAGGTCGACTGGATCCTGAAAAGGACGACCATCTTGGTGGAATTGACATCGGATCTTCCTTGGCAGCCTTACCTCACGGCGGACACAAGCCTCACCTATTTCGGGCTTCCACAAGATTCCACCCCCACTCTTACCGGGTAGCATGCGAGGAGGATACTCGGTGCTAGCAAGGAACGAAGCCGTCGTGGGAAGAGGCCCGGTTGGCCATCTTACCCTGTTTCAAAGCGGTCTTCGACTTGCCGTTGATGAACATATTTCTGGCCTTCATCCCCCTCCTTATCTGTGTACATTAACCATGACTACGAATTGTTACTCATCAAATGATGTTATGCTATAACATGTGGCGTCGACAGCATGCGTTCCTACTCCTGAGAGGGAGCTATTGCCTCACTCTACCTCTCCAATGAAAAGGAAGCTAAAGATATGGATAAGCACGAACATGGAATCATCTTTTCCCAGGCTCTGTAGAGATGGAAACCAATACGACTAGCTTAGGATATTAAGCACCACGCCGAGAGAGATTCCGGGACAACGAGCTCAAGCTACCCATGACCGCTGATCCTTCGACTGACTTGCCTGGCTACTCAATGCTTTGGTTTCGCCTGAACGAGCAGGTGAAAGGAGTGAACTACGAGTAGCGTCGGCACTGTCTACTAACAGGCCGTATCCTCCCTACATGTACGACAGCCATCTTGAAAACGAATGGCTTTAGGGATGGACGGAACCGATCTTGAACTCGCACACAAGTCTGTGGCCTGACCGCGTCGACTCTTAACCGCCTCAAAATCCTTCGCCCACTGGGGGAGCTCTAAAAGTGCAAGTAAACTACATATAAGGGATGTGCCGCCACCAAGTTTCAGCCGAGTCTTTCTTTCACCTGAACTGGGAATTAGGCCCGGTCCTTTATGTCACCAAACCAAGCTCCGCAGAAAACAATGACAATGGGTGAGGTATTCTAACCGAGGATGGATACCGTGTTGCTTTCATAAATTGAGTACATTTTACTCACAACTACAGACGATGGTGGTATTCCATCCCGGGGCGTCATAACCCTATCCTCAAGACATAACAACAGACAACCTACCTCACTCTGCCTTCTTCCCCTTAACCGGCCTCTCAGCCCCAGTCCCATGCACCCAATCCAAAATGCCCAAAGCCCCAAAATTAATATTAAACCTCCTATGGTGCTCATCGTGCATCCACGCCAGCCCCCCAAAGAAATCAAATCCGCTATGCACCAAACTCGTCTCCATAAGCATAAACCCCAAGAACGCCCAAGCCGTCAAGATGTGCGTCCCCAGAAGCGCGGGAGGGATAGCAAGCGGCAGCGCATTAGCGGCGATGTGCTCCATGGGATGCGCGTACTGAGCAGCAAGCGCTACGGGGGCCGTGAAGCGGTGGTGGATCTTATGGATGGCGCGGTACAGGGGCCCGACGTGGAGGAGGCGGTGGGCGTAGTAGAACATGGCCTCGCGGAGGAGGCAGCAGATGATGAAGTGGGTAATGAATTCCTTGAAAGTCGGGAGGGTGGGCGTGATGAGGAGGGAGGGTTTCGGGGTGAGGAAGTAAGGGATGAGGGCGAGGCCGATGGTGATGAGCTGGTTGCGGAAGGTGATGAGGAAGCAGTGGCGGACTTCGGAGGCGCTGGGTTGTTTGGGGGGCGGTTGGAGTTTGTGGCGGGCGGCGAAGGTGGGGAGGTAGGCGTCTATGGCGATGTAGATTGCAGAGGGGATCCAGAAGAAGAGGAGTTGGATGAGAAGGGTGCCGTAGAGTTCGATGTCGTGGGGCGTGTAGGTGTTGACGATGTCGGCCCAGGCGGTGGTGAGCCGCTGGGTGAGGGTGAGGGTGGCAGTCATAGTGAAGGGGTTCGCGGTCAGTTGTTTGAAGAGGAATTGACTTGGAGAGGATGTGTAAAGATCAGGACTTATAAAGTCGAGGATCCGGGCACTCAGAGCAGAGAGTGTGTGTATATTGTCTGAGTCTCCATATTCTCTCTATGCGGAGAACTTGAAGTCGTCCTGGCGAGATATAAATAAATCAAGCCATTGAGTGTCGATCACTGCACATGAAGAAAGAAGCTAGTTTAGGTCCTACCTAAAGCGATAGTTGATTCTGTCCTCGACCTCGGCATCTTTCTACCAACGCCACCTTGAAAAAAAAAGTTCCAGTCCAGTTCATGCACAAATGGGATCGGGCGGACGATGTTGTTTCCCCGCGTTTCCGCATTTGTGGGGTGGAGTGGACGATGCTTCGTTACCCCAGACTAGGATCTTGGTCGAGGATTACCGCTCTGGGAATGCTGAACGGTGGTGGTCCGAGCGAGAATCTGCGGGGAATCAATTTGATTGCTGCGCTTTCTTTGACTTGATGCTGACAAGAAGGGCAGGACAGATGGATGTAGGAAGCCTCTCCGTCGCCTACGGATCGCGATATTACAGCCCGGAGACGATAATGGATCGGGTTGCGTTTGATCGAGATAAAAATATCGAATCATTTTGATGTAATTATGATTATTTTTACTCTGTGGGCATGATAATTTCTATGGTTCAAATGCTACTGTGCCAGCCAACGCCATAAATCGCCAGCCAAGCCTGCTTGCCACCAGGCACTCGAAGTGAAGACCCAGATTATTGAGTACTCGCGAAGGGCAGCGTCCCTCATCTAGTTTCCAACTCCTTCAAAGAATCTGAACAGAAGACCGCCGGACTCGCAAGGCGAAACACAAATAAACAGAAATGGCTCCCTCTTCAACATCAGCTCCTCTTCGCCTCACCCATCCCTCCACACTCCTCGATCATCTGCAGGTTCCAAAGACATGGGTCGAAAAGACTTTGCCTTACCCTCATATTCAAAAATAGGACCTATGACGTAGTTAATCTCGTATAATACACGCGTGCTCTGAGCCCGAAAAGATAATTAAAAAAAATCTTCACAAAGAAAGAGGTCCTTGGGGAGAGTATGCAAGGTACGCGTGGTGCTTGTCGGTGTTCGAGTGCTCGTGGCTTCGTCGGGGGTGTGACAATACCTGGCCAGTTCAACACGCGTGACCTCGTGCCACGCATCACTTGCGGGTTATCACGATTTCTCAGCTCGATGAGGGATCACGCAAGAGCGCAGAGAGAAGGGGGAAAAGCCACATTACCTGGTCATTTCTATAGTCGTTTTACCTCGCAAGACTGTTTTGTAATCAGAATAGAAAATCTAAAACATCAGTTTCGTGAGCATTTATATATAAAGGTGAGCATTGCTGGTCATCGAAAGATTGTTAGCGGATATAACACGAAGCATCGAGCGAAGGAATCTAGGAAAACGTTTCGGGGGGGTGAAAACGAAAAACCATTAAAGGGTACGATATGTACAGGGTGCGGCCACTTATATATATGTATGTACAGGGGGGACACCACGCGCTGCGCCAACCTGTTACGATCCATCCTCTCCTCCGCATCTCCTCCTCTTTCTCCTCCTCCTCCTCCTCCTCCCTCCTCTCCATCCTCTCCTTGTTCATCATCTTCGCCTCTTCGGCTATTCCACAAATGCTAGTCAAACCGCTGCTTCCTACCCTTGAGCCTAGACCTAAACAGGTCTGACGCGGGTTTCTGTATGCGACTGGAAGCCTCCTCCGGCGTCCGCCTGGAGCTTCGCAGGGGACTCTCCGCTCGGTTGTGAATCCGAGCCTCCTTTGTCGGCGTCGATCTCGACGTCGACCTGAAACTACAAAAACTAACAGATTTTGATGTGCGGAATGAGACTGATGAACCTGAACCTTCGGGTTTGGGAGTGGCAGTCTCCGAGTCCAAGAAGTCGTAGACTTCCGAAGTGGGTAGTATGCTGGATGTGTCTTCAACAACAGTGAATGGGCACATGTCCTCCATCTCATCATACATATCAATGGGCGATTGGGTGGTAGGAAAGTCTTCCTCCTCCTCATCATCGTCATCCTCCTGGGCAGAGAAACCGCGAGAGTCGCGAGAATCCCTTCGGCTGGGTTCCGATTCTGAAAAGGTGATAGATTCGACCGACGATCGGCTGTCAGACAAGTCTGCCTCCGACACCGCAGGAGACTGTGGGCCTTGGAGCGTCGGACGAATGTCCACATACGATGATGTTGAAGATGTGGTTAGAGATACTACGCGTTCTTCTTCTTCTCCTTCTTCTTCGTTATGAGAGCTGGCAAAAGATACGAGTGGTCGCTTCGGGCTCGGATGGAGAATGGTAGGGTGCTGAGGTTGATGGGTCGTGTTAACAGGTGACGATGCAGCAGTGTCGGGGTCCTCGGTTATAGATTCGGGTGACAAAGGAACGCGGGTATCAATGCGAGGGGGTCGGCAAGACAACGCGTCTTGCACAGGGCTGACGATATCTTCAGGTTCATCGGTGAAAACAGGCTTATCTGAAGAATACTGAGAAAGAAATGTTGGTACAAGGGCATGTGCTTCGTGATCGTCATAATCGTCGTCGTCAGCATCGATGCTGCTGGGGTCGGTCGTCGCGCTGGCCACACTGCTGTAGTCGGCGTACGACGACGCGGTGGACAAGGGGGTATGGGAACGGTTGTTCCCGCCTGGAGTTTGGTGATGATGATCCAAGTAGGTCTCGGGTAGGTAGCTCGAAAAGTATCTCACGAGTGAGTCGAACGACCTAGTCCTGAAGAGCTGAAGTGCGTACTGCCATTGTTCGGTCCCGACGAGTTTGGGGTGAGCGATGATCTCGAAGGCGGCAGCTTCGAGGGATTCGTTCAGCTCACGAAGCCGTTGCTGCTTCCGTGCAGAAAGGAGTTCGTGAAATTCTTCGGTCGTCGATGCGGTGATGGCTACCTCGAAGACGTCGTGGTGGAAGGCTTCGGGGTCTTGGATCGTGGACGGGAAGGTGTTGTACTGGTCGTGCAACTTGGTTGACAGGTCTTCCCTTTTCATGCCAAACTTCCAGGCGGGCCATGACCAGCCCGGATCGTCCATGTTCGGTTTAATCGGTGGTGGGGTTTAGAGGAGTCCAGAGAGCTAATAAATCATAGAGAGAGACGTTCGAAAGCCGTTGAGATGGTTCCGAGAAACCTGTCCTGTTGTGGTGGACAGACAGGTGCTCTCAGTTCTTGCTACCGGGCCTGGTGGGATACATTTTGGCGGATTGGAATAATCGCGAAGGATCGTTCAGAGGCTCAAAAGAGTGGTTATTTTTCAGTGGTATCGGCGTAAAAATTTGAAGCGAAATCGTGGATTTTCTATCGGCGGAACTCTCGAATCGTGAATCTGGAGTCTGGATCTCGTCGGCCGTGGGTGATGCGTAAAAGGAGGACGTAGGAGGCGTGTGTGTGGGCGAGATGGAGAGATAAACCATCGAGGGTTTTCGGAGCCCGGGGGGGACCCCGAGTAGCAAGAGCAACTGGCATGTTCATTGTGGCACTGTGAACGAAAGAGAAGATGTGTCGGAAGTGGGACAAAAGGAGAGGCGGAAATCAAAATGGAATCTCCTTAGTGCCATGGGTGATGGCAAAATTGGTCCGTCTCGACGATGATTGGTTTGGGCTGCAGGCAGACTTGCGGCGATTGGTTGAGAGGAATGATCGGTGCTATGCGAAGGGGGGATGTTTCTGGTTTTTATTGGTTCGCTTACTTAGTGTAGGGCCCGGTTGAACAATGCCCAGCACACGAGACACCGCCCAGCTAGGATCTACCATGTACTCCGTAAAGGTGAAGTGCAGGACACTGTGTCGGTATCTGCGACGGGTGCGATCGTATTACCATTTGTTGGTCAGGCAGGATGGTGCATCCAGACCACCACACACTGGAATTCTGAGGAATGGGAAGGGTGTCAGCATGGTGGTACTTTCAGATACACTTAGAAGTGGGAATAGACTTTTAGATAGTAAAATGATACATATTTTATTGCTTCATAATGGCAGGAATTTTGGTATCGAATCAATTAAAATGTGTAAATATACCCAAGTACCTTGTCTCTATTAGTCTGACCGCCATCCTTGACTAGTCCGTTTGATGATTGCCTGTGAAATACGTACCACTCTCGACACCCTTCCAGACGATGACGTGAAGGTCATCACGAACGCCAGCGCCCGCCGCAGTCATTCAGCTCTCAGATGAGAGTGGTCATTCCCCAAAATTTATCGTTAAATGGTCGTGAATTACTTCGTACACCTTGTAGAATAAAACATTCGTACGGCACAATCGTCAGAAAATATATCTTGAGGAAATCAAGCGGGATTTCGATGAGCTGCGATACTTTCAGCTTTATCGAGCGGGGTTGCAACGGTCGCTCCCTCTCCCCCATCTTCCCATGCTCGCTCGCCCCGTGCATATGAAATGGAGGGTGGGACAGCGTCCACAGAGTCTCAAGCCCAACGATTTCAAACAAGTAGAATAACAAAAAAAACTCTGAACAATGAATCCTGCTTTCGTTTGTGTGGTGTGGTTGCGCATGGCGCCAGGCCTCGACCTGTGTTTGCTGACATGACCAATCCTCTTCCTTGGGAATGAAACTGCCTGCTTTGTACTCCGAAGCCGGTGCGGAGTGATATTTGACCGATGAATGAATCCTTGAAGCTTCTCCTCTTCCGAACAGTTGGCACATTCTTGCATCCTCACAAAACTAGCACCAACATTCAACCAAATCCTGTTTAGACATTCAATGATGGGTGGTTGATAAAATCTGTCGAGTCGATTGCGGACTGAAGTTGTTCTCGCGACCATCCACTCATCCAATTTGGAACGGCGGCAACGCTCATGAGGCCAGCCACCGTGCCCGCCGCGTGTGACTGAGATATGAGTGTGTGAGTCTGCCATCAACCGCCAAAGTGAGTGTACAAAGTACTTCGTAAGGCTTAGCACAGGCTTGGAGGTCCCAGCCACACACTCCTCCCCACTCCTTCAAAGTAAACTAAGTCAGCACTACCCGCCACGTCTGCTAATCTTCTAGCTACATTCTAGTATCCTGTACTCTCATTAAGCCCTGGTAGACTGGCCTTGCTGAAGGATGAAGTACTGGTACATAGTTCGTGCTTGATGAACCTGCTCAAGACAGTCTGTCATCCGCTCTGGGAATGGCGGATGATTCCCTTGACCTTCATCGTCCGCGTACCCATACAACCTGGAGAAACCCTTGCTCACTTGCCACTGCCACATTTCCCTCCCGCAGGGCTTCGCACTTGTTCGTATCTGAGTCGTCGACCTGGTGCTAACAATTTGCGACCAACTGCCCGTCACTGGGCTCTCCACAGCTTTTGCCAGGCACCCGCGCTCCCATTTTAGCCTCACTTTGACACTTTGCTGCTGTGCGCATGTCCCCAGACCTTGGTCGAACTGACGGGGTTTTGTCTTTACCTTCAGGGCAAAAAAACCGAACTTCGTGTCTTTTTTAACACATTTGGAGTGACCAGACGTTAGATGGCCAGTCTGGCCGTCAGCAGGACCGATCTGCCCACAACTTGCCATCGCCTGCCGCCGCTTGTCCTTTCATCATCTGGCGGGATCCGGGCTTGCTGGTCTGGCTGTGCGCCGCCCTTTTGCTCCCTCTTCTTCTTCTTTTTCTCTTCTGTCTATTTACGACCAACTGCTTCTTGGGGTTTCCATAAGCGCGCTTCCACTTGTTACCCTTTCTTACCTTCTTACTCTCGCCCCAATTCTCTCGCTGTTCTATAGCTACCCACCGCTTACTACTCACTTCTCCCGTCATTGAATTCTTGCTCTTTGGGCTGAAGACAACCTTCTTGTCCTCCCCGCTTCCTCTCCCGTCCTTAACTTGAGAGTCCTACGAGCCTAAATTTTTAAAGCCATTTTCCACCGCATCTGCATCATCCAACACAAAACTTTTTTTTTGCTCCGGGTCACAGGCATTCTGTTCCTGGTCTATTCTTATTGCTTCCTTCTCCCTTTTTATGTATATGAAGAGGATCGGAAACGTTCCTTGAAAAGAAAACTCCAAAAATAAACCCCTCCCGAGATTCCTTTTATTCCTATAGTCTCCCCGGCGCGCGACAATGCTCAGCCGATTCTAGTTTCCCGCCGACCGCGAGTCCTGCGCACCGCTCGACGCTACAATGGCCGAGCGAATCTTTGACTCATCCGAGGCTTGTTCTCAGGAAAAGACGGAGCCCTTTTCCCAAACCGAGATTGACGCTCGACTAAAGAAGAAGAACCTCGACATCGTGGACTGGTTCGATGACCTAGAGGCATCTCCTCCAATCCACCTTGACCTCCTCAAAGTTGAGGATCACCACCATGACGCTGGCGTCAGGCTCCTAGTGCGACCCCTCATCCGCACTCCTTCCGTCAGCCCGGGCAACGAGAACTGTCAATGGCAACTCTTCCTCTCCGATAGCGACACTCAGGATCAACGACACCACAGGGCTCTCGCCGTGACTCAGACCGCCAAGGATGTCAAGTTTCGAGTGCGCATCCCCGGCGACAACAGCGACCTCAACCCGCGCCCGCTCCTGTGGTGCGAACTATACTATCACCCCTCCAGTGATACTCAAATCCTACTGAATCGCTCAGACATTCCAATCGCTCTTACTCGCCAATCCGACAAGCCCGCGGATGACGCCTTTTTGCGCCATGTTGTCAACCCAGGGACGACCCGGACGCTGGCTCCTGGGACTTGGAGGATCCACCTCAACGACATTGAAGTTTTGGATTTCCGGATACTGAAGAAGCGACCTGTTCTGCTCCATATGCCCAAGTTCACCCCCAAGTCTGAGCAAGCTGGGTCACCACCCAAAGATTGCTCCCCGCTGAACTCCTCGGGTAAACGCCCCTCAGTAGGCGAGGCGGATGAGTCATCGCGGAACGATAAGAAACCGCGGACTGGAGACGCCCCTGAACGTGGAAAGGATGGCGTCCTCGTGTGCGTTCCCCTCCAGGCGACCGGGAGGGAACTTGTTCGATCGAATGGCCAGGCCCTAGTGGAGCTTGATAAGGGCGAGACCCTTCAGATTCCGGGAACCAGTTACTTGGCTCCCTATCAGATTACCAAGCTCGACCAGATCGCGTCCGCGGGTGCCTCCACGGTCTACACGGGGAAGTTGTCTCACCTCCCTAACCAAGTCGTCACCGTCAAGGTTCTCAAGACTCGCCCGGCTGGCGGAAATGTCAAGCCGCACGAGGCTGAGCGGAGCGTGATTCACCAGGCCGATATGTGGCTGCGCGAGTACCAAAGCCAGGACGCGCTGCAGCATGAATCCATTGTCAAACTTTTCGGCGGCGATGCCCGACATCTCGCCTTGTATATGGAACACGTCGATGGACGTGATCTGTCGGCGAGGGGTGTTTGGCGAAGCCAGACGAATGACTTCTTCATGGGCACTAAGGCTGATGCAATTCGGATAATCCGGGATATCACCAGTGCCCTTCATTATATACACGGACGTAACCTGCTCCACAACGATATCAAGCCGTCGAATATCCTTTATTCGCCGGAGCAGGGTGCGACACTATGCGACTTCGGACTGTCGACGTACACGCGGGAGGCCCCCGCCATGGGTGGAACGCCGTACTACGTCCCACCGGAGTTCATCGGACGCAAGCTTCGCGGAGCTCCATCCGACGTTTGGGCCCTGGGCATCACGATGCTCTACGTCCTCCGCAAGATCCCGCTTCCAGAATCGCGAGGCGGTCGCGCCCACCCGAAGCGTCTATGGTGGCTCATCGCCGACCTGAATCGCGGCGGAGGCAACCGGATGCAGCAATCCATCTCTGCTGTAACGCAGATGCAGATGTGGTTGAGCGAAATTGCCGAAGCGCGAAGCCGGCTGAATCCTCGCGAGAAGATGGAGAAGCTCGTGAGCGAGATGCTGGTGCCCAACCCGCGGCAGAGGATTTCAGTCGCAGACGTCCTTGATACGATGTTCTCCGACGAGCCGACCTCTGTCGCTAATTAGACCGCTGAAGGCTGAAGCGGTGTGTTGTGTCTCACCGCCAAACGCCAGCCGCGGTTAGGCTCGAAGTGTTTCAATGTTTCATGTCCCACTCCTCTATCTACTCCTTTCTGTACCTGCTGTCGATGGCATGATGTGTTTTTATCGTCTTTCTTAGGAGTCATGATGGTTTTGCATTTAGGCGCAATGATGTTGTTTGGAATGTCTTTTTCCTTTTTTCTCTTTTCTTTTTCCTTCTAGAGATACCATGGTTTTTTGTCCTTTTCCTTACTTGAGATCTTATGTCCCTGGCATGTTCTCAGTCTTTGTCGCTGGAATTCTTGGTTTCGTGTACTTGTTGATTTTCGTCTTTCATATCGATACGCTTTGGTTTATGATTTTGGCCTGTCCTATTGTTTTCAGTCAGTGTGAGGGCGGTTTTTGATATTCATTTCTTGATGTGCAAGGCATGGCGTGTTTTGAAACATTCATCTCAAGCTCGAGGCATTCATGCATCTTGTTTTTTTTTTTTCTTCTCACTGCATATATATGTTACATCATTTTACATCATCATTTTTGGGGCATTTTTCTTTTTGAGAGTTGCTCTAAAACAGCAATGTATTAGGGTATACGTTAGAATCGAAGTTACATCCAGCGCTTCATCACTCATCCATCAATGTTCCTGCTCTCTTCCTGAAATGTGGTATCATGCAATCATCTCCGCATCCTCATCCTCTTACAGGATAGATGTTGGCAAACATAAACACTCAAAATCAAGGATTCATTAACGCCTGCCCCCCCTTTTCCTCAGTCAACTTAAAGAGTCAGGCCGGCAACGAATGCAACGGCCAACCCGACGGCAGACATAAGGGAATAAGTAGAGAACCCAGCAGTCGCGGCGCCCGAGCCGGAATCGCCACCACCAGACGAGTTGTTGCTGTCACCCGAACCGGAACCAGAACCCTGATCCTGGGTGGAGGGCTCGGGGACCTCACCAGAGCTAGTCTTGGGGTTCTCAACAGCGCCAACAACGTAGTACTCAACACCATTAGTGTTGCACTCCTCGCCGCCGAAAGGCTTAGCATTAGCCGTGAAGCGGATGTTAGCGCAGTTGTAAAGCGCATCGCCCCTGTCGCCGGTAGTGACGACCTGGATGGAAGCCTCCTGGCCCTCCTGGACGTCGAGGTGGACGGGCAGCGAGGGGACGCAGAGGGTGCCGTTGCCGGTGGTGTTCCAGAACTGAGGGGTCAGGGAGATGTTGAAGTTGGAGGCGTTTTGGCCGAGGCCGAGGTTGACGAAGACGTAGCTCCAGGGGTGGTGGAGGTCGAGCTTGAGGCCGCCGCCGGTGAGGGGCCAGTCGGTGACGTTGCCTGCGTCGCCGGGGACGTTGGCGCCTATTTGACGAGAGGGCGTTAGTTATTTGATGATGTCTTAAAGGGTTTAAAGAGAGAAACGGAGGAAGTGAAAACGTACAAGGGTAGATGCGCTGGTTGTAGCCGGAGTCTTCGGAGGCCTTGAGGGTGTCGGCGCGCCACTCGGGGAATTCGAGGCCGAAGTGGGCGGCGGCGGAGGCCGCGAAGAGGACGAGGGCCTTGAGGGACATTGTGAAGGATATGTCTGTGCTTTACGGGGGATCGAGAGTAGTAGTACGAATCACAGGAGATGATACACCAATGGTGAAGAGAGAGAAGAGTTGAGGATGGTTGTGGACGAGTGGGACAGAGCTTGAGAGCTCGGGGAGAGAGGCACAGCTCTTCTTATACCACAGCTGCACCAGAGAGGAAGAGGAGGGGGGGACCCGGCGACTTGGATCAAAAGAGGCAGACAAGTAAAATCCATTCCGCTCCCCGGACACTCGGCATGTCGCCCGCGTCATTTTACTTACACTAGGTTGCGGCGCCCACGCCCGCCCATTACTTCCGCCACACGAGAGTGACCAAACTCCGAGGGAGACGTTGCGCTAATGCGCAGGGACGCCGCTTTGGAAAAGCCAATTCAAAGCTCGAATCCATTTCCAATGGAACCGCCTTCGCTAGCTCGGCTGCCAAGACTGGAATGCTAAGAGCTTAGTAGTGTGTAGTGTATATTGTGTGCCGGAGGGCGGGTTGGGATCCTGGTTTCTAGGTTTTTGCCTTGTCTATATTCGGAGATGGGCAGGGACGGAGTGAGCAAGTTTTCTGCGGGATGGGCTGCCGTGTTGGTGTTAGTCACTGATTGATACCTCACGCTTGCGGCCCCAGGCACATTGATGATTGGGGGGGCATGAAGGATTGTTTAAGTATGGACCTAGGATCTAGAATGTATTCGATGTGGCTTGAGTTTATCGTGTTATAGTTAGAAGTTTGGAGTCCATCAGTCATTGGAAGCTATTTAATACTAGAGCAGTACTGCAGTGTCTTTCAAGACGATAAAAGACAGCACTTCAAGAAACAACATGGAAACATCCGTATCCATCCCATTGCTTCGTAACCCATAATCCACCCATCTCGCCCAGCCCTTTGCATGCCGAAGGCCGAATTGTCCAATCCAACCTATTCAAAAGACCAAGGCCCAACCGCGGGGGTAGTTGAACGTTGTCTTCTCACACGCACAGAAATAGCAGCTTTGAGCTGTTTGGGTGGGGGATGGCGGGGCAGCCCTTCAGCCCATTGGGAAAATGCCCAAAGAAAACTTGCTCAAATCAGCGCAAGCATGGATCTGGATGTAAGTTCTGCGCCTAACCAACCATTGGACTTTTTTCCCTTCCTCTTCTTTCTTTTTCAATGCTTGAGCGGGATTCTGGGTTGCATTTCTCTTGATGCGGGTTATTTCCCTATTTTGGGAAGGTGTGGTGGTGGGATTGGGCTTTGTATGAAGGAAGCCCTGGGATTATACTACCTTCGTACGTTGGCTTGCATTTCTCGTGGAGACGGCAAGCTTCTTTTTTTCTGTTTTCCTTGGCGGTGCTGGCCGATGGAGACGAGAATCTGATATCATTTATCTGATGGCTTGGTTGCCGAGTCTAGCAGCAGTATGCCCGGACCGCTTCTTCCAGGTGAGTTGGGATGGGTATCTTTGTGTGATTTGTTCGTGGAGGGCTTGAACTCGAAGAAAGTGTTTACTTATTCATGAAGTCGAATGCCGGGGAGCCGAGACATTCCTGGATACATTCATTTGTGTATGCCAATCTATAAATGTCTTCCTCGATGTTTTTTCTCTTGCTGATCCAGGAAGAATCTCGCTGGCTTACACAGGCCCCTGCCACGCATTTATGCGGGGTATTCATCTTGCGAATTTCAAAAAGCTGACAGCTTGGTCAACTGGGCAAAAAGCTGGCCCTTTTCTTCATCGATGTACCGGTACTTCCTCCCGGCGTACCGGAGCATGGGATGGCCGTCCTCAGAGCAAAGAGCTCAACCCCGGACCCGGGAAAGGAGACGGATCTCAAGCCAAACTTGGGTGGAGCAGCTTGCGGAGAAGAAATTGAAAACGGGAAGTAAGGTTGGACCTCCGAAAGGTGGCAAAAAGCGAAGTGGACACACCGTGTGATGTGTCCGTTGAAAAGTCCTGATTTCGTAAGTTCAGCTACTCCGCTGAGAGACAGTCAGTTTTATCTGACTATATCAAGGGTCACTAAAACAATATCGGTCGACGTGTTCGATAGAGCAGAGGACGACAAAAAAATGTAAAAGCAAATCGGATGCACCGCCTAGTGCATCCCCATGGAAAGTCTTCCGGTTACTTCGCGAATGACTAGTTTATTTGGCTATATCAAGGCTGAGGAAATAGCATCGATTTGATGTGTTTTATGAAGTAGAATGTATATCCAAGAAGTAAGCCGGGCAAAAAAGCGAAGGACGCACCTTGCGGTACGTCTGTAGAATCCCTTTTTATATGTTAAGCTACTTCGCTGATAGGGACCGGTTTATTTGGCTTTATGAAGCTTGAGGTCTAACGAACATCGACCACGTGATAATAGCAGGTGTCGTGAATGATGAAAAAAAGATACGATTTGCCTACCTAGGTAGAGTGAGTAGAGCAAAAAAGCGAAGGTGGACATCCCCGAAAGGATGCCCGGTTTGCCCAGAGGGCGATGTTCCATTGCCCAAAGGCTATGGTCCCGAAGGAGATTTCGTCTGTAGAGCTACTTCGCTGTTTTAACTCAATTTTAATATCGTATATAAAGCCATGCGCATGGCTGATGCTGAGACTGAAACTTGGGACGGCATTAGGCACAAGCGCGATGCAGGCTCGGGAAGTTTTGTCAGTTGCCGACTGTTACCAGCCGTCGACTAACAACAGCGTTCGCTTGAAAGGTTTTTGAAGAAAAAAAGTTGCCCACCACATCCCACCTCGAATCTCGAACTGAAAGTCTTACCAGTTCCGCCGGCCGAATCCAACAAATTCAACATGGACATTTTAAAAGTCCTCTCGAGGGGAATAAGGAAACCCTCACAGGGCCCCGGTAGCCATGCACCGGGTGCATTGCCCGCTAAGCTCCCTTCCGCCGGTACAAAACCGCACCCACAGCTTTTCCACGACGAAGTCGGCCCCGCGAGAGCTTCGAAGCGGAAACGAAGCTCTGCCAACGACAACGACGGCGACGGCGACGAGGAGGATGGCGATATCCATGCAGTGTCTCTACCTACGGTCGACTTCTTTGCTCCCCGGAGTGAACCCGCGAAGTCCGCCCGCCAGGTCGAAGAAGAAACCCAGCCCGATTCGGAATCCGAAGACGAGACGACACCGGCGCAGTCTATCCCCCCGATGAGTGAGGAGGAATGCCGCCAACTTCTGCGCTCGCACAGATTAAAATTTACCCTCCTGCTTGGATCCCTTTCGAAGCCCTCGCGAGTCGAGAGGAGGTCCAAAAAGAAGGCAAAAGTTCAGCCGCCGCCTACGAAAAAGGAAGAGAAGGAAGCGCTCTACCCCCGGCCGCTGGTGTCTTTTAGCGAACTCCGCTCTTTCTACAACATCCCTACGCAGCTCGCGAAGAATATCGCCGAGGAGGGCTACAGGATTCCTACGGAGGTGCAATTGGCTAGCTTGCCGCTGTTACTTAGGCCGAGCGTGGCCCTGCGAGATGCCCACGGGTCGGACGATCAGACCTCTCTCGACTTCATGGCGGTTGCGCCCACGGGCAGTGGCAAGACTATAAGTTTCTTGATCCCAGCTATAACGAATATCCTGAGTAGGAGAGAAAAGGAGGGGCTGGGTGCCGTACATGAGCTTGAGGCCGTCGTGGTAGCACCGACTCGGGAGCTCGCGTTTCAGATTATGAACGAGGGAAGGAAGCTCACGATGGGCACGGGCCTTCGAGTCGTCCTCATGAAGAAGGGAATGGAAATTGAAGCCGAACAAAGCCACGCCGTCTCTCTCGACGAGTCAGAAAGCGAGGAGGAAGAAAGCGAAGACTCTCAATTGGAAGATGAAGCAAAGAAGACGTCGAAAAAACGCTCCATCGCCAAGCCCGACATCCTAGTCACCACCCCAGCACCTCTACTCAACTTCCTCACCAAGAACAGCTCAAAGACGAACAAAATCCTCCCCTCGGTGCGCACCCTCATCCTTGACGAAGCCGACGTCCTCCTCGACCCCATCTTCCTCGACCAAACCACAGGCGTGTGGTCCGCCTGCACGAACCCCAACCTCCAAGTAACCCTCTGGTCCGCAACGATGGGCTCCAACATCGAATCCCTTGTCAGGGAGCGCCTCGAATCCCGCGTCGCAACCCTCAACCACCCTCCTCGACCTCTCCTCCGCCTCGTCGTCGGCCTCAAGGACACCGCCGTCCCCAATATCGACCACAAACTAATGTACACCGCCTCCGAAAACGGCAAACTCCTCGCCATGCGCCAACTCCTCCGTCCCCGCTCCCTCTCTGACCCCTCCGCCCTGCCCCCGCTCCGACCCCCCTTCTTAGTCTTCACGCAAACCATCGAGCGCGCGGCCGCCCTCGAAACGGAACTACGCTACGATATACCCCTCGAGGCCGGCGGCGCAACCCGCATCGCGAGCCTCCACGGCGGCCTTTCGGACTCTGCGCGCTCTAACATCATGCGCCGCTTCCGCGCCGGAGAGGTCTGGGTCCTCATCACCACCGACGTACTCGCCCGCGGTGTCGACTTCGCCGGCGTTAACGGCATCGTCAATTACGACGTGCCCACCTCCGCAGCGGCATACGTCCACCGCGCGGGGAGGACAGGTCGTGCTGGTCGCGAGGGAGGCGTCGCTGTCACTCTGTATACGAAAGATGACATCCCCTTCGTCAAGACCGTGGCGAACGTCATCGCTGCTAGCGATAAGCAGGCCGGGAAGACGGGCGATGAGGCGGGCGTTCAGAAGTGGCTTTTGGATGCGTTGCCGAACGTGTCGAAGGCGGATAGGAAGAAGCTTAAGGAGAGGGGAGTTGAGAGTCGAAGGAGTGGAGCCAAGGCGAAGATTACGTCCCAGAGCGGCTATGATAGGAGGAAGGAGACGAATAGGCAGGGAGCTATTGAATCGGCGAAGAAGAAGAAGAAGAAGAAGGGTAAAGGGCAGAGCAAGGGGAGGGTCCAAGAAGATGAGGAGGAGTGGGGAGGAATTGAAGATTGAGATTAGGCCATTGCTTAACTAGTCAGATAATAAACTGGTAAACAATAACCCTTTCAAGCTCCAGATAAGTCCTGCGCATTATAGATAGACCTGTACTTTTCATGCCATCACTCTCAAACTCTCATTTGACAAGCTCCATATGAACACAGAAGGAGGTAGATGCGCATAGCGGAAGAATTAGTCCAGAACATAATGTAGCTTTTCTCTGGGATCATGCGTGCATTCACGTTTCTGTCACAAAGGATACGGACATATGCAAGACATTAAAGACAACTTAAATGCCTTTGCTGGGAAAAGGCAGCTCTTCCAATTGACCTCCTGACTTTAGACTAGTTCGTTATGACACACTGAGATCCTAAACTCAGCTTCATTGTCAGGCCAAAACTTTTTAATATCGCCGACTGAAAGACATTCCATCTGGCTCCGGAAAAAATACAGGTCTGGGCGTTTATAGGGTGCCAGAGTTGGTGATGGTAGGCTTCTTGCCATACTTGACGGCACCGGACTGCGAGCCAGCAGCCTCAATAGCCTTGACGACCTTGAAGCTTTCCGGGTCAGCGACCTCGCCGAAGACAACATGGCGGCCGTCGAGCCAGCTAGTCACAACGGTGGTAATGAAGAACTGCGAGCCGTTGCTGTAGAGAGTGTGTAAGTACATGGCTGTTAAAAATGGATGTTAGGGATCGAGGATTTCCCCCCCTCTACAACGTACGTGTTGGGGCCAGCGTTGGCCATGGAGAGGAGGCCGGGCCTGTCGTGCTTGAGGTTGAAGTTCTCATCGGCGAACTTCTCGCCATAGATGGACTTGCCACCGGTACCCTACCATGCTATTAGTATTGCACCAAAGCGGGTTGTTGGAAGAGCAATTAAGGGAATGAAGGTAAGAAAAAAAAAAGGAAAAATTCACGTACGTTGCCACGGGTGAAGTCACCACCCTGAAGCATGAACTCGGGGATGATGCGGTGGAACGAAGAGCCCTTGTAGCCGAAGCCCTTCTCGCCGGTGCAGAGAGCTCGGAAGTTCTCCGCGGTCTTGGGAACCTCTTTGTCGAAGAGGTTGAAGTTGATGCGGCCCTGTTGGACTGTAGTCGAGCTGTTAGGAGCTTTGTTGCAATGGTTGCGAGCAGAATTTGCTCGAGGGATGGGCAGAAGGTCGAGAGAAAGGCAAATTGATGCCAGAATCAAGAGAAAGATGAGGATTGATGGGAGGCAGGCCCATGGTGATGGGATGAGATGTGTGATGGGAGCTACTTACCAGCAACCTGGGCAGTGGGCTTGCCGTTGGGACCGAGGACGGGACCCTCCCACTCCAAGTCAAAGAAGCTTCATGGAGCTATCAGCACATTGTCTGCATGTTGCAGGAGATGGAGAATTCACACTTACACCTTGGTGGACATGATGGTAGATGCTGTGAAGAAACGAGGACGAAGATTAATTGATGGATTGGCGAGATGAACTCGAGTCTGGTTGTTGAGAAGAGATCGAGGAAGAGGTGAAACTGGTAAACAGGAGGATTGGCGGGGTAGGAGGGGTCGAAGAAGTTGGAGGGTTGGCCTCATTTTGAAGCTGGAGGGGGATTGGATTTGTTAGCAAGCATGATCCAGCGAATAGCAGCCCAGAATTGTAGCCGTGGTGTGGGGGGAGGGGCAGTGAGCCATCGTTATTTTCAAGCAGGTACGACACTGCAAAATCACGTGTTCGCAGGAAGCGGGGTGCTGGGGCAACTGAAACTAGAGCAACTGCTATTCTTTTTTTTTGTCTTTGAAGAGCTTGGAGCAGGAAGGAGGATGGGAAGAAATGGGAAAGCTAGGGAAGGAGGCCTGGTCATGCTAGGGATGGTGCAAAACAGGGACAAGAGGGAAGGCAGAGGAGGTCCTAATATCTAGGGAACTAGAGAGTGTTATAATTTAGAACCAAGAACACCCAAAGCACAGCTTCAGGGCCTTCAGGAAGCTCTATCAAACAGCTCCCAAAGAGACATCCAGCCGGCAGCACAGTTCAACACCTCCAGAGTAAAGACAATCCGGTTGACCCTCAAGTGTCATCAACTACTAAAGAACAAGGCCCGTCCTCATTCTATTTGCGTACTCTTACGCTACCCACTTGAGTTGAAGAGATATAAAGAGAATAGTCTGAATGATGGAGAGCCTCGAGCTCTCAACAAAGACGAAGGGGGAGGAAGGGACTAATGCTCAATGGCCGGGCGAGGATGGGGGATGTGATTGTCATGCTGGACTTGGTTCATGTACACAGCCTCTGCATAGCAGACCAGCGGCTATGCGCGACACGGGGAGGCCAATTGGACTGGGGGCTCAGGCACTTTGGCCTGCAGCTTATTGTGCCATTGTCTCTCTGGCTCAAAGGCCGGCTTTTCGACCAGAGCAGAGATCGGGACAACTGAGGAGAGGGGCAGGGCCCCGGGTGAGACTATTTCCCTCGGTCGCCTCAACTCTTCCGAGCGGGGTTCAACAAGTTCGAGGTATTGCTGCTTGTACACTCGTACACGACGCGTACCCGTCCACTATGGGATAAGACGTGGTGGTTGCATGGCCTGAGAAGGAAAAGCATTTGATACGTACCAAAGCGCAAGACAGCACGGGGGAGAATGGAAAGCTGGGCTTTTGAAGTAGTGTACAGGCGAAGAGAATGGGCTATGGAATTAAAAGAGAACGCAAGTTTAATACAAGTACAGATGGCGGGAATGGAAGCTAGCGGATCGTAATAGTACAATTGCAGAGTTTTGATGATGAGGTTGAAGCTCCAGATCAGGAGGTTGACAGAAAAATTAATGTCGCCAGAATTGCGAGGCAAAACTTTTTTTTTCCCCTCGGAGTACCGGTCGTTGCCGGGTGAGCAACGAACGGGCCAAGTTCCCAGTGCTGGCAGACTGCAGCGTCGCAATGCGCAACTTCGGAGGAGACCACTAAACCGGACTTAGAAGCTTGTGATGAACTGCGTACATTGTACCTCAAGCACCGCTCCGGGTACTTTTTGTATCTCGACCAGGATTGTTGAGATTCGTCAACAAAGAATATCCAGTTGACGGACGGCCCAATTGTTCTCGATGCCGTGGGGTTTAAGCTCGGGGTAGAGAATCAGATCCTAAATAAAAAAAAGAAAAAAAAAAAGTCACAAGGGTGCGTTTCTCGCGAGAGAGCGTGCAGCGCAATAGACGCTCAGGAAGAAGAGGATTACAATTGTACCTTGTACGCATGGCTCTTCCAGCCTGGGCGACGGTTAGATTCATTCCAGTGGGCTGTTCAATCAGTCAGCATCGACTTCCGTCAAAGCAGCGAGTTGGAGATATCTCCAGGTCAATCTCCGTGATCACGTGATATTACCGTCACCACGGGGCCTTTTTTTTTTGTGGATCCTTGCAGTTTGGAGTTGGGCTGGATTGGAAGGCTTGCACTATTGAGGTACAAGGCAGGTGGGCTAAACAGCGCCTGCATTTTGGTACACGGCTGATTCGGAAAATAGCCTAACCTGACAGATAGCGTCCTCTTCCTTTCGTAGATCCCCCCCTTTCAGCCTCTTCGTCAGTCTAACATCTACAATCACCGTTACAACTTTCATTCTTCCGGCTCCGAGTGCTATCACATTGTATCTCCCGTCATCTCCTAGTCCGCTTCCCGCAACTCTTCTCCCTGGCGCCGCACCGAGTCGGTGACCGCATTCGCCATGGACCTTAGCAACCTTAAAGAAACCGTCAGCAACCTGACCTTGTATGATATCAAGGCAGGCGTGCGGAAGGTCCAAAATGGTAGGAAACTAGCCCTTCCCCCTTTTCTATTGCTCTTTCCTGCTGACGCTCTGGTCTCCTTAGCTGTCATGAACTATACTGAGATGGAGGCCAAGGTTTGTTCTTGGCCCCGCTCCCCCTTTCACGCCGACGGAGCTTCATGACGATTAACATCCTCTTAGGTTAGGGAGGCTACCAACAACGAGCCTTGGGGAGCGTCTTCAACATTAATGCAGGAGATCGCCAACGGAACCTTCAACTAGTAAGGCACCCTTCGAAGCTCGACTCCCCGAAGTCACTAACATTTCCGCAACAGCCAAACCCTCAACGAGATTATGCCGATCATCTATCGCCGCTTTACCGAAAAGTCCGCCGAAGAATGGCGCCAGATCTACAAGGCCCTCCAACTCCTGGAATTCCTTATCAAGCACGGTTCCGAGCGCGTAATCGACGATGCCCGAAGCCACCTTACCCTCCTCAAGATGCTCCGGCAATTCCACTACATCGATCAGAACGGAAAGGATCAGGGTATCAACGTGAGGAATCGCGCTAAGGAGCTCACCGAACTGCTGAGTGACGTTGACAAGATTCGATCCGAGCGTAAGAAGGCCCGCGCGACAAAGAACAAATATACGGGTGTTGAAGGCGGCACGGGCTTTGGCGGTGGCTTTTCCGGCGGAAGCAGCGGCCGATATGGTGGATTTGGCAGCGACTCGGGCGGTGGCTTCGGCGGTTATTCTGGTGGTGTATATGGTGATGGCGGCGGTTTTGGCGGTCAGTCTAGTGACTACGGTGCAAGCTCTGGGGGGTCCCGCGGAAACAAGTTTGAGGAATATGATGAGTTTGACGAGGATGAACGGCCCGCGGCTTCTTCCTCACGGCCACCCAGGCAAGCCGAACGGACAGCCGCAAGGAAGCCCGCCGAACCCCCGAAGAAGGCGAAGGCGCCCGAGGTCGACCTCTTTTCATTTGACGATGAATCCGCAACGTCGTCTTTCGCGGCAGCCCCTAGCAAGGCTCCGGCGACCCAGAGCTCTGCCCTTGCCGATCTTGCCGGATCGAGCAACGCAGCTGATGACGATGAGTTTGACGACTTCCAATCGGCACCTCCCGCGTCTCAACCAGCCGCGACCACCACGACCTTCGCTGCCGCCCCCCTCTCTCCGCCTATCACCACCGCCACAGTGACGACGTCATCTCAATTCGTGGCGCCCAAGCCTGTATCTGCTCCTCAGCAAGCCAACCTCAGCAATATGGTCAGCCTGTCTTCCATCTCGCCTTCTCCAAGCTCGACTGCGACCCCTGTAGCCAACTACTCTGCCTTCGCCTCCCCATCGGCCGCGCCTCTCGCGCCGCAGAACACGAAGCCCTCGGGCTACCAGCCGAGCGGCCCCAACTACTTTGGGTCTTTCCAGGCAACCCCGGCGTCTCAGGCATCAACATCCAGCACCGGTATGGCCGCTCTAAAGCCAGCCACTCCGTCGGGCGGCGCCAAGCCGGCCGCCAGCGGAGGTGATGCCTTCGGATCCCTCTGGTCACAGGCTAGCGCTGGCCTCAAGAAGAGCAACGCTCCTACCTCCGGACCGGCCTTGGGCCAGCTTGCCAAGGAGAAGAGCAGCGCAGGTATCTGGGGAGCCGCCGCCGCTGCGTCGCCCAGCCAGTCGCAGCCCAAGGCTGGTGGAAGCAACAACTTAAGCGACCTGCTCGGTTAATACGTCAGTGATACTGGTGGGGGTAATGGGAAAGGGGGGCCAATGTAGAACTGAGAAAGAAGATCAGGCGAGAAGTGGTCTCGAGAGAATGGTATTAGTGGTTCTCGGCAACATTTCGAGTTTGCATTTGCCAGAGGGGGTGCGTTTACGTGCGCTAGATGGGATGTATGATAAAAGTTCTTCCACAATCTTCTTCATAGCGCTCTGGAATTGACGAGGGAGAGAGGAGGTGGGATGGCATTCTTTTTTCTTCCGTTGGCAGAATGGTGGACTGTAGAGAGGCTCAGGCGTCGAGGTAAATACGATCATGACGTACATACGATTTATAGGTTCTCTCTAACTTGATGACAGTGCTCCTGACCTTTTGTTTTATATTTCTTCTTGGACCACGCGGTGATCTGTTTGAGAAACTTTAATATCACTTTTATCATGGACTTTGGCCCCGCTCGACTGAGACCTCCGGAACAGGATGGTTTAGAGAAGCACGTTGAGCGCATTTGCCAGTTCACGTCGTACTGATATCTGTCATGTAGAAATCCACGAAGCTATACGACAAAGCTATACGGCACGAGTCTCACTTTATAAGTCCAATTCGACATTCCATTGAGTATCCGGGTATCAGCTATCAACTACTTGAAGTAACATTATCCTCCGCCACCTTCTCTCGCGGCCCCCACCTCCCGCTTTTACAAAAAAAGAAACAGGGATTCCGCCGTGGAACCCTATTAGATATATGGGTATAGATGTTCTCTCGCTCCTGGACTCAGCAGCAAGTTCTGAGCAGAAATGGAGTTTCGGCTAGCTGTACTTAGCCGCAGCAAACGGTCGCTTCGTTGGCAGCGCTGGTACGTCTTTGATTTGGCACAAAACATTAGACTGATTGAGTAATTTTACAAACATGGGTTGGGAGAGAGGTCTCGAAACTTACCGCTCAACGAGGGTTTCCCACTGGAAGATGAAGGAACCGATGTAAGTGCCGATGAAGATGCAGATGATGATGTAGCCGTTGTAGTACATGGCGAGCCTATAGCCATGTTAGCTTTTTGAAAATGGAAAAGAACTCCCACCCGATTCTCCCGAGAGAGAGTTGGGAGGGAGTGAGGGAGAGTACCAAAACTTACAGCATCAGGAAGTAGGCAACAGCAAACTGAACCATATGCAAAAGCGCCCGAATAGCCTGCTGGAAAACATTCGGCCTAAAGGCGGGGATAGCCACGCAAGCGGCTCCGGAATCCGAGCCGTCTCCGGCCTTAGTTGCACCCGAGTTGGCGGCAGCGGCAGAGGAGTCGAGGAACTTGGCCCTGTGCTGGCGGAGGAGGAAGCGATCGTATTCCTTTACGGCGCGGCGGATGAGTTCGAGGCAGATACCGAGGCAGATGACGCCTATGCAGGAGCCGGCGAACATGCCCCTTGAGGTGACGTGCCAGGACCGGGCGATGAAGCAGGAGTCTATGGTGTTCCAGTTCCAGAGCATCTGTTTTAAGTATTTGTTAGCCTTGTTGGGGAGGGGGAGGGGGAACGATGAGGGGCGAGGAGAGGAGGGATCGTGCGTACAGAGATTTTGCAGCCTCCCATGGCGCTCTTGCTACCCATGGAGGCGGCGGCGCTGGTTGCGGCGGGCATCGAGGTGCCGGTTGGGGTGGCAGACATGCCAGTCATGGCCATGTCGCCGTGGTCGTGTCCTCCCATGTCCATTTTGAAGGTTCTTCTTGTTGGGCGAGAGACTTAGACTTGGTTAGGAGTTGTGAGGAATAGGGGGAGTTGGGTTGATCGTCAAGAGCGTTGATATCAATGACAGACGAGAAGGGAGTCCGAGATTTATATCGACTCGAAAGGGGATCAATGAAAGAGAGCTCGGTTCTATGAAGACGAGAATGAATCGAAAGAGCAACCGAAGACAACCGGAGACAGAAGGAAGGAGCAGCGGAGCTTTATGTATGCACAATCCCACGAGGCACAACGTCAAGTCCAAAGTCCCAAGCAACGCCAACGCTCGCCCCCCATGAGAAGATTTCACAAGGCCAAGCCCAAAAAAAAAACTCTCTCGTATTTTATTAAGTTCCATTAACGGTGCATGTAAGGTAAGGTCTAGTATGGGGGGGCAACCTTGCCTGTGATGGCACGTCCAGTATCCTTCTCACATCTGACGACTTGGCTCACGTACCCTAACCCGGCGCGCATTAGCATCGAGTTACGCAGGCCCAATCGAGGAGATACTCCGCGATACCGAGGCCCCGGTTCCATAGAGTAATGGTTTAATATGCGAGAGACACCAGCAAGATGGCAGCGGAAACGGAGTCTCGAAAATGCTCGGCTGACTTTACCAGAATGTAGTTATTGCTCGTTTGGTGCCTGCCAAGGGTGTTGGGCATATGTCGATCTCGTTACTTTGGCTGGCCCCCGTTCCGCGGCGACTTACACGCGGACAAAAGCGGCGCCGCTGAATTTTCTTTCCCTTCTTTTGTTTTCTACTGAAAAAAATGTAATCACGCCGTTTTCCCAGCCTCTCACAGCCAATAACAGCTCCAAACGCAAGTCGATATATCGGGTGGTAGGAATGATCCGATGTCGTCCGCTACGGCGGCGCAGGTGGCCATGTCTTGACGTAAAAACCTGTTGTCTTTTGAGAGCGTTTGAGCAAGTTTCCCTGGGTCTGTTTTGCCCTATTCGGAAGAGGCGACCTAAAATTTCTGGGGGCCGAGTGGTGCGCTCCGGGTCCTTATAATTGGGTCTGGCTTTTACGCCTGTCCAATGCTGGAGGTCGAATGGTCGCGGCGAGCTTGGCAAGATCGGGGCTTTTGGCAAGGGTTCTTAGCGCGGCATGTTGTCTGGGAGTTGAGCAACACCAGACGGCATCGTTCCGCTTGCCACCGACGCTAGTTCTAGTTTTGGCTTCTAGTCTGGTCTGCATTCCACTATTTTCATGGACAATGGGGAGGTTCATGAGATCGTGACCATAGAGATCGACGTTATTACGAAGTCCACCTCAACCCTTGGCGAGGCCAGACCCCCAATCTTGACTCCCACGGAAATATCTCACATCTCAATATCAAACGGATCCTCGCGAGACTCTCCTGGCACGAGGGCGAACTTTATCGTCTTACTCTCTGTACATTCCAACTTTGTAAGCTTTCATCTGTCATCGCAAACATTTTAGTTTGTTGGCTGAAAACAAGGGTCACTCCATTTTTCGTATGACTCTCGGGGAATGTTCTCTTTGGATAGTCGCCGAAAGGTGTAAGCCGCTCTCGCACTAGTCGCACTCGATGCTAACTTGGTTCATTTTACTCCCACTTCCCTTTCAGTCAAAAAGTAATCAACGACGTTGACTGGGGTTGGGCGCCTGCCCCCCACGAGCACAAGAGAATGTCCTGAGAGACCAAGGTCCATGACGTCGATTGACAATAGCTCCATGCTTAAGATGAAGTGGATATCACAGGCCTGGGCGGCCCACGGATGCTTAGAACGGCAATGATGGGAGTTCGAAAGGATCTTCCTTCCCTTACTCGGCAGTAGAAGCCGACGTATCTGAATTCCGCCTCCACTACGAAGTAGTTTACTCATACTCGTACATTATGCTAGATCCATGGATCATTGAAACAGAGCCGCATGGTGTTAGATTGGATGTTAAATTGCTCTCGCCAAGTCCATCGAGAGGCCAATGTCACCTGCAAGCTGCGGAGCGGCTGCCCAATATAGTACTCAAACCCACTCAACTGCATGCCGAGACCCGGATAACTTGCTCATCATTTAGTGTACGAAGTAGTGTAAGGGACGCTATGAGCGGACACAGACAACTCAGTTTGCCCAGCCGGCGACCGACATTGATCGGGGACTTGCCTTTCTGTACTCGGCCTTCACAGGCTAGCCCGAGGCGTCGGATCCGAAAACGGGCCGGACATTATGAGCTGGGAAAAGAAATGGCTACCAAAGATACAACAGTGCTTTCAACTTGACTCGACCTTGAAGGTCTTCCTAAATTACCCAAAGCGCCAGCGCCTGTTTGTCGTTCATCACCTCCAACCCCTACCTCGCCCAAGTATGATGTTATACGTACAAGTCTTTACCTTCGTCGCGTTCCTACGATTTCCTTTCCTCCGTCCCGAGAGCATAGAGCTCCTTCGGTCTCTGATTCGCATCGCAGCTCGAAAACTTCCACCAGCTCGAGTGCCACGAACCAGCAATGTTCACCATACCCCACTAGAAAAAGATGTCAGCTTTTTCCCTCGCCCTCATATCCGGACTCAATTGGTGAAAAGAAAAAAAAAATAAAAATAAAATAGATTATCGTCTTTCTTTCTACATACCTTGATAGGTGCTGGCATAGGCGGCCAGTTCGTCCACAGCGGAGCCTCGGCCGTTCGATCCAAGTTCAACAAGAAGAAAGGTACCACATCCAACAGTCCGGCCTTGGATACCGTGTTCTTGCCCCACGTCTTGAACATGAGCGCTGCTGCGGCATGTTCAGGGGTTCCGGCCTGAGGAGCTTTGGGGTGGCTAGCCATTTTGGCGATAGTATCAATCTCGCTGTGAAAGTGGTTCTCGAAGGGCTCATGGAAGGATGCCATGATGCGACGGAGTTCTTCGCTGGAGAAATCTGAGGGGGATTTTAGGGAGGTGAGGTAGGTGTTGAATTCGCCGAGGCCGCCGAGGAAGGATTCTTGAAAAGAGAGAAAGAGTCAAGTTAACAAAACGGGCTTCTTTTTCACCTTCTCTCTGGGGAAAAAGAAGGTGGGTGTTTCTTACCATGCTCCTCGTGAGTCTGCGTCCAAATATCCTTATCACCAAGAAGATCGACGACCTCGGTGAAGAGTGTATCTTCTTCGTCGTCGTGATGGGACTTGACAAACTTGAACCAAGTCAGAGAGTATGCGATGAAATCGGCCTTGTCTGCGTCGGTGATGTGAGGCGCCTGGAGCCAGATGGAATTGAATCCACGAATGATGCAGTTGTGCAGCATCGCCATGTGGCTTGCGCCGGTGGTGAAGATGTCATTCTGGAGACGGGAAAAAAGAAAAGAAAATAATTAGCACGGAATCCCACCCGACTTAACTTGCCGTCTGGCTTGAATTTCATCCAGGGGAATAGAGATCCTCGTCCTCACCTTCGGGGTCTCATCTTGTTGCGTGGAGAGATAGAGCGGCGTCTGAACAAGCTTCATGGGTCCATCAGCCCAGGGCTTGTCGCTAGGTGCCTGACTAGCCATCATAAAAGGAGCTCTGGTAAATAATATTCCGAAGAGAACAGCCAAGCTAGCAAGGAACAGTTGAAATGCCCGATTGAGCATTGGAAGAAGTCGCAAAGCGGAACTGACGAGGAATTGAAAACGTTCAAAGCTGTGCTGTGTGGAAGAGTGGGGAAATACGTTTCTTATGTGGCTTGGGATTTATGGTTTGAAAGCATTGGCAGATTCAGATCTTAGGCTGGATCAAATCAAGATAGTCTACGAAGAAAACCAATCGTTTCGGTGGATCGGATCATCTCAAGACACCGACAGGCTGGCATTGATTTCGTCATTCAAGTGTTTCCCCTCTGCATCAGGCCATTTCGTCTCGCCCCGTGATGGACGGATAGCGCAACAGAGTTCGAGCTTGGAGCGGGAAGCAGGGGAGAGGTGGAGTGGTGCTGATTAAATCAAGGGCACTGATTGGACCAACGGAGCTTCAATTGAATTGTGGGGACCTCCAAGTCCCGCTGTAATTAGTCAGCCGGCATTGACATGATGGGAAAGAGCGAATCAACTGTGGTCCCAAGCTCCGACCTGCTTCGGAGTTGTGAAGGAGCACAGCAACGCAACAGACTGCCAGACAATACCTGCCTGACTCTCAAAAGCCGCCTGGACGATCCACTCCGAACTACGAAGTACACATTGGCTGATAACGTCATAGGTTCCTCGCTCTCTTAAGTTGGATCAACGTCAACTCCAATCAGCCTCCAACAGGGGGTGTCTGCTTGATGCCTGAAACGACGAGAGGTTGACAATGTATTAGCTGGTGTGCTGAGAGGAGAGAAGTGCATGGCGATAGACAGGTGTAGGCGATGATTATGACGGTGAGCATGCCAAAGAGAATTTCGCAAGTTCTCTTCGATTATCCAAGAATCTTTCCGCAATTTGAGAGCCCGATATGTTATATCGATGACTTGCCAACAATACTATTGATATAACACATGCAAAGATCTCAAGCTCACTTACATACGTTTAAAAACTCATTCTCCGCATGGCCCGAGACGGCCACCCTAGATTCATCCTTTTCCGATCGTCCGGGTGAGGGCGGGCTGTATAGCGGCAGGTATAGCGGCAGGCATACACCTCCCCGCAGCAATCAATTCCTTTTCTTGAGAAAATGTCCCGATGCCTATTATGGGTGTTCCCCCGAACCTCACATGGTATTGAGGGTGGGGTGAAGTTATTAGATCCGCAATATCAGCCGCGGGTAAAGTCGACCTCGAAAACGTCTCTCCACGAAGCCGGGGTATATGTTCTCCCCCGAATCATGCCAAAGATGATCTACCCAGAGCGGAGATCATGAATTGGGGACGTGCGAGGTCTTAAGAAGCCTAGGAAGCCCTGCCGAATCTTGAAAGAGAAAAAAACTATTGTCCGCCCTCTCGTCGTCGTATGGACGTTACGTTATCACCAAGGCTGACCCTTGAACAGGGTTTATTGGGAAATATGAACCAATCGTCTGGCGGGTCAATCCTCATCTAGAGCCTCACTAATACGATTACTATATCTCCCTAATATCGAGTGGGCGAATATGACGGCTAAGCTGGTAAATAAAGACGACAAGACGGACGCAAGGAACGCAGAAACGGCCACACACTCAAACCCGGCGTTGGGGTAGGCCCAAGTTCTTGCTTCCAGAATATATTTAACAACCAAGGAAATAAAAGTTTCTCCCCCGTATGAATTCCTCAAACCATCTGGTCTCTCCCTTCACCCTGATTCACCACCTGTAGCTCTCTCTCTAGATACATCCGCCATGAAGAGAGCATTCCTCCTCACGGCCCTCAGCGGCTTAAGCCTCGCTGCGCCCCGACCCCAAGACGAACCCGAACCCGCAGAACCAAGCGAACCCCCGCCATCCTCCTCAATCCAATGCGCTCCCCTCCCCTCGCCCTGGCCCTCCTACCAAGCCTACCCAGCCCAAAGCTCCCTCCCAGACCCCTTCCTCCCTCCCATCTACATGACAACAGCCGGCTCCGACGGCGCCTCCGCCGCCGACATAATGTCCGGCAAGGGAAAAAACCGCATTCAAACCCCGCAAGAATGGTACGAATGCCAACGGCCGCAACTCCTCTCCATGCTGCAAGAGTACCAGTTCGGGTACTACCCGGACCACGCAGCCGAGACTGTCACGGCCACGCGCACGGGGAATAACCTCGCCATCAGCGTCGCGGCGGGTGGGAAAACGGCCAACTTTGCTGCTAGCGTGCAACTCCCTTCGGGAACGGGCCCGTTCCCTGTTGTTATAGCCATAGGCGGCATGAAGAACCAACCGTACCTCCAGGCGGGGATAGCTGTCGCAGAGTTCAACTACGTCTCCGTCGCCGCAGACAGTAACGCCAAGTCCGGCGCCTTCTGGCAACTCTACAGCGGCAAGGACATCGGCGTCCTCACGGCCTGGGCATGGGGCTTCCACCGCGTCCTCGACGCCATCAACCAGACCGTCTCCGAGATCGACCCCACCCGCGTCGGCGTCACGGGCTGCTCAAGGCTAGGAAAGGGAGCCCTCGCCGCCTCCCTCTTCGACGAACGCATCACCCTCTCCATGCCCATGTCCTCAGGCGTCCAAGGTTTCGGCCCTTATCGCTATTTCACACTATCCGGCCAGGGCGAGAACTTGGATAACTCCAAGGAGGGCGCGGGATGGTGGAGTAATAGTCGGCTCGGAGAGTTCGTGGGCCATCACGAGAATCTGCCCTTCGATGCGCATACTATCGCTGCTGCTATTGCGCCGAGGGCCATTGTTGCTGATCAGGGCGTGGGCGATCAGTTTGTTAATTCGAAAGGGTCGTCGACCGTTATTTATCCTGCTGCACAGGTGGTTTATGATTTCTTGGGGGCGAGCGATAAGCTTGCTATTGCGATTCGGCAGGGTGGACACTGCGATATGAGCGGATAGTAAGTTTTTCCTATCGTTCTTTTTTTCTTTTTCTCCCATCCGTTTTGTCTCCCTCGCTTGTATAGAGACGGTGTCCCTAACGTTAAAAAACAGCGACAACGTTCTCCCCTACGTCCGCCACATCCTCCAAGACGAGCCCCTCACAAGGGACTACCACGATCTCGGCAGCTATGGCTCGGCCTTGGCCGAGTCCTTCCCATGGTCTGCTACGGCTCCCAAGGCCTCCGCCTGACCAGAACAAAGAAAAAAAAAAAAAAAACTAAGAAGCTCAGGTGAAATAACAAATACGTGGAGGAGAGATTATGATGAGCTGCTGGGGAAATCTGTTGTAGATATCAAGGATTGACGTACATGTTCATGTATAAAAGCGAACTTGGACATATTCCAAAAAAAAAAAAAGATCCAAACAAGCCATATTTTCGACCAAATTTACTATTACAACAAGTGAAAAAGAGAGAGAGACTAACAAGGAGCCTCAAATCTACCAACCAGCAAGAGAGCCGCTGAACGCCATCCTATGCCAGACCATCCCCCGGCCTTTCCACCCAATCCGGTAAAAAAAAATATCAAAACCCTCTTCAACTCCTTTCCATGGAATCAGTCTGTACCTTTAATCTAAGAAAAGCAAGAAAATAGATTGCTCCGAGCACTCTCCTTTCTTTTACGCAATCATCCTCACAGCAGCCATAAGCAACGCCCCACCCACAACCGACGCAAACGCCTTCCGCCTCCTCGTCCCCTTCAACGTCCTATAACTCTTCTCGCTCAAGAAATCCTCAGCAAGTAACTGCACGAGGCCGGCAAAGAGCAGCAGACCCGCGGAGATGGCATTCATAATGCCCACAGTTAGCAGGCCCGCCTCGCTCTGCGGGTCGTACATGTTGTGGATGATCAAACCGACGGCCTGGCCCACGGGCGTCGTCATGCCGAAGGCGAGGACCATAAGCCAGGGGCGCAACGAGGTCCTCGGGAAGTGGATGGCGGCGATGCGGCTGCCGAGGGCAAGACCCTCGAAGGACTGGTGGATGGCGATGGCGAAGAGGAAGACGAGGAAGGTGGGACCGGACTCGACGGAGAGGGCCATGCCGATGAAGATGCTGTGGAAGAGGATGCCGGCCTCGAGGAGGAGGCACTGGAGGAAGAGTTTCTTCTGCTCGTCAGGCGTGGGGATGTGTATGTGGGGATCTGTGTCGGCGCGGGGACGGCCGGTGGTGGCTTGGCCGTTGAGGGGTTTGTGGGTTTCGTCGTCGAGGGGTTGAGGGTCGAGTTCGTCGACATCGAGGGCGAGGTCCATGTCTGAGTCGGCATCAGTCGAGTCGCGTGCCGCGGAGTTTGTGGGCGGCGTCGCGTCCGGCAGGGGGGTCTGTCCCGGCCGAGGGGAAATGCCATCGACGAGGCCTTCGGTTGCTTCGAGGTCTCGAAGGTCTATGGCGGAAGGGTATTGGTGTCTCCTTGCCGCTAAGGTGCTTTCGGAGGGAGTAATGGTATGGATGGGGATCTTTTCCTCTTCGTCATCCGACTCCCACAGGTCGGGGGAATGGACGTGACCGGCACCCCTGCCAGTAAGATACGACTCGAGGGTCACGACGGAGAGAATGGCGATCATTGCGATAAGGCCTGCCATTGGCGTGTATTTCCTGCTGAAGAAGTCGGGGAGGCACGGATTCGTCAAGGACATGAAGGCCATGGGAAGAAGGTGTATGAAGGAGGTGGCCAGGAGCACGCCAGTGCCGAGATGCTGGCAGTAGAAGAGGAACTTTCTTCGGAATCCGGATTTATTGGACCGATTCGTCATGAGAGGTAGGCCGCATGCTAAAGGGTTGACATTAGATTAGCCCATGGACCTCCCAAGACACGCGGTGCTCAAATGGGAGAACGCACCCGTGGTGCTGAGTACGAGAATCAGGAACAATGCACCAACATGGAGCGGGGTGTTGTAGGATCCCATATCCATGGTGCTCCCGCAGTGGGGTTTCGGACCGTCCATAGCAGGGCCGCCATGTTGCCGCTTCGATAGTTCAGAGAGGAGTTCTTCGGTGGAGATGGAGGACCACGGGTCTGTTTGCGGGCTATCGTCAGTACGAAGAAGCTGGGAGGGAGGTCAAAGAGCCGTGTGCATGTGAAAGCGCCCGCGTTAAAGAGCAGCGCAGGTTTTGCAAAATCAACCCAAGAGATGGATGAAACGGGGATATCGGTTGCGAGTTGAAAAAAAAAAAATGAAAAAGAAAAAGGTCTTCACTTACCACGCGGGATGGGCTTGCCAGACAAGTCCATTTCGGCTAGTTATCGCGAACCTGCCGAACAAGAAAGATGGGATGAAGCCTTGGGCAGTCAGCGCATAGTTCCGCAGCACAGTCGCCAGGCGGCTGAGTTGATGAAGTGCAGAGTTGCCGATCGGCCAATGCGGTCTGTAGATGAATGCGGCGGTCGGGAAGCGGTTCGATATATTAAACCCAAATAGCTTCTGGATATGTTTTGAAGAATGGTGAACAAAGGATAGACTCAAGAAAGGATTAAATGTGGTTTCTGTCGAAGGATAGACGCATAAAGACTCGGTGATCCTTCAGGAGAAGTGGGATACTAGGATGAGGCGGGTACGAAGTACTTCGGAACTTCGTATTAGTCTAGTTAGTCTGTGGAGTAACAATTGAACCTTGGCACCTTTTGCCCTGCATTACGACGACCAAAGCCAGGCCTGATCCATGCAATAATTCGTACCTAAAATTAGACTGAGCCAGCAGATCTTGATGTACCTCCGTACTTCTCTTTAAATGTGCTCAAGGTGCTATTTTCTGCCCGCCAAGTGGTCCTTTTGGTACCCTTGACAGCGTCTACGAAGTACTGTAATCCGGCATCCAGCATAGACATGACCCCTAAATCTTGCTCGCGGTGCCTAGCGTTCAATCCCTGCGGTTCTAGCTGAGGTTCAAGCACCCTGATGACCCGAATCCCACGAACCGAAGAGGACACGGCAAGGGTTTGCTCGAAGCCGGCGCCAACATCAAGGCTGCTAGGATATCCATCTACACGAAGCCGCTGCACGAAGTCAAAAGTCAATACTTCGTAGACGGTTTGTGTATTGTTGATCTATACTCTATAGTATAGCGTCCTGGATTTGCTTGTTGATGGTACTTCATATTTCGTACCGATTTTCCCGTCAGATAGGGCTGCCGACGACATTGATGGTCCAGCCAACTCAATATCGTGAATAGTAATCTCAATGTCCATCTCTTACTGCTTTTGTCTTGAGATCGTCAATGGCGGGCAGTCCCATCTATGGACTAAGTGAACTGACAGATCTGCTTCAAGGCACTTGCCTATTTTGGGGAGGGGACAATCTTAATCTCATTGGGAACCCTTGGCGACTCCGTATTATTCCTCGAGCCCAAAGTTTATAACAGCTATTCTGTGTCGGTCTTCCTCGCGACTTCTGATGACCGATAAGACGGCCGAACATGGTCACGGAGACTATCTGATTCCGCAAAGCCGTGGCCCCCTCGAGATCATCCAGAAAAGCACGACACCTGTTTGCAGCTGACCAGCTAAACTCTCCTCCCAGCCACAGTTTTCTAAACAACTCACCCACCACCTCCTCCTCCCCCTTTATATCCCACAACATCAATACAATTCTATTAGAATGCCGACAGCGTCCTTACCCAAAAGAAGCCCCTCCCCAGGTGTCCTTTCCCCCACTGATGGCCCGTGAACAGAAGCCTTCCTGGGGGCACGCAGTCGAGAGCGAGAAAGTCAACCATCCCCAGCTGAGCAGGAGTCAACGCAGCCATTAATGCCGTCAGGCTTCAACTCTCCATCTACTAATAACCAGTTTTTCTCCCCCTCTAGCATGCCGAACTACCTTCTACGAAGTATAAACGAAGTAGTTCCCCACAGATGGACCAGGCCGGGAAATGCCAGCGCATGTGATTTTCACACGGACCTCAAAAGCTCACCCGGGCCCAACCCCGGTGGTCTGCCCAAGCCAAGCCCATCTCCATCCTCCGTCCTCCGCCTCCCAACTCACGAGATCAACATTCACATGTCCAGCAGAGCAACACACCTGTAGTAGTTTTATACGAAACTTATCTGAAAGTGACAACCGGTCGCGTAGCTCAATTGGTAGAGCAGGCGTGTTTTTATTCTAGCGTTCAGCGAGGATGCAGGTTCGAGTCCTGCCGTGACCATTTTTTACTCTTTTTTTTTTTTTTTTTTTCCCTATTTTTTCTCTTTTCCCTTCCGCTTCTTTTTTGTTTTGAGCTGCCTTGGAACCCTTGAAAATAGTGGGGTTGCCCTCTACATTCTTTAGTGGGTTGGACGGACTATAATTGATCTTTTTTGTCTGTCCCGGTGTTCTCATCCATCATGAATCGGGCCGTCATCTATCAGTCTTAGATGTGATCTGGGGGGGAAACCGTGATGGCCAGACTACGGTGTCGCTCTCTATCCCACCCACGGATCTCGCCTGCCTCAAAGAAATTGGTATGAGCCTCAGCAATTGCCTCGTAGCGAGGTAATGCTGTCTATTAGAAATTCTTAGGGAAGCAAGAACGATTGATGCCAGCTGAAGATGAATGTACAGTCCGAATTTCCCTTGACAAATATAATCCTTGCCCCATCATCACAACGCCCATTCCCGACTTACACCTGCCAACGGTCCCGGTTTGACCACGGGCTCAGCCCACCTCGACAAAGGTAAATCCTCGATGCCGTCGTCAAACGTAGTTCGGAACATTTGGGACACTGGAACCGGCCCTATTAATCCTTTCTCCTCCGGATTCCCCGTATGCCCTGCCGTAGAAGACTCGCCCTCCTCGATCCTTCCGTGTGAGGCCCGTTCTTGTGGCTGCGGCCTGGACGCGACTATACTAGTCGGCTTTGTCCGCAACTTCTTTGAAAGCCTGTTGCTCCTCTTTTGTCCCTTCACAAAATCATTGTACCGGATGTAGTTCATGAATCCTGAGTCGATACTCGTGGAAGATACCGGCCGAGAACCTCCGCCAATTCCTTCCCCCGGGAGAAGACGCGCTTCGACAAAGAGTTCCCTTGCATCCGGAAAGGTACACTCAAACGGATCCAAAAACAACGGATTGTAGAAATGCGGCATCTCCTCCGGCGCCACCGTCCTGTGGAGAACGATGAGCCGGTGCACCAGCCAAGTCAAATCCTGCGCCGTCTGCATCTGCGCCGCCATGGCCCTGGGTCCGCCCCTGGTCTCCATGTATGACTTCGCGGAATAGTTAATCAGCGCCGACAGGCCCAGTATCCTCGCGCCGTGTTCGCCGAAGTCGGCTCCGTTGACAATCGTGTGGGGCAGACGGAGGAACGTTTCGCTGGTGGTGAACCTGATCCGGACTCTCCTGACCTTGTCGCCGTCGTTTGGAAGTCTGACGCCGAATTCGTACTTGTTGTTCGGGTAGGTCTCGACGCCTTTCGTGGCGGCCCAGCTGCGCACGACGTCGTGCGTGTGGCCTGGGAAGAGGATGGTGACATGTCGCGCCCTGCGCGCTGTGTACCCGTACATCACCATGGCTGAGAGACCGCAGACGGTGTGGGGTATGTGGGATAGGTTTGCCCCGATCCAGGCTACTACCGCCATAACTGTGGCAGGGTGCATCTCCTCATCCCCCTGGTCGTTGGGCAGTGGTCGTCCGGGTACGGAGTCCAATGGATGCAATGGATGCGCGGGCCGCTCGTATGTCGGGTTCAGTGCAAGCGGGTAGGAACTGGGCCTTGCGAAGACTTCCCCTTTGTCGAACACGTATGGGGATTCCTGTCCGCGATAGTATCTTTCTAATGGTGGCCCGCCTCGGTATTTCCAGGTGTCGTAGTCTGCAACAGGCCAAGGGAGTGAAATCTGGGGACGACCAGTGATCACTTCTTCGACAACATTTTCGGGTATCTTTTCCTCCTTCGAAAACTGGGTTTTGAGGGCCTTTCGAACTCGTCGCACCCCCCGCATAGCCAAGGAAATGGGAAGATAACGGCCCAGACGGGAAAGCCAGTCAAATTCCTCCGACATCGTAATTACTGATGAGTCTGTGGCCGCGCGATTGCCCGCTAATATCTGATGAGAAACTTTCGTAGAGAGTTGGAGGCTTCGAGAGACTTATTAGTATCGTCGCGCTTGTTGGTTAGCAGGAAACAGAAGTGGAACACATCGATAGTAATGGAGGAACAAGTTTCAATATAAACCCTAGAGCACCCGCCGTCAACAATGACTTTGTGGAAACTCCTAGCCATCCGTGATAAAAACAAAGAGCTTTGTGAGGACTAGGTTCCATCAATAAGGCTTCGCCTCACAAAGAAACAGGCAACACGGACGAGGAAAGGGAACATCGCAAAGACGAGAAGGAAACAAAAGAAGGCATTGAAACAGAGCACTGAGAGAGCAAAGGGAACAAACCACTTGGGTGAGGGCTCAATTAAATTCCACTGTACATTGACGAGCCTGCTTCTAGAAATAATGCCGCGGCCCATCAGCAAGAGTTAGTTTCTAGTTTTACAAATGGCGAAGAGGTGGGGGTTCTTCGGAGGTCTTTTCATTTCAACTCTGCGTTGCGACTTTGTGTGTGGCGAGAACCGTTCATAACTCCTCCTCCACATCCATGAGGTCATTGCTGGCCTGCCCATTCTGGCCCGACGCGGGCGCATCCCTCTTCCCTGGCATCGTCGACTCCTTGTCAATCATTTGTCTTGACACCGATACAATGTTGTCCTCGATAAGTTGCTGACCAACATCCGCCAAATGCTTCTTCGGGTCTAGTTTTCCGACGTATCGGGTCTTGAGTTGCTCCTTCGTCAGCTCGGTCTCCTCCTTGACTCGCTTCTCGTATCCGTCCGCGAGGCTGACGAGCCTCTCCAACCTCTCCTTGTTGCGAGTGCCTTCGGCGTGGAAGTCCTCCATGGTCAGGGCCTCTGTCCAGACGTGCTTGTGTAGGTTCATCAACATGTTCTCCTCCAACGCGGTCTTTCTGTAATTGATGGCGATAGAGTAGTAGTGTCGGTTCAAACCGTGGATAAGGGCTTGGATCGAAGGCTTGTTGAGGTGGCCCAGGTTACTGGTACTTTGTCGGGGTTCTTGTCCGAGCATCAGGGACTGGGGGTTGATAAGGCGGAAGGCATCGATGACGACCTTTCCCTTGACGGACTGAATGGGGTCGACGACGACGGCGACGGCGCGGGGTGTGAGCTGTTCGAAGGACTGCTGGGTCTGGATATCAACGGATGATAGCCAGCAGCCGAAACCAGGATGGGAATGGTACCAGCCAACGACGGACTCGGGCCTATTTTAAAAGAAAACATAGCATATTAGCAGGGAAGATCTAACCACGGGTGGAGTGGGCCATGATGACTGCGAGTCAAAGCTTACCTTCCCGTTTGCCGGAGCATGTCCATCATCTTCATCTGAAAGACTGGGTCGACGGCCTCGACACTAACGCCCGTACCGCTCTGAGGCATAGCGAACACATCCACTACTCTTACAGTGAAATCGTCGACGAACTCTCCGAGCATCAGACCCATAACTTCCATAGGCACACCCGCGCGACCGTGGCGAAGCATCTTAAGTAGAGCAAGGGAGGAAATGTAAACGGTCTCGGAGTTGTCAATCAGGCTGGCGTTATCCTGCGCAGTATCATGTTAGCTTCAAGCGGGTAACTGTAGACGGGGGAAGAGCGGTGATGGCACATACAGCACCAGGTTGGCCTCCAAGGCCACCGAGGCCGCCGGGGCCAAGGATATTCCTGAGGCGCTCCATGACAGATTATTATCTTCGTCTAGGATGAAGGAGTAGCAAGAGGTTGATTTAAATGTAAGATCGGGAGACGAATAGTGGGATCGAGAATGTGAGAAAGGATTGATGGGTCTGCGATGTTGATGTGGCGATGGTGGTGAAGAAGTTGCGCGCGAGGATGGTGGCTGTTTTGATGGTTCTGCCCAGCTCGAGATGATGTTGACGCCAGCAGCTCGCAGCCTACAAGAATGGTCTTGCGCCAGAGCCTCTGCACCCTAGCTCCATCGGCTGGGCTGGACTGCGAAGAGCTAACAATGAGAGCTCCTGTTCAGCTTAGTCATAATCACGTGATGGGTGATTGGAGAACTCAATCTCCCATATCAGCCTTGCAGTACTATGGGCTGCGCAGAAGTTGATTGGACAGCTTTAGAGAGAGGCAACTTTAGTGCCAGTTACATAATCTAATCTCTCTCTCAGGATTCCAACTCAATTTATTGTTCAATACCGCGCCTTCTCCGAGTGTCGCCCGCCTCTCTTTTGATCTGAAGAGGCGCATCAGGCTGAATCGCAAGAATTCGTTTCTCTGAATATCTCGAGCGACCTTGCCCGTAACACCTAAGAAGTTGCATTGAAGGGTATCGGGAATTCTTTTACACTCAATTTTCATCTCTAATGATTTTCGGACCCGACAAAACGCAGATCTACCAGATCGCGCCGCTCCAAGATTCCTAGTCTTTACACAAGCGAGCACGACTTTGATTGAAGAATCTAATTACAGGAAGCACCAATTTAGACCTCACCAACACCTTTATCCTCACCCTTGACCAGGAGGTCTCGAACCCTATCCCCTGCGATATTTCTATCGCTCGTCTTGTCCTTTCGCCAACGAACCGCTTGCTTCGATACCTACGACGCCCCACCTCACCCGAGTTCACTTTCAAACTCTAGCTTCGCAAAACCTTTCTCTGACGAGCGAAATCTCCGGATCACCCGCGTCGCATCTTTCGACAACATCATCCGTTTCTCAAGATGTCTTTAACCGGACCTTTGGGCTCGGTAGCCCTCAATGACGGAAGATCTGGTGCTCCTCGAAAGGTCGCATACTTCTACGACGATGACATTGGCTACTATGCCTACCCAGTCGGTCACCCGATGAAGCCTCATCGAATCCGACTTGCCCATAACTTGATCATGCATTATAACCTCTACAGACATATGGAAGTATATGTAAGTGAAGGCAGTCCCATGTTCCAAATCATGCCCTTTCCGTGCGACTAACCGCCGACTCCTCCGTTGCAGCGTGCGAAGCCAGCCACGAAGATGGAAATGACACAATTCCACACGGACGAGTACATTGATTTCCTCCAAAAGGTCACCCCAGACAACATGGATGCGTACCAAAAAGAGCAGGGCAAGTATAACGTGGGAGACGACTGCCCTGTTATTGACGGGCTCTTCGAATTTTGCGGTATCAGTGCGGGCGCTTCGATGGAAGGAGCCGCAAGACTTAACAGACAGAAGTGTGACATTGCAGTGAATTGGGCAGGAGGTCTCCATCACGCTAAGAAGAGCGAAGCAAGTGGCTTCTGCTACGTAAATGGTTTGTCTCCTTTATCCCCCCACTTCCTCCTCTTCGCGGCACGAGATATTAACATTTCGGCAGACATCGTTCTCGGTATTCTCGAGCTTCTTCGATTTAACAAGCGCGTACTCTACATCGACATTGATGTCCATCATGGCGATGGTGTCGAAGAAGCTTTTTATACTACGGACCGAGTCATGACCGTGTCCTTCCACAAGTATGGAGAGTACTTCCCGGGTACTGGTGAGCTGCGCGATATCGGTATTGGCCAGGGAAAGCATTATGCTGTCAACTTCCCTATGCGCGACGGTATCACCGACATGTCGTACAAGTCTGTCTTCGAGCCCGTCATCTCTGGAGTGATGGAGTTCTTCAGGCCCGACGTCGTTGTTCTCCAATGCGGTAGCGACAGCTTGTCCGGTGACCGTCTCGGATGCTTCAACCTCAGCATGCGCGGACATGCAAACTGTGTCGGGTTCGTCAAGAGCTTTAACAAGCCGACTTTGGTCGTCGGCGGAGGCGGTTATACTATGCGCAACGTATCCCGTACGTGGGCTTACGAGACTGCTGTTGTCCTGGGCAAGGCGCACGAGCTGGACCCCAACATTCCGTATAACGAATACTACGCCGTAAGCATGGTCTCTCTTCATCGCTTTCACGGCAGTGGAATATGTGCTAACTTTTGTCGTTTCTAGTACTATGGTCCCGATTTCCAGCTGGATGTGCGACCTTCCAACATGGAGAATGCCAATAGCCCCGAGTACCTCGAGAAGATCAAGGCGGCGGTAATGGAGAACCTACGACACACAGTCCCCGTCCCATCAGTCCAAATGCAGGACATTCCCCCGTCGTTCGGCGCCATGACGGACGAAGAGGAGGCCGAATTGGATGATCTCAACGAGGATATGAACAAAGACGTTCGGGTCACCCAACGCGACACCGAGAAGAGGATCGTTCACGGTGCCGAGTTTGAGGACAGCGACGATGAGGAAGGCGCCATTAGGCCTAACGGCACGCGAGCCGGCGCCAAGCGACAGTTCACCGACTTTAAGAACGACGACGGTGCAGCGGAGAGCGGATCGGCCACCCCCGCTAACCAATCTACGACGGCTGCGGAACCCGCCGAAGTCGAGGACCCCGACGTCACCATTGAGGATGCCAGTATCAGCGCCCCCGCCCCCGCGGCGGCTGAGGACAAGCCCGCTAGGGCCGGTAGCCCACCCAAGAAGACAAAGACGGAGGATGAGCCCGCGGCGGCTGCCGATGCCGCTATATCGGACAAGGACGACACCGAGAAGGAGAAGGAGAAGGAGAAGGGAGCTGAAGCGCAACATCCTGAAGCTGACAAGGAGGACAAGCCCGCTGAGAAGGAAGCCGAGAAGCCAGTAGACGCTGACGGGGACATTGGCATGGAGGACGCCATTGTTAAGAAGGAGGATGACAAACAATGAACAAGTCTCTGTTTCTGGCTAGGGGGGAAGGTGTTGTGAGGCGATTCTCTTCTTTTTTCTTTTTTTTTTTTTTTTTCTTCTTTGGCATTTTCCCCTGTTTTACTTGTACGGCGGCGTTGGATGGGTTAATTATCATGGAACAAAAGGGAGGTCATGCCAATTGTTACTTTGTACAATACAACACAATATGTTTTCTAGAAGAAAAGCTTTTTAACTTGGATGCTCGATACGAGTGGATATTGAACCACCGTCCGACTCACACCTGCCTGTCCTCAAGGCCTAAACCGATCCCTCATACGAGGAATAGCATCAGAAGATCCTAACTCGAAAACTTGGAAAGCAGGACGAACCACGATCTAGCACCAAGGTACGGCGGAAAGTGACACCTCTGGAGATGCCGCAGAGCCTTCCAAAGAGGTGGGGCTTGTCATTTGATGTGAATGCTGTCCGATCAAAGAAGGCATTACGAACCAGAATAACTAAGCAAGCGGGAGTCGTGGTTGAAACGTGTCTGCTAGTAAGGAAGGTATAGCCCCAAGACTTTACGAACGCAGCGTTTTATACCTAGGGTCCTAGAGTAGAGCACCTGCCACTCAACTTACGGTGTTACTTACCGAAGCAAGCGAGACCGACTGGGGCGACGCTGGGACAGAAGCAGCCCTCGAGAGAAGATGCGTCTCGTCTGCTCCGACATACTCGAGCAAGCCGAGATTCCGGCTTCCGGCAGCGATGTGCCCTACGATGATGGCGGAACCTGAGGAGAAGGAGCCACGATGGATGCCATGAGTGTGCTTGGAATAAACCTCGCTGGGTGTTGAGGAATGCAATCCAACGTGGACTCCTTTCCCCCATCCTCTCCCGACCAAGACGTCATCTGTTTTGAAATTTGTAAGATGAATAGCCTACATAAATACGTGGTCGTAACCCGTCCAATTCGCTACATCCGTGGATTTTGCATAGATCGCACGTGGGGAGGGCGAGCGGTGGGCGGTGGGCGAGCAGAGTGCGCCAGAGAACCCTTCCTCCAATGAACAAACTTAGACTTACTGACATCTGGGCAGGCCACCTGTCTGAGCGAAGGAGGCCATATCCGGCCATGCCATGGTTACAAAATATGAGAGGTGCGTTTTGTGTTCTCTTTACATGAAGTTCAGACGTGAGCCACTTTGCGCCGGAGGTCAGCCATCCACTATACAAGCGTCAACTCTCTGGGACTATATGCGTTCGGCCATTTACTACTTAGTGCGTAGTTACAGTAGGGTCAACCGCCTCTCGAGACCATGCAGACGAGATTGCTTTGGGGGGTGTTTGAGTACGGTGGTGGCGCCCTAGAGCCCGTTTGTATATCAACAACGGTTGAAGATCCTCGCCTTGATCGTATCGAAAGGCGGCTAGGTCGCGCACGATATCGCGCAACGGAGGATATCCTTGATCGCAAAAAAAAAAAAACAAAAAAAAAAAAAAAAAAAAAAAAAAAAAAAAACCTGATTCTGGAGCTGCTAATCTCGAGGGGTCGCCGAGGGGCTGTTAGAGTCAGAGTCGGTGCATAGGGATATTCTTCTTGTTGGACAGACCTCACCGTCTGGACCAGACTTCCGCTTGTACTCCTTTCCAGGCTCAAAAGCTAACAACGTGTCCAATGCCCTAGAGGTTTCTACTGAGGTGGAGTTCCGACCGAAATCGACTGAAACAAATCGGGGCCCGAATCATTCTCCTCTTCACGGAGGAAGGGGTCGGGGTCGGGGTCAAAGTCATCAAGGACATTGCTCGTAGTCATCGGGTTAGAGTAATCCATCTGCAAAGTAAATTAGCTACCACATTGCCTGCTGATTTTGCGAATAGTTTGATACATACTATATTGAATGGAGGCCGCATTTGCTCCCCCGGAAATAGCGAAATTCGAGGTGGGTACGCCGTCATAAGTTGTTGTACATTCCCCAGAGACCGTGAGGAAGGGTCTCCCGCCCCTTTCCACCCGATGCTACTCCCCTCCCACGACCCTCGGATTTTCGAGACTCTCCGCAGTGGCCTCACTGTCTGGGCTGGAGTGTGGTGCTTCTCCACATGACGTTTCAACGCTTGGCTGTTGGCAAATGGCGGGTATTGGCATCTAGGAAAGCTGCATCTTGGTCCCGCCGAGTGAGCCCATTCATGCTCCTTGAGCAGCTTTTCGCTTTCAAACCCAATTGTGGCTCGGGGGCAGGAGCGCAGCCGGCAGGTGAATGTCGAGCTATGGAATTGGGCCTTGAAAGATTCAAGGTCCTCGGCCAGGACACCGGGGTAATCATCCTCGCGAAGAAGCCAACGTATCGTTTCTTGGTAAGCCTCCAGGATTCGAGAGATCATGTCTGGACTCTTCTTTCGAGTTGGTACTTCGTCGATGCTACCTGTGAGGGTCCTCAGTAAGTAGTTACAACCATTCCCACCTAATACGGAAGCCGTACCTCTATTGACGATGCTTTCTTCCAAGCCAGCATGTGATCTGCGGGTCATTGTATACTGAAGGAGACGCTGAAGCAGTGGGTGCTCATGGAGCAAGTCTAGTCTGGGATCACAAGCATCTACCCCCGGTTCGAAACAGTGTAGGTCTATGTCTGCACCCCATCCCAGCCGCTCAAGCTCGGTCATTAAAATCTTAACAATGTCGAAATACCTGCAGCGTTTCGAATCATTCTGGGCGGTCATGGAGAGGGTGTATTCCACCCAATGCTCAGAAGAGTATATGACTAGGCCGTAAAGACCTTTGACGACGCGAACCCGTCTCTCGTGTGCATCGCCAGAATGGTGAAAGCATCGAGACGCGGAGACTAGGCAAGCAACCGAAGCTATGGCTTGCTCCTCCGTCGCCTCTTCTTCCGTAATGGCGAAGCCTGTATCCGACGTCGTGAGGAACCTAGACCCGTTATATAAACATATAAGCTATCATGATAATAAGTATCTTGGAAACGTACTCTTTCACGGATCCATGGATAAAACATATCGTTTTATCATGCCTCACTTCAATAAGGTTGCCACATTCTTCTAGGATGAACTTTGGAACCAAGGCGCAAACATCTGGGTTACCGTCGCTGAAGGTGACTGCCGACAGGAACTCGAGTTGACGCAGAGGCCTCTTAGCGAATGCTACCCATCGAAAAATACTCTTCACTATCTCACGCGAGTCATCGTCCCTGTGAGAAATGATCTGACCCAGAAGTTTAGAATAGCTGGAGCCCCATATCAGCAACACGTAGTCAAGGCGAGAGTTGGGGTCGACTTACAATTCCTGGAGTGTCTTAGGCAGGCGAGAAAGTTTTGCCCTGAGATGATCTTTGTTCCGGGGCAGCTGCGAACCAAGATAGTCAAGGATCAGCCTGGCGTAAAGAAACATGCCTGGATAGTTGTTAGTTAGGAATCAGCCTGTCACGAGCACAGGGCACTTCCGAATCCCCACATACCGTCGGCTTTTCGCACAACATCATCCTTGATCTCTTCCAACTCGTTCGTTCCAATGCCTAGCTCCTTGAACCGACGGGGATTTGGGGGTAATCGCAACCTCTCAGAAACATAGCTTCTTATGGCAACTTGCACTTTGTCCTTTACGTTCTCATCACCGAGTGAGACTACAGACAGTCCTCTGAATGCCCTTTCAAATGTTGGAGCTCTTCTGCTTGTCAGAAGCACTTTACACGGGGAATTCTTCGGAGGCGACCGCCCGGTCCGTCGACCGACCTTGGTTCGGCTAGTCAAGATGCTTACCAGTTGAGGAAGCTTGTCGGGTTCACACTCGTCGACTCCATCCACGACAACCCAGGGAGTCCCGGCCTCGGGCGATTCATCCAAAATAATAACAAGAAGCTCTTCAACAAGCCTCTCGAGCTCCGATAGCGAGGGGACTTTTCGATCTTTGAGGAGTGTGGTGTGAGCATGCGCCGTGGCCTCATCGCTGACCTGGAGTAGCTGTCGTATTATAGACCGGAGGATCTGGTCGTACTTCGTTGATTCGACGTACTGGTCACTGCAGAAGTGATAGATGGCGCGAGAGCTGCCAGTAGATTTCATAAAGGCGATCAGGTGTGCTGATAACACACTCTTCCCTGTTCCAGCCGATCCATGCAACCAAAGTGATTGGACGCGACCTTTTGAATCTAACCAGGACGAGATATCCTCGTGTTGGAGGGCCCATCCACACGTCCCGCCGAACCGGAGAGATTCCGAGAGGGTGTCGAAAATTGCCACCTGATCCCGCTCGTCTATCTGGAGTCGTGACAAGATATCAAAATACTGCCTTGTTGAATCTCGCTTCTCTTCGGCCTCGATTTGCTTGAGATTTTCTTGTTGCTGAGATAGGAGCTTTCTCAAGGTTGCTTGCGTCTCAGAAATGTTGAGGACATTGCCCTCTTTATCAATCAGTTCGGCGTGTCGCTCGAGGTTTTCGATGATGTTCCCGAATCGTCTCTCAAAACGACCACAGGTGGTCAAGAGGAACACCTCCCAATCTTTAGGAGGAATCAGCCATGAACACAAAGAAACCGTATAGGCTTCGAGCTCAGCTTCTGTTTAAGAAGGTAACTCACTACTTCGTTGAGCGAACTTGTATGCGAAGCCGTGAAACCGAAGAATGTCGGAGTAAAACACGGCCAGGAGCTCTTGAAACCTGTGGTCTTCCGAAAAGGTGTTCTGCAATAGCTGGAATCGACACAGTGTATCTCCAACTTTGGTGTAGGCCTTCATAATGACCTCAAAGGCTTTGACACAGTCGGACGCCATCTAACTTGGATTTCAGCTAAACTTGGTCACTGCCACGCCGAGGAACCTCTGTCATCTGCTTACCCGAAGCACCACGGTGATAGGTGACCATATCCAGGACAGATATTGAGTTCCGTTGCAGAGAACGTCGATTGATCTTCCATAATGTTCTAGGCCGGCGAAGAGACGGCGTAGGCGTCTGGTATTACGAAGAAGACCGCGTGCTGCGAGAGAATTCTCAACTTCAAGGCAGGCCTTTCGGACATCCTCCAAGGCCACTTCAGGAACGTCTCGCGAGCCAGATGTGGCAATGGTTTTCTGGAGGTCTTTTAAAGCGCGAGACATCATGTCAAGCGCCTGAGGCGAAGGCAGAGGGCGCCGATTGAATCTCCTCTTCATCTTGAACAGAGGCTAGACCCGTGGGAAATGTCAAGACAGAAGCGGATTTGGTCGAATTGACGAGTTTCCGAGATGTTGAGGTGGACATGAAGCAAGCGCCAGCCTGGTCCTTCTCTATTTTTACCAGCTCCCATGTCGACCGGGCTCTCAGCCACCACCACACCACAAGATCAGAATTTCGCGGCCAATCATACTTTTAAGGCGTTCAAGGCGGCCAGAGAGGCGTTTTATCAATAAATTGTTGCCGTCAGTTTGTGGGCAAGCTGGGTAGGGTTTACCTCGCCTGGAAATGAGATGTCTTCACATCTTCGCATCGCTGATGCACTAGGGAGATTCAGATTGTAGAATTCGGCAATCGGTCCTGAATCCACCAGTGGTTTATTTCATTTTATTTCATTTATACTTCTTTTTATTCCCTAGCGTCCGATATATTGGTCACAAATGGAATCAGGCTCCGAAATCTCTCGAGCTAAGAAACGCCGATTGGAAGAGGACGGAGGGCAACACGACGTACTCTTACCTGATGTAGACTTCCTAAGGCATTCTGTTCCATCAGGCGCACATCTTTCTTCACAAACGCCGGATTATATGTGCGCTGCGGTGCCCTCGATAAAATCAGGAAATGTTCCTGTTTCACTGGGGCCAGCTGAGGAGAGCCCGTCGATGCAGATCATTGACTCTCCCCTGTTAGAAATAGACAATGCGATTGTCTGCTTCGGCGTGGTAGGCCTGTTCATGTTATAACTTATACGTGGCATTCACTGGCGTCTAACCTAGTTACTATCCAGATTTCGGGACTCGACGGGTTCTGCGAGGATCCACCGTTCAGCAAGCCCTCTGGCCCGATACCAGTCTCTCTGGATTCCCCAAGCAAATTCAGCGCGATGGACAAGACCTCTCTCCGTGGAACCATATCTCATCTTGGGGCTCTCATTCAGGAGCTAATGAGCGATGAAGATCTCAAGCTTTCAGCATTCTGCACACCTGACAACATCAAGCCGGCCAAGACTCGACGCAAGTATGTTCGAGTACCCTGCAAGATCGATATCGTCGTGTGCGGGCCTTTCGGCTTCTTCGACGACATCGGCGAATGGCTCGAGGAAAACGACGTGTATCTTCAGGATCCCCGCATCGTAGCCCAAGATGTCAAGTACTGCAACCCACACCGACTATCTTTTTCAGGGTGGAATGAGTGCCCGATGGTATCGCAAGTCGTTGCTAAGGTCTCGAAAACCGTCTATCTCCGCGACATTACGGACGGAGATAGCTTTCTTGATGATTACTTCTCTTCTGAAGTGGAACTTGAGGAGACTGAACAACCACGATGCGTCGTGACACCCTTGAAAAGGTATGGAACCGTAGAAATAGTGGTGCCTATTCACTGCTGACAACAGACTTTAAGACACCAGAAGCAAGCATTAACCTTCATGCTACGGCGGGAAGAGGGCTGGTCTATGCAAGGACCCCATAAGGACCTCTGGACAATCCGAGACAGCGACCAAGGCCGTCTGTACGTGCTTCTCGATGATAGACTCGTCATCCATGCTGATCTTGATTCTTATAAGGTTTATCAACACAATCTCGCAACTTTGCCATGAAGAGCCGCCACCGGAGTTGAACGGAGGTATAATTGCCGATCCCATGGGCCTGGGGAAAACCTTGACCATGATCGCAATGGCGGCTGTGGACGTGGATGCCGACAAGAATGCTTTGGCGGATGAAGAGCTAGAAGTACCGTCTAGACACATTGTTCGAGCTACTCTCGTCATTGTTCCTCCATCTCGTGAGTGCTTTCCGACTAAAATCTCGAATTGCCTGCTTACAGTACCTCTTGCTTTTAGTTTTGGATACCTGGGAAGAACAAATATCACAGTAAAGACCAACGCCCGTTGCACCCGTAGGTTACCATTCCACTCAGCTAACAAGTGCTCAGACACACGAATGGTCTAAAATACCACCGACACCACGGGAAAACCAAACTTACAAGCTCTCGCGATGCTGACCCTTTTCATATTGTTTTGACAACTTTTGACAGTGTCTCTACAGAATGGAGAGCGTCAAAGGCAGACACTTCGCGTTCAGTCCTGTTTTCTATACGATGGAGGAGGATCGTGCTAGATGAAGGTAGGCTCCCTTAAAGCTAAGTCTCTGAATCTCCATGCTTATGCCGTCAGCCCATGTCATTCGAAACGAAGTCAGCCAGCGTTCGAAAGCGATATGCGCTTTAGATGCCTGTTGTCGCTGGGCAGTCACAGGAACTCCGATCCAGAACCAGCTAAACGACCTCGTGACGCTCTTGAAGTTCATCCGCGCATATCCATACCATGAAAAACGCAAGTTTGAAGAAGACATCACCCGACTCCTGAAGGAGGAAGACCCCGATCAAGAGGGAGTAGCGCGGCTGCAGCGCCTTTCGTCTTGTCTCCTCCTGCGTCGGCCAAAGAGGACGATTCAACTACCGAGACGATACGACAAGGAGTGCCCGGTAGATTTTACAGGCCTCGAAAGAGAAAAGTACAATGAACTAAAGAATAGGGCCATTGTGAGCATCAATGCGGCCTTGCAGCAAGGCACTGATATGAACAGGTCGGGCATGTATGTGAATATGCTTCAGCAGATTGAATCTCTCAGACTATTTTGCGATCTAGGTCTCAATTACCACACTAGACACGAAGCTATGGCCCCAACAATGGGTCATTCATCAGACATGGCTGCGTGGGCGTCGATTGCACAGCAGGCATTCATCTCCCACTTGGAAATGGGCCCGGTCTACTGCTCGCTGTGCCAGTCGAGCCTGAGCCTAACGGACATGGAAAATCCCGTCGACGATGGAGTCCAGCTGAAAAAGCCCCTATTCTCTCGATGTCTAAGATATGTCTGCGCCGAATGCGCCTCCAACCTGTCACGGAATGGCCGCGCGTTTCAGTGCGAGCACAGCAATGCATGTCCAGCCGTACCTGTTTCCAATAGCATCTACTCTCTGGAAGATGTCCACAACGAAATCCCAGAACCAGAGAAGCTCTCGGATAGGTTTCCATCGAAGGTCGTGGCCCTGGTTTCTGACATCGAAACGCAACCAGTCGATGTCAAATGGTGAGTAATTTCTTGGACTTTCTATTTCCTCGAATGACCTCTGATCTGACTTCCATTCTCTAGCATTGTGTTTTCTTCGTGGAGACTCACACTCAATGTGGTGGAGGCAGGCTTAAACCAGGCTTCGATTCGCTGTCTCCGATTTGATGGTAAAGTTCCCCAAAGCCAGCGCCAGTCAGTCATAGATCAGTTCAAGAACGACCCGTCGATCCGTGTGCTCCTGCTGACTCTCGCGTGCGGAAACTTTGGGTGCGTACATTCCTTCTATCATGTTAAAAGCGTACCCGCATACTTACTGCTCGATAGCTTGACCTTGACCGAGGCTTCTCGAGCGTATTTGATGGAACCCCACTGGTGAGCTATGACTACTCCAGCGTTATGCACCATCATGGCCTTGTAGAAAATGCCAACGATAGATAGGAACCCGACGATTGAAGAACAAGCCTTCGGGAGAATCCACAGGATGGGCCAAACGAAGGAGGTCACCACGGTGCGATTCTTTATCCGCCACTCCTTTGAAGAGGTATTTGAGCCCCCCCCCCCCCCCCCCCCCCGAAACTTTACATTTGGTCGCAGCTCCTAACAGTCAGCTAGCATATCATGGAAGTCCAGCAGTCAAAGAAGGAACTGGCAGGGTTATTCTTGTCTCCTCATGACGGTGGCCACTCTAACAGCACCGTCGAGAGGCTCCAGGTACGCGAGTCCCCCCCCCATAAGAGGTCCAGATCAAGGCTGACGATTTTTTAGAAAATCCAATCGCTTCTTTGATTGTCTGCTTGTTCGTGAGCTGGTGTCACCGTTTCTGTAGCATTGGCCTACTGGAAATTGGAGCTGAGAAATGTATATAGTCCAGGGTAGCTATGTCCTTAGGTAACAGTGCCAAGCGTCACTCTCTGCAACGATCTTTCACACCATTCTATCCCCTCCATCGACTGAGCGGCCAGGGTTTGAATTACACGAGTGGCCTCTAAAGCCAGCCTGAAGAAGATTAAGTCCACTGGGTTATGCTGGTGTATTATTGCGAATAATCTCATCAATGGTATGAAGCTTGAGATAAGTAGACTGGTCCCATTGATGCTGATTCCTCTTGGCCCATGAGCATCCTCTGCTGCCAGATAGCCCAGCTGCACCTTCGTAAGTGGGTGAGCCAAACCCGACGGGCGAGCCCCGGAGCGCGGGGAGTGGGGCCAGCGGCCTTGGCTGGCGCTGGAAGATGGACTTTGATTTGATTATTATATTTCAGCATGAAGTTTAGAATATTAAACTAGGGAAGTGAAACAAAGCAAGTGAATCATTGATGTCTAAGACAGAGATACACAGGCCCCCGGCCTCCGAAGCTACCAAAGCAACCATTCTACAACTTCCCCGGTTCCGAAGTCTCCTCGCCAGCCTCACAGATAGCATTCACAACACCTGGTGAGGTTTACATCGGGCACACTCACGGAATCCACCCCCCCCTTTCTATCCCAGCCTATGCAGTCCAGCTCTAACACCCACACACAACCCATACCAGCGCCAGGACAACCTCCGTACCGAAAACCTAAAGGTATCGTCTTCTCGGGCAGTTGGCTTTCCGGATCTCGCAGGAACCCCTGGAGATCTGGGTATTGTTAGGGATTGAACTCAATAGCAAAAGCCATTTCAACTCCTCTTGCGCTGGCTTACACAATTTTCTCCAAAAAAATATTCCGCGATGGCAAACCCCATTTCCACAACGGCAGTACTCGAAGCCGCCCCCAACTCCACGGCTCTTGCCTTGACTCTACTTAAAAAGGTATTTTTCGCCCCTTCGCCGGGCTCGCCTGGGGCTCGGGGTCCGAGCGATGCAAAGGCGGTCAAGTGCCGTTAGCCGCGACACTTAAGCTTCTTTTGTTGCCAGATAGTCCAGCTGTAAGTGCGTGTCTCGAGGATAAGACCACCGAACCGACATGGCCCTATCCAGGGCACCGCGAAGTATCCGAAGAGGAAGGTAAGATAATGGCATAGGCTGGGGAGAGGGTGGGGCCGGGGGCCAGGCACTATGAATGCCATGATTGAGGTGTGTCTAATGCAAACCTCGTTGAGAATGTAATGTCGATATCTTGTGGGTGTAGCGAGCCTTCGTCTAATGGTGAGTGTCATGCCCAAGTCGCGATGGCCGATCTCGTCGGGGCCCTCAACGTGGGGTGTTTCCCCGTGATCCTCTCCTCTGGTCGTCCCGCCCTCGGCTGCTGGTTATCCAGAAACAAAGGTTCGATTAGTGGTTCGGAAACCGCGCGAGGTCCAACCGGCTGGCTAGTGACGGGAGCTTTGGCGGTGCCCTTAGATTGCAGAAGTGATTAGCTGTTGAGAATTTTGATAACCTCCAGAACTCTTGTTTTCTTGTTGTTGTTAATGATGAAGAAGTCGCCTTCGTTCAGGAATGTTAAGGACGTCAATCCAGAACTCTCGTAGTATTAATGTCGGTGGCAGGCACGTTTCTCGCGAACCCCGCCAGAAAGGGTAGGGGCATTTGACTGCAAGACTCTCAGCATTATATATGCCCATAGTATCAGGTATAGACCTATGCCCTGAGGAAGGCGTCGACGCCCCTCTAATATATTTAGATACGTTGAATAGCAGGTGCCCTACGTTGAATGCTAGGTGCTGAGCGTTGTGTGGTAAGTGCTCTACGCTCGGTGTGAACCGGCGTGTTTGCAAGCTCTCGGGAACAAATCTTCCTTGCTAGAAGAGGCTTTTCAACCACGGGGATGTATAGTTCGAGAAGTACAGTGCTGCTTATGTGTAGAGATTGTGTTCCTTATTTCGGGGAAGAGGTCCAAGGCAGTGATTATTATCAAGACCTCACCACTCCCTTCCGTCTTAGAGCCTAGGTACAGTGCTCTTAGAATCTCGGGTGCGCCAGACAGTACCTTGCAACGTCTGAATTTTTCTGGTGTTGGAACTCATCACCTAGGTGTTGTCTCGCTATAATCCCCAATCCCTCTGTCATGGGCCATACATTCCTGCTTAATCGTAGATCACAAAGAGATAACACGCCACCGCGATTCCTCGGGTCCTCAGGCAAATGCCGAAGGCTGGTTGTCCCACAGTGATCAATCCGGATATCTGTAATGTTGAATGAGTTGAAGTTGGATTGAGGATGGGAAAAGGTCCGAGGTAGCATCTCAACGATCACCCTAACTTCATAATTGAGGGTACGAGAGGTAATATTCTGAGGGCCTATCCATGTGGCTAGGAGGTCCCTTTGCACAGATCCTCATAGTATAAAAGCCCGCCCGTTCTAACAAAATAAGGGGTTTGGACTCAGTCTCGGTTGACTTCCAAGTCTATCTCCTCTAACTCCTTTCCCGGTCCCATTTTGCCCATTCTGGAGCCATGGCATCCGCAAACATCGGCTCAAAGTGCTCGGTTCCCATTTCCTTGGGGGTTGATGTCAATGATACCACTACCACGTCCCCGAACACAGATATCCCAGTTCAGCAGGACTCCTACAATTTCCCTCAAGGTCAACCTGTCGTCGAGAACTCAGGCACCATGGGTAACTGCAATGGCCACCCTCAGCCTCCTCCGTACTTCAATACAACTGAGCATTCCCCAAAGCCACAGCAGGAAGACCCGATAACGGTGTATAATCGAATGAAGAAGCGGGCGGCATTGGTCAAGTTCGGCACGGTAGCATCGTTGCCATTCAATCTAAGTGGTTACAATCACATGAGCAACAGCCAGCGAGTGGCCGCTCCTACACTTCAACAACAGGGACTCCAGCAAATCCCAAGCGCAAAAAGAGCATCTCCCTACCGCAAGATAGCAAGTTGGATCCATACATGCAAGGGAAAAAAGCATCCAGTGGAGAAAGATTCGTATACAACTCATTCGTGCCCAGATGGCTATCAAATCACCATGCGACATGGCATCAGGCCTGGAGAGGTCGAGTGGCGTATCCGGCATAAAGTCGACTGGACACAGGAGTGGGAGTGGACACTTACCGTGTCGTATACAGACAATGATTGGGACCCCATGCAAGCTTGGGGGGTGTTCTATTTTAATAACTTGCCGGCTCGGCTTGGGCAGGTTGTCCCCTGGAAAGACGAAAGCCAGACATCGAGAGTCAGGAAAAGGGACACCTTTGGCCAGAACAGAAATGGCATTTTTTGGTCCTGTCGCAGATTCTGCGACCGCGGAGAATCCCCGCAGTGGTCAGCTTGGTTTACTACGTGCGATTGGGATCGCCAACGGGCCAAAGATCTGAACCCCTGGGATGTGTTGGCATCCTGGCCTGTTTTGCAGTAAGTTGAATTGCAGGGACCCGAATTTTTTTCGTCGTATTTTTTGCAAGCTCCTTGATGTACTGACTTGAGAACTCTGAAGAGTCGACATGGAGCAGCGTACGGGGCCAGGGCGGTTCAAGAAAGTAGTGAGTTATCGGCGTGGATTGGTGTACGGGAATGACCTATGCGGCCAGAGGATAGCACCTTGCGACAATGGGAGTGACATGGAGAAAGGCGTTCATCAATTTCGCCTCTCGGTTGATACCTATTCCAGGGTTGGACAGTGCAGCATCCCAAGAGAAGGCTACGGGCATCCCTGGATAGGAAAAGGAGGCTGTTGGAAACAAGTTCTGGCCATCCTCAAGACAGGCGGCTGCCTGGGCTGACACTACTGGTTTCAGTTTCTACATCGAAACTGCTCTACCAGTGGGCAGCATGAACAGCGCCTTCTTTATTGACCGGCCGAAAGACTCATTTCAATCGCTTACTTCGGGCTCCGACATCTCGATGCCATTTCGTGTGAAGTGTGGAGCCCATATCCTCGTTCCTGCGTCTTAGATGAAGGACAGAAAGATAGAAACTCACTAGCAAAAACCATTTCAACTTCTCTAGTGCTGACTAAGCACACTTTTCTCTCCAAAAAGCTATTCGGCAATGGCAAATCCCATTTCCACAACAGCAGCACTTAAAGCTGCCTCCAACCCCAGAGCTCTTACCTCGACTCTACCCAAAAAGGTATTTCCCGCCCATTCACTAGGCTTTCCTAGCGCTTGCGGCCAGGGCGATATAAAGGAAGTCAAGTGCCATCAACCGCAACACTTGAGCTTCTTCTATTCCAGCTGTAGGTGCGTGTCTTGAGGATAAGACCACCCACCGACATGGCCCTGCCTAGGGCACTGCGAAGTATTTGAAGATGAAGACAAGATACCAAGACTGTCACTCGCCCATCCCTTCGTGTCAGTCTCTCTCTCTCTCTCTTACTGCTGCTACAGCCAGGTTTTCCTCCCCTTATTATTGCTTGACTTTGGATCTACTTAACTAGTAATGATAGAAAAAAGAGATTCATTCAGGAATGGCGCCACTAGGTCATCATGGGAGGAAGTTCGTTTTCAGTGATATTATATTTGAAATTTCATTGCATTCAATGTTGAATTGATTGTTCCGGAATAGCAGGCCTTTTCCCTCAAGAAAATAAGCATAATAAAGAGAGTATTTGTGCCTATCACTGACCTGGCGTACGAGGTTCGGACTAGCTAGGCACACGAAACACCAAAGTTGAAACCCTACTGTAAGGCAATCTCAAAAGCTACCAGCCTTAGCAGCGCTGCTCTTTAAACATGCCTTAGATGTTGAGTGATTGGTAGCTCTGGATAGCCAACTGAATGGTGTCGCCGAGGCTGTTAGCGTCATTGGCCATGTCGTTCCCGTGAACCTGTAGCAAGTTGATGAGAGCAATAGCAATGGACTACAATGAAGCTTCCAGTTAGCCATCTGCTGCGGAATCCCGCAGGATAGATCAGCACATACATCGATAGTTCCCTCGAATCCTCGCAAGGCAGTCGCCACCGGTTCGCCAACAACAGGGACCGATGACAAGATATTCGCTTTGCCGATAAGGATGTTAAGGGTGGCCTGAGACACCCGGGATAGCTCACGGAAAGCTGCGAAGACGAGATCGGCATCAGGACCACGCGCTTCCAAAGCCCGTTTCTGTATCGGTCCTGTCCCCTCAAGTTGGCTTATCAGTGTGTTCCCAGTAGAGACAATGTCGTTAAAGCCATAAATGATTTGCTGGAGCACCACGGGACGTTAGCTATCGTGCTTATTATTATAAAGCGCGCTCAGACTAAGGTTATAGTAGTGGTGGAATAGGGTCTCTCACTGGAAAAGGGCCCTGGCCGATAACGATTAGGGGCGCGTTGATAAGAGTAATTGATTGCGCCGGGGCCTGGAGGGCTTGTGTCTTCTGTGTCATCGACGAGAGACCGTCAGCTATTTGCTGGGGCGTGAGGGAACCCATCACGGCTGTACCGCAGAGAGCCATGGCGGCTACTACGGGCTTGAGGAATGAGAACCGCATTTTTCTTTGGAATCTGAGAGACTGAGCTAAAAAGTAAGATAGGAGTTGAGTTGAGACTAAGTGGAAGGTAGGAGGTAGGAGGACGAAGCTGGCGATGATGAGATCGAAGTTCTCAAATGGGCTATAATGTTGGGAGGCATGAGGTGGCTTTTATATCCAAGACTCGAGAGATAGAAATGTTGGCTTGATACTCTTGAAACTTGCCTTTCTCGAGGAATTACCAACTTAACTGTGGTCTTGGAGATTTGGAATACCCATTGCCTCTCACCGCCGCGTCTTACACTAAGTGGGGAGCTACTGCTCATTCAGCTGGGAGGAGCAAGCCAAAAAAGCATGCAGAGATGGTGAAGATCCCCGAAAGTGAGAGCTTAGCGTAGTTCGTGATGCATTTCAGCAGCAAAGAAGACATGTCCGTACCTCAAGGCGCCGCGATGATGCCGAAATCTCAACCAGGGCCGCGTTAGGCAATCGTATCAGAAACCACAGCTGACTCGCCCCCCTTCCGGTGAAACATTGAAACCATGCCAGCCCCCAGTTTATCCTGGTTATATTTCAGTGAAGTAGCTCGACTTCTACTCAGTAGAATCGGCCTTGTCCACTTCGGTTTTTGCTTCCTTTTTTTGCCATCCTCTATTTCATGCTGATCCATGCAAAAGGGAAGATCCGCTGCTGTTTCAATCTTATCCACAGGCTTCTCCACACGGATTTTACTTAAGATCCGCTTCTCCTTCCACAGTCTGGCGCAGAGCTTTCTCCATTCTCGCTCCTCGGAACTTGGTTCTAGCACAGGAATATTTTCTACCGAGACATTGATTAAAGAAAGGGCAGGCTCGATTTGCCTAGTTGACTAAGCGGTCATCTTTTTGAAATTTCCAGTCGCGAGATGAATATAATACTGCACCCTGCATGAATGAGGCAGGTCCAGCCTAGCCCATGTCCGTTAATCAGAGTGGAGTTCCGGGGCCGAAAGGGAAGCCGGCGGCGGCTTGGGGCTGACCCGGACCCCGACAGAACATAATCTGATCGGTCCTTCCAAGTACAATTGCCACATTGTGGCTTACATTTTGCATGAGCCACCTACTTCTCCCACGTCCCTCCCGCTCCCGCGTCGTTATCTCCATCAGCATTTCTCATGGCGTCGGTTGTATATTCTGTTGCAATCGTGGTTCAGATCACGGGAAAATGCCTACGCTAAGTTCCAATTATCATTGATCAAATGATCTGTGGCACTTTCATATGCGACCTCGAAGCTGTGCGGGGAAGAAGCGGTTGGCCTGCGGCGTCCTGCATGTCGATGGAGCAGGTAAATAGTCGATAGCAGTCATGTCTACCATCTCAGCCCGGTGTCAAGCTTCTATTGTTGAATTTTCTTCATTTCTAGAAAGACATCTTGCAAGAGTTCGTCCCAAATTTATTTACATGATGGTATCGAAAGATGATGACAACGAGGACAACGGTCACGGCATCGGCGTTGGGGAGGATTCTACACCAATTTACCGTCAAAGGTCGGAACAAACACAAGTTAGGGGGCTGCTACATCGGAATACATACCACGGAGCCCTTCTTTTCAACATTGCAGCGTTCATCCTTCCAGCCCTCTACGGAACACTCTCAAAGCTATGGGTCGCCAACATTGACGGATCCCTCATCGTGACGACCGACCTATATACTTACATCGGCGTCGTCGCCGAAGTCCTCAATGAAGGTCTTCCTCGCGCGGCATGGGTTATCATTGGAGACAAGGCATCGCGCTCCCTCGGACAGCGCCTGCAGCTTACCCACACGCTGATCGTGTTTCAGGCCGTACTGGGGCTTATCATGAGTATCGCCTTCGTAGGTGGCGCTTCCTCGTTCGCAAGCGGGTTTGTTCCTGTCGAGGTTCGCGAGGCAAGCGTCACCTATGTCAGGATCAGTGCTTTCGATGCATTCGCCAGCGCGATCGAAACTTCTGTTGCCTCGGCTACGCGGGCGCTGGACAAGCCTGACGTGCCATTGATCATCAGCTCGGTCAAGTTTGCTGTCAACATTGCACTGGACCTGCTACTGATTTCCAAATTCCACGTGGGAACGCATGAACCTACCGTCAACTTGCAAGCTGGTATACGAGTCGCGTGCAGCCTCACGGCCGCGTTCGTCGGCTTGCTGTACTTTCGGTGGGAAAACACGCGCAAGTTTTGGAGGAATGGAGCCGATCGGCAAAACGAGTCAACAACCCCAACACTTCGTGCGCTGGACATTCTTCTCCGACCGGGCATAATCACATTTACAGAATCCGCCGTACGCAATGCCTTGTATCTCTGGCTAGTGACGACCATAATCTCCATGGGTCTAACGTACGCCACGGCTTGGAGTATCTTCGTCACCATACGCTGGGGGCTCGTCATGGTCCCCGTCATGTCGCTTGAGCAAACCTCTCTCGCCTTCGTCGGTCACGCCTGGGGTTCCTGGCGTCGAGAAATAGGCGTCCGGACCCGCCGGCCCAAAATCAACTGGTCGTCCGCTCTCGTCATCATCCGCCCAGCCCTACTCTCCTTCTCCCTGGCGCTTCTCACCGAGGTCCCGCTGTGTATATTCTTCACGTTCTTCGGCGCTAGACCGTTCGCGTTCTATCTCAGTGGTTCGGAAGAAGTCGCCGATCTCGCGGCGATGATGTGGCGCACGGCGGACTGGTGCTACATCTTCTACGCCATGTCGACGCAGCTGGCTACCATCCTACTTGCTACCAGGCCACGGTGGTACCTTTGGCAGAGCTTGGCAAGCAATATTCTATACGTGCTCCCCTGGGCCATTGTGTGCCAGACGGCGAATCTGCAGCCCGATCGGGCTTGGACGTATCATAGACTTGTCTTTGGGGGTAGCTTGGTTTTCAGTTTTGTAGTTATCATCGTTGTTGACGGGCTGTGGTTGTGGACTCTTATGACCGGCCGGATGAGACTAGAGGTTTTCCGGTCGTAGGATTAAGATCAATTTAGAATCGAATACATCATTGGAATCAAGGCTGAGTTAGGTGCGTTGCTGCGAATCTCTGTTTTTGCATGTGAAGTCACCCGCTTAGTCATGTCTGGACCTGGGGTAGGTGCGAACCTGGACGGCTGTCGAGAAATGGTAGGTCGCATCGACCACTGCTCGCTAAAGAGAAAGAGCAATCGCCCGATATCGCGTCAAGGCATGTATTAATCGCCATTCATTAATCGCCATTATTTACCACATCCACACTTTCCTCCCCCCCCGCCCATCCGTCCCGTCACTTGACGCCCAAACCAAATCGCAATGGATAACGAAGACGAGATCCTGAAGAAGCTCGCCAGAGGCGACATCCCCCACTCGTACGTATAGGCACGCGACGTTTCTTAATAGGCCGGCGCATTAACCTCTTTTTCTGCATCTAGCGAAATCTTCCCCACCCCGGACTTGTGGCCGACGCTCCACGAGTCCCTCATCGCGCGAATAAACAAGATTGTGCTGAACGATTTCCCCATCCCCAAACTACCCCCCCCGCCTCCGAAATGGAACCAGCGAACGGAGCAAATGCTCCAAACAACACTCCCTTCCTCGCCCCTCGAACATCCTAGTTCCTCCGCCGACGCCAACAAAGAAAACGCCGATCCGCTTGTCGACGCGGCGCCCCCTCAGGAGGCTCCCACCTCGGCACCAGCTCCGACGACGACCGCAGAATCCTCCGCGCAAACAGCGCCCAAGCCCGCAACCCTTCCCCCTCAGCTCCAGGACATGGTCGACGACATCGTCACAGCCCTCAAGACGTTCCCCACACAACCGCCACACACGATCCAGCGCATGGCGGAACTCATCCTCGAGCCGCGCCGGCATTATCGTGCCCTCGCCTCGTATCTCCACGCCCTCGACCGCGTCGTCCGCGTCACGTCCCCGTGCACGAGATACCCCCTACCGTTGCCTACCGTGTCGTTCGCGAACGGCGCGGCCGACCAGGTCTCCTGGGCGAACACGACGCAGGCGAACCTCGGCTCCGACGAGGCGCTGGGCGGCGCGCTTCTGACGCCCATCCCCTGGCTTTCGAGGCAGGACAGTCCCGGTGGCGAGCAGGGCCAGTCACGCGCGGAACTGAGGACCGAGAGCACCGAGACGATCGATGGGCCGAATGGCATGGGTAGCATAGAAACTGTTAGCATCAGCGTGAACGGCATACCCTCGGCCGGCGCTGGAGCCGCCATGAGAGGCATAACCCAAGGCGAGCTTTTAAGGCAGGAACAGCGCGCCGGTGTCATCCCCACGAACCAGCTAATCGTGTCTCGAGAGCAACCGGCTGCCGAAGACGGCACGGGCGAAGGAGAGGACGACGACGACGAAACGCCCCACGTTAGGGGTCCCGATGAGATTGGGCCCAGCGACCTGGGCCCGACGATACTGACCATCAACCGGATCGACGAGGGCTCGCTACACCCCCAGGACATCGACCTCGAGGCCGCGGTGGGCAGGAAGATGATCGTCGAGACGAGGGAGTCACCGGATTCTGATGACGCCACGTCCGATTCTGGCTCGAAGCGTGGTGCAGAGGATGAGCCTGAGGGTAGCTTGAGCCTGAAGAAGCCGAGAAGCGATTCTGGGGATGTGGGCGATAACGCTGACGAGGCTATGGAGGGCGTGGAGGAGACTTCAAACGCAGAGAAATCGTAGAGAGCTTTCTTCGGGTACTTCGGGAGTCAGGGATTTTGATTCTTGTGTCTTTGTGTTCTCTCTTTTTCTTTTATTCGTATTTTGATTCATAAGGTATCTCGGTATGGCGTGTATTGTTAGGGTCACGATAATTTCGGTCGGGTGTTCCAAGGGTAGAGGCATGAGATGCAACTTAAAAAATGTGAAGTGAGTTCAGACTCTCAAGATGGAAAGCTTTCTGCACGCGCAAAAACCATCGCGGAGAACAAAATGCGACGATATTTAAATCCTTCGTTTATTAGTACAAAAATACTGGTATCATGGGTTTTGATTCCCGTAACAAACTAAGCCTGCCCCTCGGTGAACATTTCTTTTTTTCCCACTTCTTACAACACCCTCGTGATGCTCTCCCTGGAAATAACGCTGTTCTGTCTATCATCCCTCCTCACCCTGTAAAACGTATCGCAGAAATCACTGCACCGCATATGCCTCAAGAACTCCTCGTCGTGCGTAATCACGATAAGCTGGAAGTTACTCTGCGCCTGTCTAGCCTTGATAATGGCATGCAAGCTCTCGGCCAACGACTTGATGTTGTCCCTGTCGAGGTTGGTCGTCGGCTCGTCGAGGGCAATGAGGCCGCAGTTGACACCGAAACTCTCGGCGAGCGCGAGTCGGATGATAATGGAGGCAAGCACCTTCTGACCGGCGCTGCACCGCCCTCGCATGTCCATCTCGGCGTCCTGTTTGACCATGCACAGGCGGTAATTGTAGTTACGCTTGCCGGTGGAGGTTTCCGCATCGGAGCGGATGAGGATGGTGTCGATGTCCGTACCCTGGTAGGTGCTCTGCCAGAGTTCGCCAGCGATGCGGTTGACTTCTTCCATCTTGAGGCTGTGGTATTGCATGATGGCCTTGTCGAGCGCGGCGCCGTACCGGCCCAGGTCTTCGATGGCAGCCTTGGTCGTCTCGACCTTGATGTGCGACTCGCGGTACTTTCGCGCCGCATCCTTATAATCCATCTCCCACTCCTTGAGAAGCCTCTCGAGCTCCTCATCCTTGGTCTTCATACTTCCCATTATGGATCCGCGCTCGGCGAGGAGTTTGTTGTGGTGGCTTTCGTAGGACCTTGCCTCGGCTACCAGGCGCTCGTAGTCTTCGTCAGCATTGCGAGATTCGAGTTCATCGATATCCTTGCGCAGGCTGTCGAGGAGTCGCAAATTCTTTCGGTAGTTAAGATTGTCGCTGATGTTTTTCTTCTTGCGATCGCCGTTGTCGATATCCTGCTTCAGTTTGTTTGCCCGCACAGTTAGGTCAGAGATGTCCTTTTCTACATCAGCAATTGCCTTCTCCGAAGCCGCGATGGCACGCAGGTTAGAAGCAAGTTTTGCGTCTCCTCCACGTTCCACATAGTCCTGAATATCAGCCTCGACCAGCCGCAGCTCACTGACGGTGCTGGCGACGGCATCACGTTCCTCGGCAACCGCTTGCTCTTTGACACGGCCTTGCTGGACCGCATCGTCACGGAGAGACCGGGCTTCGATAATCTCGGGCTCCAGGGCTTCGAGGTCCTCATTCGCCTTCTGAATCAACTCTCGCTGCTGAACATGCTCTTCCTTCAGTGTCTGAATCTGGTTCAAGAAATCCGTCTTGCGCTCCAGCTGTCGAGCCGCATTATTAACCTTGTTACGCAGCTCGCTCTTCTCTAGCTCGAGCGAGTTTAGTTGGTCTCGTGCCCTCTGCTTGTCCGTCATGATCTTGGCAGTCTTGCTCTTGACAGCTCGCATCTTTTCGTTGCAGCTGGCTTGTAGTTCATGGATCTCGTCGGCGCTCCTCGTGGCAATACCGGAGGACTGCTGCGATGTGATCCTTTCGATCTGGTTCTCGGAGTCCTTGATATCGCGCAGAGTCTGGCTAATCATCAGAACTGTCTCGTTCACGGACTCGAGGTCGCCCAATTTCTCCTCCTCAGACGTGGCAGCGGCGGCGAGATCTTCAAACTGCCTTTCGAAGCTTTCGCACTCAGACTGGATTTCCTGACGCTCCTGCTTAAGGCGAGGTAGCTGCTCGTTCAGGCGCTTATACGTATCATACTGCGGTCTGAGGTCACGCAGAGCGTCAAGAATGGAGGTGGATTCGTCGAGCTCCTTCTCCGACTCCTCCTTCTCCTTGGGGTTGAGCTTTTCCTTGATCTTCTTCTCCATTCGTGACCTGAATGCGGCCTGGCTAGGCTCGAAAGGTCGTTCGCAGAGTCTACAAGCCCCCTTCTTGTTTAGGGTATTTTGACATTGGCCGTAGTATTGCGCGAGGGCGTCCCAGAGACTAATCTCAGTCCGGCTCTCTTCAACTTTCTCTTCGTAGTGAGATACCTCGCCAGGATAATCATCAGCGGACCCCGCGTCCTCGTTGACTGTAAGGAGATAGTTGTACACCGCTTTCTCGCACTTGGCGGCCTCTTCCGTCTTATTCTTCTCTGCGTCTTTGGCCATCTTGAGCTTGTACGTAAGGGTTTGCAGCTTTTCGCGCAATTGATCGCGCTGTTGACGGGCCAGGGACACGGCTTTGTTTTGCCGCCTCACTGCTTCTTGGAATTTGTCTTCAAGGGTAGCCGTTGTCCAGTCACTCCCAATCGCCGAGTCAAGCTTCTCCTTTGCTGTGCTCATCCGGATATCGAGCTTGCGTTTCCGGTCAGCGAGCTCTCCCTTCCGTAGATCAAGTTGAGCTCTTTCCGAGGCAAGCCGGGTGCATTCAACTAGTTCCCTCCCCAGCCTCTCGTTCTCAGCCTCAAGGGTCCAAAGGGTCTCGTTCTCCTGCTGGATCTGGGAATCATAGCCAAACTTCTCAAAATCGGCCTGAACTTTCCGCAGTTTTTCTTCAACATCTTTGAACTGGCCATCAAGAAGAGCTTTTGAACCTTCATCTATGTCAAGCAGCTTCACATCGTTTTGAAGGACCTCGGTGCGCTTCTCAATGCCGGCCATGCGTTGCTTGGCAAAGACGCGGTCTTGAGTGCGGGCTGATTTACGACTCTCAAGAGAAGAGATAGTCGAGTTGATCTTATCCACTTCCTTCGAGTTCTGCTTCTGGACTCGCTCGAGGTCGCGCCTCTTGTCCGCTAAAAGTTTCTGCAGTTTATCATGAAAGGACCTAACTTGATTTTCGTTCAATTCTCCGTCAAAGCCACGGAAACCGTGCTGCTGTGCGGCGGCATGAATCATCTCCGCACGGTTAACAAGCTGGCGTTCGTGCTTCTCCTTGTCGGACTGGAATTTGCCCTGCTCCGCAAGTTGCCTGGAAAGATCCTTCCTCGACTGAGCAAGATCTTGCTGATACTGGCCATACTGAATACGGTTTTCCTTTGCCTCGGCCTCATATCGCGCCATCCGCTCTTCGTACTGTGATAGTGTGGTCTCGAGCCGCTCGTCATCATCGGGTAACTCCTCCAGTGTGGTCTTGAGTTCAGCAACGGTGTCTTGCCGGTACTCTAGTTGGTCGCGCTTGTTCTTGAGGTCCTGGACGATGCTAAGAAAGCTATTCGCTTGCTGGTGCTTCTGACGAATCATGTCTTGTATCTCGTCCATCTCGTCCGAAATCGCCCTACATTGCTCTCTCGCCTCCTCGATCTCAGCCTGCAAGGCACGGGATCGGCGCTCGGCGCGGTCACCCTTCTCCTTATTGATTTTATCTTGCTCTTCGAAAATCTTAAGCTTGGAGAGCTCCTCTCCCTGCTTTTTCCGCAGAACCTTGAGGTTATCTATCGCCTTTGTGTACTTGAGGGCTTCGAATATCTCGTCAAATCGCTTCTTCAACGCCGAGGGCTCGCTCATGGGCCACAAAGATTCGTCTTGGTGGCAAAAGATGACGGCGTCGAGAATGGCTGGCGATACCCCAAGATACTTCGGGACATCCTCGTCAAGGGCAGCAACACGGGTGGATATGACCGTTTTCTCGCCATTATTCATAATATTAAGGGAGCCCTCGAGGGTCTTCATCGATCGCGTCGTCTTCTTCACGGTGAGCTGGAGGTTTCTCGTCACGACGTATTTGGAGCCCACGGCGGATTTGAAGGACAATTTGACCTGGGCCATTACTTCTTTCTCGCCGCAGATCTACATTTTACACGAACATGTCAGCTATTGGCTGTTAGATGGTAAAAATAATAAACCAAAACTAATCTGCGTTGCATACTTTGGGGTCGTGAATAAAGGCACCTCCTTTCGAATTAGGCGGCTGCTCCCCAGTTGTAGCATATTTGAGACATTCGATGATGGTGGTCTTTCCGGAGCCATTGTAACCGACGATTAGGGTAAGAGGACTATTGAACTGGATCGTCTCTCTTGTGTTCGGAGCGAAGGAGCGGATGCCCTGGATGGAAAGCTTGTCGATTTTAGACATGGCGGGCCGTCGTCCCCTGAATCTCTATTAAATCCCAATCGAGTATCAACTCATTAAGGACGGATTGCATCGACACTCATAGGGGTTGAAGTGGAGGTCGAAGGTCATCCAAGTTCAGGCTGGTCGTGAACGCGGTCCAAGAGGCTTTGACGCGCTTTGGTGCAGAGCTCCATGCTAGTTCGAGATTGTGCCTTGACCCCCACTGCTGCCTGCTGCACAGGCCAAGCCTCCAAATCCAGCGAGCATTACCTAAGCGGAAGACTGACTTGCTGAGGAGTAGCGGACAAGTACCAGTGCCATGCCCCTTCCAGCCATTTGAAAGAAAGGTAAACTTAGGCTTAGATTAGCGAATATTGTGGCCCGATTTCTCAGTCCAAAGTAACTTCCTTCATCCGACTCGATGCATCCAAGCCAGTGTTCGATGCCATCATACGTTCCAGAAGAGACAAAGGACTCCCCACTTAAACGACTTTTCACTGCTCCAATCAATCAAATGGGAATAGCCTCTATGAAAACCGGTCCTGTGGCTCTGAGTCGGCTCCATGTCCGAATGTGGGAGAAAAAAACGGAAACATGGAGGAGTCCGTACAAACACGCATCATTGATGGCTTGCAGCAAAAAAGCTGCGCGTTCGGCAGACTCCGATGCATCCGTGATTATTCGATTCGGCTGCGATAATGGGGCATTGGATTAGTAGTGGACCGAAACAAGGCCAGGTTCCAAAGGGGTCGCAAGGTGTGACTGACGTGTTAATCAGGACACTCTGATCCGCCAACGGCGCTTGCCGGGGAGTGAAGCCAACGACGGCAGCCGCCAATGCTCAATACTAGATTAAGACATCGTGAACCTCGAATGATAGTTCCAATCTACACGTTGAGTCCTCATGCTCCGTTAAGGTTCCCTTCAGATATGTGCGGTTTCCCAGCTCCTAGAGAAGCCTTATCGTCAAGCGAGCTGCTAGCCATGCGTAAATCATTCCCGCTGAATACAGGAAGGTTCATGGTACTTAACTTTAAACAAACGTCGAGCTTAGTCCTGGCGAAGCATGGCAACTCGCACCCAATATTGAATCCCCATCGCCACGACCCCGCAGTCTTGCCAATCCATAAACCAGATACTTCTGAGGCGGAAAGAACCCCCCCGGCTAGGGTCATTCTACGAAGTAGTGAAGATGCCGGGCGTGAGGGATGACGTCGACGGACGTCGTCATTCTGCTGGACGTCCAGCTTTCACCATCTCAAGCTCTTGAAGGTACATAAATACTTAGACCGGCACCCGGCAGTAGTAATACAGAGTATTCGACCGTTGAAGGAGCCATTGGTGAAATTGTCTGAAATCTAAAGGCACAATCCGCAATTCTGTCCTCAATATCATCGCTCTTTCTATTTTTCCCAGTTATCACTACATTTAAGCTTTCCTCGTGGCGCTTTCTCAAATGCTCATTTGAATTGATACTCTTCGTCTCCATCTTAACCCCTGTTAGCTTTATTTAGCATTCTGATCCACGCCTGGCATCAATTGATCTAATCGGATCACACTTGCCAGGCTCTCACTGCACGAGTGTGAGTGTATAAAGTACAGTACATCAATAGCATTACCATTACATACCAGTGGCCCCCCCTGCTGTTTCCATCGGACGAGAATTCTCTCGTGCCTTCCCGCCTTCACCTTGTCCACATTCAATCCTTCCCTTCCTCCATTGTTCCTAGATTAATACCCCTCGACCCTCGACCCATGCTCATACCCATACCCATGCCCCTCCTTCGTGCCCATTTGATCTTACCATTCTCGAAGGACGAAGCGAAGCTTCTCGACTCCCCCACATCGATCAATCCATCGATTAATTGATTTATTGGGGGTTCAGAATTAACACCCGACCACTCCACATATTGGCGACGACCAGCACGAATCGCTTTGTGGTCCTTCCGTTTCAAGGAGCTATCAACTCACCTCTCACCTCACCTCACCTCACCTTACCTCTTTTTTTTCGCCCACATCCGCCCTACCTCGCTCGTTGAGGTTGTTGAGGCACCATAGTTTCGGCCATGGTGCTCATGAGCGTATAGATATTTTTTCCTTGAAACATATTACTTCCTACCATATATTTACAAGAGGGTAACAGATATTTGACCTGCAGCTCCGTCCTCCAGAATTAGCCGTAGCTTGAGTGTCGACGATGTCCAACGGCCAACCTCCTCCAACTCAAGACGACTTCTACTATGGCTTCGATGAGCTGGGTCTCGGTGTCTTCCCTGACCTGGCGGCTGCTACGGTATGGTTTTTAAGCCTCGGGTTCGGCCTCACTCTCAGTCGTTGGAAGGGTAAGAGTTTCTTGGTACTAACGTGATGTCTTGTTAAGCTGCCTGCAGACGGCACCGACGACGTAGACATGATGGCATTCTTCAATCCGTTCTTCGGCGCGCCACTCGACCCTATGTCCATGCCCATGACCTTCTCCGCCGGCCCCGGTCCCAACGCTCTCCTGAGCCCTTTTCCAACGGTACCCGTTCCAGGCTTTGCACCGCCAGCCGCCCATGTTCCTCTAGCCCCGCCGTCTGACCAAGCGCACTTGGCCCATCGAGCATTACCCCAGGAGGTCCCTAACACTGCCGGCACCGCGCCCTTCGGTTCCTTTCTCCCAGACCCGGGCAACGCCCCTCCAGATCCCGCAACGGCACCACCCTTACCAGCACAGCTCATGCCGGCGCCAGCAGGAGCCTCCAGCAGCGGTACTAGCGCAGCGACGGACTTTACGAAGAGAAGAAACTGGCCGGCGAAGCTTCTTGATGAGATGAAGGATCTACTCCAGATACTCGACGGGGACGGCCGCATCAAATACGTCTCCTCCAATGTGACGCAACTGCTGGGCTACCAACCGGAGGAACTCAGGGAACATTTCCTCAAAGACTTTGTTCACCCTGACGATGTGGGTCTCGTGATGGCCGAGATGAACGAATCCATCGCATCTGGCGAGTCAATGAGGGTCTTTTATAGGTTTAGAAGAAAGGATGGTAGCTACGCCATTTTTGAAGCGGTCGGTCACTCCCATATTGCGACGCCAGGCTTTGCTCCGAACCCACTCAACAGGTCGCCGTTCTGTCAGGCCGTTTTCGTCATGTCACGCCCATACCCGACTAAAAACGCTGGTCTTCTAGACAGTTTCTTGGAGCACAAGATTGAAAACGACCGACTCCGGCGTCGCATAGCGGAGCTACGGGCGGATGAAGAGGCCGAAGAAGCAGAGGCGCAACGACAATGGAAACAGCGCCGCAACAGCAGCAGGTCGGAACTATCAAGATCCGAGGAGATGAGGACTATGGCCTCATCATCGACGAGTGGGACAGCCCACTCTAACACGCAAGGTAACACGCAAGGTGGGGGATATGGCGGGCTGATGCCGCCGCCGGATAGGCCGTCTAGAAGCGGAGCTCTGACGAGAGAGAATCTAGAAGGTGCTGCAGGAGGCCGACCCGATTCGCTAAGGGACAAAATGGCTAGGTATGAGGGAGGGTCTCGCGCCGAAACGATCGAAATGCTCACGGGGCTGAAATATGTCGACGGAGAGCGCAGCCGCAGCCAGACGACTGGCCGGTCAAGTCCGCAGCTGATTACGGGAGATGCGGGAATCGCAATTCTCGTTGGCCGCGAGCCACGTTCCAGCGATAAGAAAAAGAAAAAGAAGCAAAAACTGGTTGAAGACTACGTCTGTACTGATTGCGGTTAGTACCCTCCAGGCCTTGGATAACAGGTGATGACTAACCTTGGAGCCCTAGGAACCCTCAACTCTCCAGAATGGAGAAAGGGACCCAGCGGTCCGAAGACCCTTTGCAATGCATGCGGATTGCGCTGGGCCAAGAAGGAGAAGAAGAGGCAGCTTAGTCTGACGGGCGCCTCTAACGCACCACCTCAGTCCAGTAGCGACCATGCCATGACCGGGTAGTCGGAAACGATGACCCATCAGAGATTCCTTGACATCATGCTTCCCCATACCTACTCGGTATACAGACGCGAAGTCAAGCACAGGATTTCTCCCCCTGCAAATTTGTTAATGCAGTACGGCTCACTTTCGTCCGACACACATTGCGATTATTTTTCTCTCTCACCCCATTTTGGGTGCTGATATGCCTAACGATGCGACGAATCCGTTGATGAACCCTTTTACACGCACATATAGAGACGGCCGGACACAGCATTTGACTTCACTTCGATGTACTATGCAACGGTTAATATTGGCGATTTTTCTGGATATTGGTTGTCCTTTCTCTTTTCGTTCTACCTCCCTTGCAAAACTCTCTAATGCTGTACCAGCGGCCTAGCTCCGGCGCATTGGAGTTTCCTCGGAGACTCTAGAATGCTGTAGGGATATCTATGCCAGATGATACTTTTCCCCGACTTTCATAACTCATTCTATGCGATCTACGTTTGCTTTGTCTGCTTTTGTTCGTGGGTAATAGAGGAATAAGGTACAGAAAGGTGACGACGGCGCTTGTGTCTGGTAAACGGCGAATATGTTTGTATAATGACGAATGACGGAACGATGGGGCATGACAAGACGTCTCTCTTCTTTTCTCTCGTGTCATTTTCCCCGGCATCCCCCGACAGGGATTGTCACTGATTTATTTCTTTTATTTTTATTCCCGTCGGATTAGGTGAATCGGGAAACATGGGGAAAGTATGCCGGGGTCCTCGTGTTCACACATCTGGAACCGTGGGACGGCGTTGATATCTTTCGGGGGTCGCCGGGCGAATACGGAATACGATATCATTGGCTCGCAAGATTCTTGATTGGAGAAACTGCAGCTATTCTAGAGAACCTCCATGGTAAACGCTCAACAGTAAAGCTTGAGACACAATCGTGACTACACATTTGAGGAGAGGAACAACATTCCTTGGAACACCTAGTATGCTGCTAGTTACCGCTCCCTCCCAAAGTAGTGGATCCTGCACCATCCTCACAATTTCCCAATTCCTCGGCTTGGTGCCTCAAATCTAAAAATTTCTGGGGGATGAGGCGTGCAATAATACTAAATACCAATGGGCACCAGTGTTGGAGGCTCAGTCCCTTACATTGATCATTGATCCTTTTTATTTTTTGTTAATTTTTTTTTGTATAATGGGTTTTCACCATTCTATGTCATCTTATAAGCCTAAATATATATTTTCTTTAGAAGCGAATAGTAATGTAAAATAATAAATAGTTAACATCAGCTCTTCAACATGGCTTGAAAACCCGGTCGCGGGGTTTGCATCCGGGACTCCGTATAGATCCGGCTCGGCGGGTGTGGTTTACCGAGCTGCACACATCATCGGCGAAAAACTTCGGCCGCCGAAGAGAACCGCGGCACACCCGGTAAACTTCATATTTGATGAAAGGAGCAACGATGTCGTCTCGGAACTTGGATGTGTTCAAGGGTTCCACGCCAGTTTGGTTCTTTTTCTTTTTCACCCCGCTTGGAGAGGTTTAAAAGGGGCAGGCTTACATTAAGGTGAAGGCTATTTATGGGGACCTACACGGCGACATCCTTAGCTCGTTGTATAGATGTTGGCATACTACGCCGTATTCTGGATCTAGCGTGTTATACTGTCGAGCTAACAAGCCATGCCGGCGATCATGCTTTCGCGGGACCCTCCTTTAGAGATACGATTCTGTTTAATACGACTTGATTACTGTTACTATCGCGATCCATGATCTGTTGTGTGTTATCAATTCAGTCAGTGGGGAAACATTCAAGATCAATGAAGAAATGGACGTGGGAACGCATGTACTCACGAAGTAACCAACCCGTATGGCCTGAAACCTTACACCCTTTTCGCTCGGTGTTTCCGGCCACGGAGCCCTTCAGCGCATTTCGTCAAACCCTGATTCAACCAGGGCAGAGGGGTAGGTCTTCAGGCTATCAGGGTTGATATCCCATCCCCCATAACGCCGCCCTCGGCGGCTTTGGGGTTATCCGAGTTGAAGAGCCGGTCATGGATCCGAACGTTAATCACACGCGATCCGGTAGGGACCCATTGAATAAAAGCTTTGGGTTTCTTCTTGGTCTTGCCGAACGAAGCCCGAATCTCCGTGATGGGTCCAGACTCAGGGTCCTTAGAGAAGGAAGTCGCTAGAATAGGGCGCGGGACTTGGAATAGGCCGATCACTGCGCCGGGCGCAAGTCTAAAGTAATCCTTGCTTGCAACTTCTCGGAAGTCTGAACGATCAATGTAAATTGCCTTCGTGATAGACAGCCTGTGGCTGCCTATGAACGGATCCTTAGGCAGGAATGGAACATCCAGCTCTTTGATTCCCAGAGTCTCCCAGTCTTCAAGTACGACAGGAATAGGATCTAGAATAAGCATAAGACGTGGCACAGTTGTTTCAAGGTAACGACGAACCGCTTGTTCAAACCGCTCTATAGGAATGACTGTCTTTGCGGTTGTCACATCAAGCTCGTTGATAAATGAGAGGATTGCGCCTGGCGGCACTCCTTGGCGGCGAAGAGCTGGAAGGGTATAGAGCCGTGGATCCGACTAGTCCTCAACGACGTCTGCAGCCGCCATCTCTTACTCATGACAGCCCCAGCAATATTTAGACGTCCTAAGGCATGTCAGTGAAGGCTCGAGTGGGAATTCGTCAAATATTAGCAGCATTAGAACTCACCATGCTCGCGCTGCATAGGCTCGTACACGCCGAGCGAATGATTGAGCCATCCATAACTTTCCCGGGAAAGGATAAGCTCCGTTGTGCAGAGGCTATGCGTAATCCCCCCAAAACTGTCGCAAAGACAGTGGGCAAAGTCATAAGTAGGATAGATTTCCACTTATCCTTTGTCCGGTAGTGAGACTATGGCTCCTCGGGTATGCGGTAGGCAGGGAGATCCCACCTCTGGGGATTGCCGCTGGTGATGTCCTGCTTCATGCGCAGGAAGGCGGTCCGAGGTGCGTATTTCCCGTCGCGCATGTCGCGGAATTTCCTCAAGTTGGTCTCGGGCTCCTGTTCCGCATGCTCACAGCGATACCGCGGTCCCTCTTTGCCATTCTCAACACCCCGCTGGCGCTTTGTTTCCGCGGCCGGGCAGTGGCACACGTATGCTTTCCGAAGCTTGATCAGCTTTTCGGCCATGTCGTACAACTTCTGGAAGTTATCGCTTGAATACGTGATGGCATCGGGCTTAAAACCTGCTTCAGGTGAGCATCAAGGTTAATGTGCGAACATGACTGGAAAGAATGCAAACCCAACCATCGGATTGCCTCCTCTATAGAGAGGAAGTATTCCTCGTCCTCGGCGGAAGGGTTTGTGTCATCGAATCTTGATGTCCATCAGCCTCTGCATATCATTGTAAAAGAGAGCTTGAGGTATCAATTTGCTTATACCTGAAGAACTATTGCTGGCCGTTAGTCGTTCCGCCTAAGCATTGCTTCTAGATATGGAAGTATATGTATAGTAAAATAAATATTAAAAAAAGAAGAAAAAAAAATTAAAACAAAAGAGTGTAGTTCTTACTGTCTTCCCGACCTGAAACCGAGCAAACCCAAAATTAATTGCGATAGCTTTGGCGTGCCCAAGATGAAGATGTCCATTTGGTTCTGGCGGGAATCTCGTCACAACATCTTTCGCGAACCTCTCTTTGTAGATGTCGGCGAGAAAACCCTTCTTGAACATAGCATCTGGGTCGATACCCTCCAGCTTGGCCTGACCGATCGGCAGCTTTCCACTAATACCGGGTTTAGCACCATTGACAACCAGGGTGGACGCTAGTTCTACCGTTTGCTTCGCACGTTTGCCAGCGGACGTGACCTTCTTTGCTCGTTTCTGAAGGCCTTTCTTCAATTCACTCTTGGATACCACCTCCCCGGTCCCCTCGTCAAGCTGAAGGTTAGCGGCACCTCCCGGCGCATTTTCCGGGAAAGTGTCCGCGATCGAACTCTTAACGCTAGACGATTTGAGATTGATTGATATGACTGCAAGTATTGTTAGACTAACCTCGACGCTAGTCTTCAAAGGAGGTCCACTCAAGTGGAGGGTGAGTCGAATGGTGGGGGGACTTTGGGGGGGCATCTGGGCTCTGTCCCGCAGCCCAATACAAAGGTGTAGGTGGCGTACCTGTGGCGTTTTAGTAGCCTGCCAGCTGAAGCGATGTAGATTACCAATGATCCTGCCCCTCCTGCCAGGGCCTCTGAATATTTTATGATCACTGAATCCAGTTAATTTTCCAAGTCCTAATTATAACTACTTTTTACTATTTTATAATGAATTAAATGTTGAATGATTATGCGGCTCATTGACTAGTTAATATCAGCTGAAATCATCAATCGTTTCTAGGCTCTAAAGTGAGGTGGGTATGTAATCTACTTGCAAGTGTAGGCGGGGTTATGGGTGGCACTGCCGCGTTGTCGGAGCGTCTTGAGTGGTCGCATTTGGTGGGTCGATGCTTGTTTTGGGCATGTCCAGCTGAAGTCGATGTGGTCTGAGCTCCGGAGATCATTGTTCGTCCTCAATATTCAATTCCTTCCCTCAATGTGCAGTACCCCGTGCGATTACGTACAGAAAGTAATATGATGCATGAACTGGGCTTGGAAATAGGAAAGAGCGCTTGCTTGCAGTCGGTTTGGGAAACCAGAAACGGGCGGAGCTATACAAGGTAGCTGCGTAGACTCGAGGAAGAATCAGTACTTTGTACACCTCGTACCTGTAATTACCTCAGGCTGTCCTGTCTGTCTCAGAGCGAGGGGCGAACTACCCCTCCCAGTCGCTAGTCCTGCCCTCCATCTAACCTTGCCCGCGTCAGAGCTAAGCAAACATGCTTGGATACATGCGCGAAGTGACATCAATGGTGTGGAGCGCGGGAGGGAAAGCGTGAGGGGATGAATGGATGCCTCCCAAAGACTTAAGACTTGTACCTCGTGGACATTCCTTCTTTATGCATATCAACCTGATCCGGCTGCAGTTTCTCTTCCTCCCCAACTTCTCCTCTCTCTAGATAATCAGACCAATTCGCATCCTTTCCTGTTCCTATCATAGTTCTCCACGGGCTCCGATCCGAAATTCAAGTGCGAAATAGAACTTGATCAAAGAACCAGACGAACCAACTTGTATAACGAAGAGCCTCCTCGACCATCAAGATGGATAAGATCATCGGCGCTCTTACCCAGGATAATGACGATAACCGTTAGTTACTGATGCCCAGCCACTCCGCCGGTGCCTCTCTTCTGCGTTCCCAGTCCCCTCTACCCGTCGTGGTCTGCTTTAAGTCTTGGGCGCGTGGAGAAAATAGTATGGACTGTGGGGAATGGATGCTAACGCTGTGATACTTCCGCAGGCCCCAATGCTTCTTCCCTTGGCTCTGGTAACAGTAAGTTCTGTCTGGTGAATGAATATTCTCTTCCCTCGCGCCAACCATACCCAACTTATATCCCCTCTCCCTCCACAGTAGCTTGCCTCAGCTAACAACCCATTGTGTCAGAGGGTCCCGGTGGCGCACTAGGACCCCTCGCCGGAAACATCCTCGGCCTCCTCGACAACGACGACGACAAGCAGCGCGCCGCCGAAGAAGCCTCTCGCCGCGCCGGTGACTCTGGCAACAGCGACCTGTTCAAGACCATTCTCGGCTCTCTGAGCTCTGACAAGGACAAGGTTGCGAGGGAAGATATCGACGAGGAGGGTGAGCGATTAAGCGATTACCCTTGCAGTATTGACTCAACACTAGTCGAAAGACTTGGAGGCGTGCCCATCAAAGATATGAGCTAACACCACAGTATGCAAAGACGCCGTTAAGACGCATAAGAAGTTCTTTGGCAACGAGGGCGACAACGAGCAAGCGGACTCCCGTAGTCTCGGCTCAGCTGCCGCCATGCAGGCCCTCAAGCTCTTCTCAAGCGGAAACGAACCCCAGAAGTCTTCCTCGGAGAGCGCCTTCTTGGCTCTCGCCATGTCCGAGGCTAGCAAGGTACGATTTCATTTTTGTTCCCTCTTCTTTGTGGGAGGATTTTGAAATCTCGGGCAAAAAGCTAACTTCGAGAACCACACTCAGCTCTTTGACCAGCAGGCATCCCAGGGCAAGGTTGCCTCTGGTGCCTCGAAAGAGTCCGCCGTCCAGCAGGCTGGTGAGATGGCGCTCAAGATGTACCTGAAGAGCCAGGTCTCGGGAGGTAGCGGGGCTAGCAGCGGCGGAAGCAGTGGTGGTGCTGGCGATCTCATGAACCTTGCCTCGAAGTTCCTCAAGTAAAAGGTACGATTGATGTAAGCATGTGTGTATGGTATTGTGATGGGAAATAGAAATTGAATGAATGAATCACGCACTATAAAACTCAGATTAATAGAAGCAGTGAAAAACACGTCCATTACAACACAGACTGTGTGTGGGACGAATGCTGCACACAGAACAGCCTATCCACAATATATAACAATACCTTTCTCTCAATCGGATTGATCCTTCTTCTCACCCTTGGCAACCTCCAAAACATCGAGCCAACCCCGCGGCCTCCTCCTACCGCCCTCCACAACCTCGTCAAGATACTTCTCTGCCTCACCAGCCCATGCAAGCAACTGCTCTTCGCTGCCCCACTCACCCAACGCCATCAAATTCACCGGAATCTTCCCAGTCCCCTGCTTCGGCTCAACATAACCAACCGGCACCGTAACAGCAGGCGTACCCGTCACGTTCGCCAGGAACACATACATCATATGCTTCAGAGTCATATTAGCATCCGAGAAGCCATGCGCCTCATTAGCTGGATCCTTGGGCCACCCAGCGACGGGGGTAGTAGGCGTAACGATGAGCAGGCCCGGATACTTCGCAAACAAGAAGGCGAGGTGCTGCATGAGGAGCTCCCTCAGCTCGTTGAACTTGATGTAATCCGTGGCGGGCGTCTGGCTGCCCACGCCGACGAGCACGCGGGTCTGGGGCTGGAGCATGGCGTGTGCGGCGGATACGGTCGGGGCGCGGGCGTAGTGCGCTGCTGTGCCGTCGGTGAGGCAGATGGCGCCGTGGGCGAGGCGGGTTTCGCGGAGGAAAGGGAGGGTGATGTCGACGACTTCGTAGCCTAGTTTCTTTTCGTAGTACTCGATGGCGGCGTTGCAGTGCTCTAGGACTTCGGCGTCGGCTTTGTCGAACCACGCGCGGTAGATGCCGATGGTCTTCTTGGCTGACGGCGAGGGCGGGGTCGAGGGTGCGAAGCGGCCTTGCGTGTTGCAGGATGGGTTGGGTTGGGCGATGGTGCGGTAGGCGGCGGTGAGGTCGGCGATGGTGGAGGCCATGGGACACATTACGCACATACTGTGGGCCATTAGGCCTGTTCGGTGGTGGGAAACTTTGAGCCCGTATTGGCCTGTGAAGGAGGGCGGGACGCGGCAGCTGCCGCCGGCGTCGGTGCCGATTGCGATGGGGACAACGCCAGCGGATAGGGCGGAGGCGGCACCGGAGGAGGAGCCGCCTGGGTAGTAGGTTGTGTTCATCCAATTAGTGGGGGTACCCCAGGCAGACTTCGTGCAGAAGGGTAATTAACTGTTAGCTTTTGTCTCTTCTTGGGTGATCGAAGTGGGGGGGAGACCATACGTTACAGCCGCTAACATCGACACCAAGCTCATGCATAGCCAACTTTCCCACCATCACAGCACCAGCCTCCAGCATCTTCTGCACCGGCCAAGCCGTCTTCGTGCTCGGTTTAAAAAACGGATTATTCGCATCATACTTCATCCCAATATGCGACACATACCCCTCAACGTCCACGTCATCCTTGACACCGAACGGCACGCCATCGAGGAGCCCCAGCTCGCGACCCTCGGCGTACCTCTCAGTCGAGGCCCGCGCGGCGGCGAGCGTGCGCTCCTCCTGACCGTAGCTGTCGACCCAGGCGTTGGCGTACTTGCTTTGCGGGCTGCCACCTCGCTTGATGCGCTCGAGGAGAGCCTCGGCGACTTGGAGGGGCGTGACGGTCTTGGCTTTGTAGGCGGCGTGGTAGTCTGCGGCTGAGTGGTATCGGCCTACGAGGTCTGCGGCCCTGGGGGTGTGGATGTGGGGTGGGAAGGGGATGAGGGAGGTGTTGGCGTTGTCGCCGTTGCCGAGGGGGATGACGCAGGGCTGGAGAGGAAGCAAGGGGGTTTCACGTTAGCTAGGTAAGGAATGGGAGATAGGACGAGGTCAAATGACGGATTGTGAGAAATGAATTTAAAAAAAAAAAAAAATAATAAAATAAAAATAAAAGGTTAAGGTGTGTGTGGGTTGGTGAGACGAACATGAAGACGAGCTGGGATCTTGCTCTCGAGCTCAGGCATCTGCCTCACGGTGCCGAACTTGGCATTGTTCCAGAGTGTACGTTGGAGGTAGCCAAGATTGGAGACGCTAGGAAATGTATCAATTCATGTTAGCCTTTTCTGATTTCCTTCTTCCTGAGAGGTCAATGCAAGAACGTACAGGGAAGCGCCAATGACGAGGGACCAGCCTCTCATGACGGGGTTGCTGTCCTCCCGGCCAGTGCCATCCTCAATGGAAGCTCCGGATTGGGTCCAGTCAACGGGGTCTGGGTAGAAAGCGAAGCTCTGGGGGGCAGTCATGATTACTTCGTCGGTCGTCAAACGCGCCAGGAACGTTTCTAGGGGTACGGTAAATCAAACGAGCAACAAGACAAGTGTAAGTTGGAGATGGAGGTGAGATGAGAATGAATGGGAAAGTGTGCCTCGGTTTGGCGGAGCTTGTGTTGCTAAACCTGGTGTCAGCTCAGCATGTGGATGTGGACAGCAGCAGCTAACGGGGGCTGAGTAGACAGCAAAATGGACAGGGAATATGTCCTCGATGAAAATCTACTAGAGAAAAATCCCGGTAAAAAATATAGTTATTTTAAAATACAATAAAAATAAAAATCAAATCGTAATCGTTTGTTGAATGGAAGCTATGTTGCATATATAATCCATGCCCCGGCCGAGTGAACCGATGCAGTCTTGGCCGCCGTCGCCACTCGGAGAAATGATGAGAAAATAGGAAAAGAAATGGAACTACATCAGTATGTACTTCCCTTCAATTGAGCTCTATTACTTGCTCGCATGCATTTCCTTCGCGGCAGCTAATAAAGGTAAAATCCTCGCTCGGGAAAGCTGAAACGACTACGGATCCAGGTAAAACGGGATAAACTCCGTCATCGTGGCGGATCTTGACCGAGAAGGGAAAACATAGGATGAATACAAAGTAGAGCCAATGTGGACAATCGCCAAGGCTTGGGTTGGGTGATTTAACAGCTCGTTAATACTCGAGATCCTGCATCATTTCTCAGCCACGTAAGCTTTTGTCGCCGTTCGGGTCCCAGGGCCCGATAGACGAGCGCCAAGAACTCGGTACTATATTGAGTTGGAGAATTGAAGAGAACTTGGAGAAATTGTAATCAGCCTGTCCGGGAGACCGCTGGAAATGAGAGATAAGCTTGTGTCAACGAAGTCGGGATAGGAACACGGCACTGATAGCGAACCGATGAGCTGATGAGTCCAGACGTCTGAATGAGAAGAGAACTATAGCATTCGTATTGAAGGAAGAGTAACGCTTGATGCTCGAGTGGCTCTATTATGTCAATCAACTCCCAAGTCCGCTCAGTCGGATTGCCTCCTCGACTCGGACTGCCTTCTAATGATGAAGCGCTCTCCAACCTCATAAGAATCAACCGGTGCGCCTTGCCACGCCATGCCAGAAAATAAAAAAGCCCCCATCTATGCCCTACTCAGAAACCCAAACGGCCACCATGCCCCTTCCTCATCCACGTCCCCGTACTCGACATCTTCCTCATCATCCTCATCCGGCCCTTTCTCCCTATACAGCACCTCGCAGACACCACCAAGCGGCACATCCATCACACCATCCGTACCCTCCCCCCAGACCTCCCTATAGTCCAAAACCCGCTTCCCTGCACCGCCCGGCCCTTTCCTCTTGACAACCTTGGACCTCGTTAGCCTGCTCCCGTCCCTCATCCTCCCCTTCGCATCAATAACGGCCACCTTAGCAACATCGTCCACAACCGTCTCGACCGCCCCCATCGGCGCCGTCAAATACCCAATATTATACGACGCGAGCGCCACGAACAGATACACCAGTGCCATGACCAGGAACGCAGGCACCGCGAGCGACCACCACCTATTGGGATAGTAGTAGATCCCCAGCGCGTGAAGGAACGGGGACGGCAGGTACGACCAGAGGATGTACACGAGGAACGTAGCGCTCGAGAACAGGTAGAGGACGAAGCCGTAGTATTCGTACGTAGGAACCTTAGGCGACGCCCGAACCACGCGCGACGCCACCTCGAGCTCGTCGTCCGAGAGGTCCGGGGTCGTGGGGCGCGACGGGATGAGGAGCGACGTTATCGATGGTGAGGGCGGGAGGGGTGTTCCCGGCCTTCCATAAAAGGGCGGCGCGAAGTAGTTGGGAGGGTGGATGGACGGATGCGGTTGAGGTGCGTCTTCAACGGATTCGGTCGATTTGGATGTGGTGGACGACTCGGCGTCGGAGCTGGCGAGCTCCAGATCGCCTTCTTCTTCGATCGTGACCGGCATGTTCGCGCATCGTCTGTTTTTCGGTTCCCTTGTGAAATTATATACAGGGAATAAATGAATGTTCTCGTGGTGTACCACAGCGCTTCATAGCGTGGGTGAAGAGTAGGGAAGTTGTTGATGATGGCCTTGTGGTTGAGGGTTCCAACTATTCAGGAAGAGGGAAATGAAGCGCGTTACATAAGCAATCGACGACAACCTATCAATCATCGTCCCCATTAGCATCTGAAGTCTTCTTAACTGCCCTGCTATGAATACTATGAATACCATGACTACAGAAGCGTGCGTGTTCGTGGTGTATTATCGAACTTGGGAATAGCAAGGGTGGCTACATTTCTATTTTGCCTCCGCTTCCAATTGCGACTCGGCTGGATCCTCGCCTGCCAGTTGTAGGATCGAGCCATTTCCTTAACAAGCCTTTTGGCGGCGGCTCCGTCGCGGATCTCAGCAAGCTAATTTTCGACACTTACAATTCGTGACAGCTACGCAAAAGCTCTCTTAATGAATGATATCTGACACAGTAGTAGCCTATGACTCAAACTCAATCTGCCCCCTTATCCACGATGGGTGCAAGGAGCGTCTGAAGTAGCTACAGGGACATAATGTTAGTACCCAGTCTGCTTATTTGAAGAGATGAACAATCCGTCTCAAACTTACCCATTCTTCCAGATGTCGGTTGTTATCCCGTAAAGCTCGCCATCTATCATCCAGTTTCTCTGAAATTGGTTCTTAGCCGCCCTTTCTCTTACTAGCAATCGTTCGAACGATCGATGATAGTCACTTACCCGCCGTAACGTGAATAACATCATTCAAGCGCGTGTCGTCACTCAGGGCTTTCAGAAAATCCTTGGCTTTTCTGTCATTCCCGATTTGACTGACCAAGAAGCGGACACCTTCACATGGTTAGCATAGGATAATTGGTGAAGGTATTGTTTCTTACATGTCCTCGGATACTCCTCTTCACTCCCCTCCAACCTGTTTCCACACTCGTAGATTGCGTCCATAGTCGTATAGAGCGTCTCCACGTTCTGCTTCATCCCACCGAAAGCTTTGGGGTTCTCCGGATGGCCATCGGTGATGATGCATATGAGGAGTGGCCTAACCAACCCTTGCTTATTATCAAGTTTGTCGTAAACAAGAGGCTTCAGGATTTTCTCTTTAAGACCAGTGCCAATCTGTGTATAGCTACCCTTCGTGATCTTGAGGGCTTCCATGCGTTCCCGGATACCTTGTGCATCCAATTTGCTGAGGTTTTCCCCGCCAGCGTTAATAAAGCGCAACTCCACGCCCTCGCCCTTCGGGACCAGGCGGGTGGTGATGCGCGCAATCCGCTCCACGAGGGCGGCTTGCGCCTGCGCTCGGCCGTCTTCGAGCATTGAGCCACTGTCATCTAAAATAAAACTCATAAATGAGCCCCGGTGTGCTCGTTATACGCAGGAGTCTTCGGGACACTCGGAACTCACCGCAATAGATGACAGGTTGAAACATGCTGACGCGGATGAGAGTCTTGACATTCTCCGGTTTACTCAACGGGTCCATGGGATCGCTGAGCAGGTCGGTTGCTTTCTCTGCCACGGTTTGCAGGAACTGTTTGTTCTCTCCAGAGAAAAAGGTATCGAGACCGGTTTTGGTTACGAAGGTGCTGATTGACGCCTTGAATTCGGCTGGTGTCCTCGGTTCTTTGTCCCAGATTTTCTGCAAAGAACCGGAAGGAAAACCCCGTGTTAGTCCAACTACGACTAGAATTTGAGGAGTTGATAGATGGACTTCGTTTACTTGCCTTCTCTAGATTATCATCCCTCTCCCCATCGATCCCATGCATCCTCTTGACAACCTCATTCATCTCCTTCGTCACGCCCCTCACGATCTTATTAACCGTCTCATTATTAACCCACGCGAGGATAATGCCAATCAGGCCCACAATAGTTCTAATCACCTCCCCCAAGTCAATCCTACTCTTATTCGGATACAGTGCCGCATTCACCGCGGGACTATTCAACCTCCTCGCGATATCCTCCACCGTCTCACCCTTCTTATTCACAGCGTCCAACGAAGCTCCCGCCTCCACTAGCAACCGGATGACATCCGGGTCACGAGTCTCGTTCAGGACGAGCATCAAGGGTGTCTCGCCACGGACGGCGTCGCATGTGGAATCGACGTCGGCACCGTTCTCGAGTAAGAGACTGACGATCTGTGCGCGATTCTTTCTAGCCGTGGAGGCAGCCCATGACAGGGGCGTCTGGCCATCTATGGACGGCGTGTTAGGGTCGGCTTTGCCCACTTCGAGGAGACGCCTGACGGTGGTAGCTTGGCTTGAGAAGACGGCGGCGATGAGAGGGGTGATGCCCTTATCGGGGTGCTGGGCATTGATGTCAGTGGAGGCGAGATAGCCCTTGAGCTGAGTGGCGGTTAGAGTGCCGTTGAAACAGTCCTCGAAGAGACCCATCTTGGATTGGCCTTTCGGGGGTAGGTTTGAGAGCGGTTTGCAGAGATGAATCAGGCTTCCAGATGATGTCGAAGAGATGATAGGGTGGCACACCGAGGACATGGTGGATGCCCAAGTGTACCTGGAGATTGGAGTCGTTGAAATAGGATACTAACTCACTCACTCGGCTTTCATTGACCCCACACCACCTCATGTCATCCCCCAGCCTTGCCGCACGAAAGTTGGGGAAATAGGGAGGAGCAAATAGATATGACCGAAAGCTGCATCAATGCCTGACTGCAGATATCTACAAGGGTGTCCTGCAGTCATACGAACGCACGTAGGAGTCTGGGGCAGTCACTCTGTCGCCCTGAGCAGGCTGCGGGCACACGCCCTTGGGAGTGAATGTAACACGAGCACATTGATCTGGGCACTCATCCAGCTTCCAGCCTGCTCTCCGACAGCAGAGCATCCCCAAACACCTCGCTGCCATCACATTCGTTATCATGCCGAAATACGAGTCCCTCATTGCCCCAGAATTGGTCCACCCCGACCACCGTCGGCCGCCGCCCATTCCAGCGAAACCGGGCCTCAGGTTTGCCGCAGCAGGGGACTGGAATTCTTGGGTGGTGAAGCTGAGTTTCTCTCAGGGGTCTGGTAAGAAACCCTCTCCCGTAATGAAAAACGAAATCTCTCCAACGACTCGGGCGCTGAAGCGTTTCCGAGGAGCCAGACGCTTCAGGAACCGGCTTCTACATCAACCTACCTGGCGCAGAACACGATGTCATTCTAACCGCCGGACACAATCTCGTCGGCCCGGACGGCAAAAGGTCAGCCGACCTCCTCATTCTAGACACCGATGCCACGAAAAACATTTCGGTGGCCGAGGAGAATGTCAGAATCAGCAACCGATACCTCGCGCGTCCCAACGACTCCAACGCGGTCCACGATTACGGCGCCATTCTAATCCCCCGCGAGAAAGACCAGCCGCCACGAGCGGGGTTCGGATTTAGTCTGATGTTAGGCATCGATCGGAAGGACAGAGGAACCAAGGATCCGAAAGATGAATACTTATCCGGCGATGTCCGCGTTTGCGGGTATCGCAGCGGCACGCCGCCAGGTAGACCCGACCTAAGCTCAGGTAGTTGCATTATCCGCCCTGACCAGCTCGAGTATGAGGTGGAAACTCAGACGGGGCTGAGCGGTTCCCCGGTATGGACGGCGTATAACGGTGTGGAGACGGTTGTTGCTATACAGTAGGGTGTCCCCTAATTGTCCCTTTGGATCAAGGCGTCGTCCCGTAGCTAACAGCATAGAATAGCAACCACGGAAAAAACGAGTCGGGTAGAAGCCGCGGCACGCGCCTGAACCTCCGAGTAATGCGCGACGTCTTCAGGTGGGCAGGAATCGACCGCTTCCACAAAAGACTACGCGTCCAACAGCCCGGAGCACATCCGGACGGGCTTTACCTCCACTTTGCCGAGGAGTATACTATTGGCGACGATCAAGTGGGCAAAGTCTACGTTGGTGCCGACGGTATGGATACTACTTTTGACGTTCTGCTCGCCGAGGCACCGCCAAATCCGCGTCTTCGTGAACTCAGGCCTCGATTTGTCTTGATGGCAAGAGTACCGTGGGCCGGGCACCAGCGAGAGTACGAAGATCAAGGGGAGGATTGGGTAGTTTGGGATCTGGATGGCGGCAAGGTGTCCCTGTCTAGTAATTTCCATCCTTGGTGTCTGGTGAGGTTGGAAGAGGCACCTGGTGGAGCTTTTACTATTGTCGTGTACCGAGAAGAGCAGAAGATATTGATGCGGTTGAGGATGGATATCTCGGCCTTGACGGAGCTGCAGATGAAAATGGGGCGGAGGGATGTGAATGGGATTTCGTTCGTCAGGGCCATCAGGGGAAAGAAGTACAAGGTTCGTTCAATTTGCTTCAACATCCGTTTTCCGTTGAGTGAGGTTATTGAAGACTAACAGAGCTTGTGTGTTACATGTATATAGTTTGATCAGTTTTGTCTCGAGGGTTGAACCTAGAGACTTGTCTATGTATGGAGCTCAACCTTAGTAGTATCGTCTCCGATGAATCCGGCGCCGTGAGCCCTTCTCAATACTACCTCCGCCCATATTGAAGGAATTTTGGCTACCCCGAATTACGATGTCGCCGTGAATGTGGATGTGATAGCACCGCTCGGCACTCCCCACAGGGGTGAACTTACCGGCCCCAGCCTCCTTGACCAGGTCATGGCGGTTGCCGTCCGCGTCAATGGAGACCAAGACCCCGCCGGTCAAGACGTAGGCCGTGAATGTCTGTTTCTCCCGATCGTGGCCCACAGCAAAGCGAGAGACGGCCTTGCCCAACGTGGCCCCGTAGAAGACATTTTCTGCGCCAGCAACTGTTAGTTTGGATTCCCGTGCTGGACGAGTTCAAGACAGACGAATATTACCTTGCCAGCTATCTCCGCCCACCTCGCGAGTAAGGTAGTCGAGGCTACCGTGCTTGCTCACATAAAAGAAATGCAACTTATCGTCGACCACCAGGGGGTAGTGAGGCGAGTCTATCGGTATCGAAGGAGGCAGTGGCCCACGGGGCGACCATTTGCCTCCCTTCTGCTCGATGCACTCGACCGAGCCACCAGGGCTCGGGAAGAAGACCAGCAGCCCGTCTTCCGTGAAGCAGGCACTGATTTTACCGCCGCGGTGCACTCCCATGGAGCCGATCTCACCCAGAGCTTCGTCTGCCTCCCACGCTGCTTCGGCATGAGGGTCTGGGTTGTAGGTGGATGCTTTCAGGTACCCGGGTTTATCGACGTAGAACACGATGCGCTGCGAATGAAGGTATCAATTCCCTGAACTGAGAGTGGAAAAGAAAAAAAAAAAAAAAAGGGGGGTTGGGCCTGGGATACTCACATTCTCATCCGTCTCTACGAGGTATGCCACTGGCGTATCCTCAGGGACATCAGAGGCAACAAGAGTCTCAGAAATCAGATCGAGGTCGGTCTTGTACTGCTCAACGAGGTCGTAACCACCCTCGCCATCGCTCACGACTGTCAACAGATAGAAACTGTTGCTGTTTTCCGACGCCGCGTCTCCAGGGGCGGAGAGTCGCGTAGCGAGTCTCTGAGCTTCGTTCATGGTGGCTATGATTCGGATCGGAATGACCTATGGGAAGATTGTGTGATGAGATGGCTCTGTCAAGAGGATGGGATGTAAGTCGAGTGCATGTATAATTATAACCAAATGTATGATATCGAGGCCCGATGTCGAGCTCGCGAGGCTCTAAGGCAGCAGCCACACGCTCCCCGCGTTATTAGCAGCGCGAACACCTACCTGCATTTCTTCAAGCACCCCGTTCAATATATTGCTTATCCGCAGCAGCTTGGCTCTCGGTAAGTGTCGCGCGGGGACATATTGGGCAGCGACGTGCAATTTCCTCCACACCACAACAATACCGAAACTCAAACGCGCAAGCTAGTGCACGGTGTCGTTGGCCGAGGAGCTCGACTCCTCACCTTGAATGGACAGCACACTTCCGAGGGCTGGTGCCCAACTGCACTTGTATCCGTTCTAGGTAGCCAGGGCATTCTGTCACTTGCATACTTCAAGCCATATCCTTCCCAGCGGAACCACTTGTGTGAAGAGCCTTGACTAGATCACAACGTCTTGCTGACGTGGGCTCGAGGTGTAAGCTGCTGCATTTGGAACGATGTTGGGCCTCTCAGAAAAGCCACCAGTTGCACTTTCATGTAGGGCGCGGGCGTGAACGCGCATCGCGCGGATGGACTTTTGTCATTGACAGCCTCACTCTGTGAGATGACTGCTTTATGGACAATGCTTCCGGTGTTGAAATTTCGAGTGTGAGTGATAATCCTTCAGTTTCGCCATCGTCCAAGTTTCTCCTCTAGTTCACGGATAACTGCAAAGTTACTTACACCAAGGCGAGATATCTGTGTTTCGATCTTTGTATTTTGAAAAGAAATGGTACGCACATTAACTCTCCCGAAGTTGCCTATGGTGATTATGGGCAATGTCACTGAAACTCCAGGTAGACCATCACCATCCAAGGTTGCGTGCGCACTGCTCGCAGCAACGAACGTCGCGATGATGACCTAGTACACGGGCTCCTCACGATCTCGGGTGGGACCTGGTATTTTGGCTACGACGCAGCGAGTGAGGAAATCCTGATTACATGGGTCCCATCCGAAGCAACTTCACTCCCGCTCGACTCTGCGGCAGCCAGAGTCCTCGTTCGAGTGTGGAACATCGACATAGCAAAACTACGCAGTGATATGGACGCGGGCGGATCGCAGCCCGTCCTCGAGAAGGAGATCGATCTCTCCAAACTGTCGGATATGGGTATTTTTAGGGAGAAGATGAGCCTGAAACTAGATCAATATCTAGTATTTCGCTTTGAGGGGACGGGACCAGCTCTCGGCGAGCAGGAGAGGGAGGTGAGGTTTCTTGCACCTAGTCTCTGTACTGACATGGGCTGACATTTGGTAGAGTGAAGATGGTCTCTCTGAAAGGCTTCAAGCCATGGAAGCCGAGCTCGAGGAAGTCAGGGCAAAGTCGGCTGCAGACATTTCATCCCTCCGGGCAACTTTTGACGCCGAAAAGGCCGCTTTACGAACCGAGCTCCAGTCGGCATTCGACAACGACAAAGAGACGTTACAAAACGCCTTTGGCGAGGAGAAAGGGAAACTCCGAGATGAGTTTCGAGACCAGGAAGCCGTATTACGGCGCGACATAGAGGAGAAGACCAGGACTTTCGAGAAACAGCTCAGCGACGCCACAAGAGATTTTGACGCAAGTCAAGAAAGCCAAAGAGCGTGTCGATAAGCTCTGCGCCTATATGAAGAGTGTCGAGGATTCCCTCAAAGAGGAGATCCGCGACATTGGTCAGGAGAGAGACGAGATCGAAACGAAATTCCACGAGCTTAAGGACGAGGCCAGCACTTTGCGTCGAGATTTACAAAACGCCAAGACAGACAATGAGAATCAAGCAGGCATGATTGCTACGCTCAGGGCCGAAAATACCCGTGTCGCCATAGAGTTGGCGGACGTGCGGCGGATGGTGGTTCCTGAGAATAGGCGGCTTAAGGATGAGGTATCTTTCCTCCAGGACAGGACAAAGGCCCTTGAAACGGAGCTGGAAGACAAAGAGACAGAGGCGGTAGAGGCAAAAGCTAAGTTGGCTCGTCTCGAAGGTGATAACCGGAGACTGGCCCAAGAGGTGCAGAAAGCCAAGAACGATCTGGCACGCTCGGAAAGCACGCGATCTCGGGCAGAAGAAGAACTTGATCGAGCCACGGTAGCCCTCAGGGGGCTTGAGGCCGACGCTCGTCAACAAAGAGATCAAATCCAAGAGTTAACCCAGAATCTGCGAGCGGAAAAGACCGGCCACGAGGTAACCGCAAGCGAGCTAGCTCAGGTTAGGGAGCTCATGACCAAGGAGCTATCTGAAGCCGAGAAAAACGTCGAAAATCTCCACATCAAAATCGCAGAACTGAAGACGCGAGTCGAGTCAATAACAGCCGAGAACAAGGATCTTGATGCCGCAAACGCCGAATTGAAGCAACTCCTTTCCCGCGAGATCAGAGAGCGGCAGGGAGCCGAGCGATATAACGAACGTCAGCGAACGGAGATTGATAATCTCAAGAGCCGTGTCGACATTGCCGAGGACCAAGTTTCGACTCTTAAATCAGATCTTTCCGCGGCCGAAAGCCGGCTCACGAGCTATCAGACGGCTCTCAAGGATGAGAAAATACGCTGTGGGAGCCTTCTTGAGAGCTTAAGGCGCGAGAAAACGAACTCGGCCGAAGTTGAGGGAAGGCTCGGGGCCCTTGAAGAGACGGCAAACACCAATATCTCCAAGTTGAAAGAAGAACTCGAAGCTGCCCACGGAGAAGTTAAGCGGCTTTCGGACTTACACGGTGACACCAAGACGGAGCTTGAGAAGACCAAGCGCGATCTGGCAACGGCAAACCTCCAGTCCGAAAGATTAGAACGGCGTCTCTCGACCGAGACGAAACGGAGGGAGAAGCTAGAGGCGGACTTGGACAAGGCCGTGCAACGCGAGCGGGAGTACGACCCAGACCGCTTGTACAAACAGCTAGACGATGAGCGCGAGGCTCATGGGCGGTGCAGAGAGACTCTAGAGACCGAAAAGACCGAACATGCGGCGAGTGTTAGTCGTCTAGAGATCGAGGTCCAAAGATGCAAGAATGAGATACAGAGACTGGAGGGTGAAGTCAAGAACAGAGACGATAGGATTCAGCAACATATCGATACGATTGGCAGGCTCGAGAGTAAAATCCAGGAAGAGCTGAGCGCAAAGGCGGCCCTCGAACTAAGAGCTCAGGGCCTGGAGGCACAAGTGGCACAACTCGGCGCTTCTCTTACCAACGAACGCAACTGCAGAGTGCAAGTTGAGAGTCGCCTCAGCGTAGAGGTCTCTAACCACGTCTCCACGCAACAGGCATTAGCCAACGAGAGGTCGCGTGCCAACAGCTATGGACAGAAATTGGACTACGCCAACAGCCAGCTCTCACAACAACGAAGCAAATTGAGCCAGGCCAACAACGACCTCGCGTATGAGCGGGACAGGAGTTTCCGCGCGAACTCGGAGCTCATGGACAAGAAGAACCAGCTGCAGCGCGCCAACTATACCGTCTCCAACCAGGCGGCAAGGATCCGTACACTCGAGAGCGCTGCTAAACATAACGTATGCGTCACGAGGCAGAGCGTCGAGGATCTGATCGGGAGCTATGAGCGGCTGCATGACTTTGCTAGAAGGTATGGTGGTAGGAAGAGGACATGGACATTGCGCAAGGTGCATTATCCAAATGGGTTTCAATCGTCTAACGGGAAATGGGCCATCCGGTTTAGGACTGTGTGTTTCTGAGGTTGGATCCGGGGTTGGATATTGATATTGGTTCTAGTCTCGAAGAATGCCTTTAACTACGCCTTGTCGTTTGCCAAGACGAGGGAGGCAATTGTGATGCTTTTAACAAATATAAGTTCCATTAGTTGAGAGTGGATAAACTGCATTCTTCGCTCACCCTTTGGCGTGCATCGCCGCCCCGGATCGTATCCCCATCGTTGGACGAGTCGTCGCTTGCAGAAGAGACATTGTGACAGCGTTGAGGATCAAGGACTAAACAATGAAGAAGGTAGAAGGCAATTGGGGTCAAAAGAGCTCGGGAACTTTACATAGTTGAGGCGAAGCGCTACTTTGTATTTAAATGCCAAGTTTGCACATTCGCCGCCTCCAATACAGCTAGGAGCGAAATCGGTGTCCTGTCGATCGAATTCTTGAAAAAGCATTTGAATGCACAGGCGTGTTAGAGATAGTGCGTATTAAACTTATGCATACTTGACACTTCGCTGTCACAGCCAGATATACAATTTAATAAGACCAGAATGCACAATGCTCTGGCACCAACCGCAAAAGCCAGGGCGGGCGCCAAGCTTGGCGTAGATGGTGATCATGCTACGAATGGTCCCTGCAAGCTATGAGGATCGCAGACGCCTCGCCGGCCTGTCCGAGTCTTCTGCTGTCGAGTTACGTCGGACCAAATTGCCCTCCAGGTTATTCTTCCGACGGGTCGAAGCCCATCCGCTACTGCCCAGGACTTCCTCTTCTTCTGTAAGTTCATTCCCAGATTCTAAGCTTTCAGCCGTGGCTGCTGACGGTGCTTGGGAGTTGGAGTGCAACGAAGGCTGTCGGGGTCCAGCTCCGCGAGTGCTCGCTACACTCGGGACAGGTCTCCTACCCTCATCAGGCCGGCCCGAGTCTGATTGAGGCACTTGGGTCTTCTTGGATGTGAAGGTCCCGAGGTAATGAGTTGAGAAAGTTGGAGCTAAGTACTCTTTGGTGAACTTGAAGATCTCGCTCTCCCTCGGGACTCTGGGTGACCATAAAAATGGCTTCTTCTGGATGAACCAGGCACATGTTATCGCTTCGCAGAGGAATACCGGAGTGTGGTAGTTATATCGTTCCAGTGTCTCGACGAGAAGGTCGCTCATCTGCTGTGCTGGGGCTTTGTTGGTCTCGCCTTCGTACACTTCCGTCTCCAGCTGGTATATACGCTGTTCGAGGTGCACCCGGTCCACCCTGGTGAGCAGGTCTTTTTCCAAGCCGATGACGGCCATATCCCTCCATTCCTCGTCGTACGCCCGCAGTGTTCTGAACAGGTCCCGCAGGCGCTGAAGTTTTTTGTTTCCGGGGCAGCAGCTGGTCTGCATGCGATCGTCGATGCACACTGAGTAGTTGACTTCTTTTTTAGACTGCCCACGGCAAACCTCCAGGGCCGTCCTCACCGCACACTTGCAGGGACCGCACAAAATCTTGACTTTGGCGAGCGGGTATTGAGACTCCAGGTACCTGTCATAATGAGATGCAACCTCGAAGCTCATGTTGCGAAGTGTGTCTTCGTCGGGGATGGGAGATGGGACTTTTATCAGTTGCTTCATTCGATTGCCTAGACCCCATTGCCTCAAAGAATCATGCTCAAACACATACGACGGGCCACCAACTTGGATTTCGAGATGCCTCGTATCGCACGATAGTCCGAGTGTCGCCGTTGGACATGGCGATGTTAACACAAAATAGAACGTTGTCGCGGGAATTTTCGACATATTGATCTCCAGAGGATCCACTGCTCCACATTAGTATCAGCGACTGTTATGATGAATGTATTGCCAGTAGCGTGAACAAAGGCCTAATTACCTTGTACCTGTTCTTGTGGCATGTCTTGGACTTGGTCCAAATCCTCGGAGACATCTTCAACATTGGCCATCCACTGGCTTATGGTCCGTGGCCCAGCTTGACTCGACCCAGCCTCACGCATGACACTCGCAGCCCCAGACCAGGCCGGATATCGATCAATACTTGCTACCTCAAAGATCCTGAGCCTCTCCAAGTGACGAGCCAGACTCCGAATGTCCCTGATAGCCACAGAATTTCGCTCAGGCTCAGGGAATGGGAGTTCTTTGTAGAGCCGCTCCACCAGGTCGCCTACATCGTCTATGAGTCGCTGGAACTTATTCTTATCGTTGATAGCCCATCTAGTTTTCTGCAGCGCGGTTAGACCCCGCCGGTTCGCGCTTTGCTGTTGTCTCCTCCACAGACTCCCGATTCGCTTGAGGGCCGAACTGCTCAGGAATGGCTGCTGCTCCTCTTGGCCGCCATCACCATCGGGCTGTGTGTTTGGAGAGTTCATCGTTGAAACTTCGACTCCATACCTCTCCTGCAAGACCCTACCGTTGCTAAGGAGCCCTTGAATTAGATCTAAGGCGGTTTTGATCTTGGCGGCCTTTTCAGGATGGTCGAGCTCTGGATTGCGCGCGTCGTCCCCCGGCTCCTTGAGCAGACCGTGCTTTTCGCCCCAGATGATGAAATCCTCGTTTGCGCAGTCGAATTTGAAAATAAGGACCTGGCTGTCGAAGGATGTTTCCTTCGCTGTCTTGTACAGTTGGAAGTATTCGAGACAGGTGCGGAAGGCGGGCAGAATGCCCAGGGATAGTCCTGTTGCTGCCATATTTCGCGATGTACGCAGATAGTGGTAGAGGTTGTTGCTGGGATAGGCAGAGGATGGATACTGTAGAGACCTGGTAAGAACGGGCACATATATATATATATATATGCAGCGCCCTGGAGCATGATGCGTAGTTACGAAGCACAAGGCTCTGGGGCTGAGTTACGCCACCATGCAAGACTCAGTCTGCCTTGGCGCACCAAAGCCCCTAAGCACTTCGTAACCCGCCAAAGTCGCTATTATAGGCGTCTTACCGAGGAGGTCGATAAATTGATAAGGGAAGCGAATTTTAAGGCATCTCCCGAGTCACCTTGCGAAGGCGACGGGATGTCCGCCAAGCTTCCTATAACGGAGATTACTCTGTTTACTTAAAGGTAATTAATAGGTATCTGGCACTCGAACTTTGATACTGTATTATGTGCTCCGAGTAATTACTGTAGTACTTGGATATACTATTAGGTATTACTGGGTCGTGTCTATGTCTGCGAGATAAATAGAGATAAGAGAGTACTTATAAAAATGTAGTCAAAAGCAGTAAGTAGTGAGACGGAGCAGTGCAGCCTGCCCGCACACCACAAGAAACAAGAAAAGAAACGGTTGGTCAAATGGGTCTAGAACAGTTCCCGCAAGAAGCTGCTGCAAATCCGCCTGCAGAAATGGAAATGGAACGTCGGAATGGTTGATCAACGGGAATAGAGCCGTATCACAACCAAAGGAGGCTTCCAAATAGGGGGAAGCCAAAGATCATGTAAGTGTCAAATAGGGGACACTTCGACATGTAAAACAATAGAAGAACTGTCTGGAGTCACCAGAAAATATGATCCATGAAAGTCATTATAAAGAAGTCAATTCAAAGAAGAGCTAATGACTCGAATACTTGAAGAACTTGAGAAACTTGTTAAAAAACTTGTTCTCCTTCCCTCAAGAGGGAGGGAAAGAAAAGAAATAACCATACCCATGGCCCATGGCAAGGAATAATATTCTTCCGCCCCCATTCTTGCGGACCTATGAGCACGTCACCACTTCCACCGCTGTCACCTTTTTCCCCGTCACAGTAGTTTAGTTAGTAGGAATTTAAGCAAAAAAGAGAATTGCTACTATACCTGCGACGGGCTGCGCCGCGTGCGTGGCTTCGGCAAGAGCCCAAGCCGACCGCCACACCGGCGCGGCGCCGTGGCGACGGTTCGGTGGCACAGACCAGCCGACCGGCGCCCCCGAACAGCGGCACCACAGCAACGGCACCAATGTGAATATCTGCTCCGACCCCTTTCCGATCGAACTCCTTTCTTCTTCTTTCCTTCTATCGAAACCTTCCTGTACATAAGGCTTCCGCCAAGTAGCACTGCTTCGCAGAACCCTCACAATACCTAATTTAGACATTCCTATAATAACTTTACATAAGCAATCAACGACATCTATACCTCATCTATTAACATTGATATCCGTGGATTTAATAGAGATCTGTATAATTAGTATGGTGGTCCTAGAGAAGCCTGCTTTTTCGGGTGGGATTCTCTTTTAATGTAGAAATAGTAAGGCTAGCGATCTTGCTATTTTCTAACCTTCTGAGCGCTCCAATGACCGCTTGGCCACTGGATGTAGTGTCGTCACTGCTTGAGCTGCTCGGTTGGAAGCTGTTTCCATGGACTTATATATAAAGCTATTACAAACCCCTGGGAGGGAAAGAGAGAAGGAGCGAGCAGAAGGGAGCTTCGTTCCTCCCCCGGAGGACTTGTGCAGCCTCGGACACTTTGATCTTGCTGTATGTCTTGGCAGATGTCGTTAACCGAAATGGCGGATGCTAGGTTCCTCTTGGGTAGATGTGTTGATATCGTCTGGGTCGTTGTAAACTGTCGAGTGTTGTACTATGAGTTCAAACGAGTTCACAAAAATTAAGGAATACGGCTCGTCATATTGATAGCTCGTTAGAAATATCTAAATACACAATACGCACAAATCTCCCCAATCCACTCCAATGTCCCAGAATTCATAATCACCCATCAATAGGACACCGATACTCTCTATGCCGTCCCTCAGCTACAATACCCCCGCCCCCATCCTCGATCTGAAGCGCATCCAGACATCTCCGGTGGTAAATATGTCTGCACGCCAGCAGCACTATTTGATCAAGCGGCGGTGGCTCTCTTCGCCGCGCCACTACAGCAGCATCATCATCGCCATCGCTCTCTGCCCCGACTCCCTCTCCGGGAACGGCACCTCCGCCCCCGCTCGACTCGCCCGAGATCGCCGCCGCCTTCCCCTTACCTAGAGGGACAATGTCAGCTTTACCCTTCCCCCGCTCCTCTCCCAACCCGGCCCCAACCCGCTTCTTCTTCTCCCTCCGCGCCTCATCCACCGCTCTCTTTTCCTCCCACGCATCGACGATACGACTACCGACCCCGGGTCCCCAGAGCCGACCGCCGCACGCCTCGCAAGTCGATCCTCGCGGCCGCCAGCCCCGCTGCCGGAGCTCAACGGACCGCTTGACGCTTGAAAAGAGGCTGTCCTCGAGGAGACGATTGGACAGCTCTAGAATCGACTGCTCGTACGCGTACGCCGAAAAGATCGACTGCAGGACTGAGCGGAGATCGGCAAGGCTCGGAGACGATTCCGCGGCCCGCGAGAGGAACGCCCGCAGGATGCGGAGGAAGGAGTGATTAATTCCCGGGGAAGAAGGGGTTCTGGGGGAGCGGGTCAACGGCGACGTTGGGGACGCCGGCTTGGCGGTGTTGGTCAACAGCGCTGTGAAAGTGAGCTGAACCAGGGATCGAAGCAGGCTTGTCAAGACGTCGCTGTCCCTCGACTCGCCGCCCAAAGTGCTCTGAGATCCTCGTCTAGAAGATCGCCTGGAGGAAGGCCGTCGGTCGAAAGCCGTCTGGGGCATGGCGCTAATGGGCTCCGATAACCGGCGAGTGATTCGGACAGTAGCCTCGATAAGAGCTAGCCACAGCTCGTCGTCCGCGGAAAGCTGGTCGTGCTCCGACCTCTCCCGCTTCGCGACACCGTTGACTTGTTTGGCGGTGTGCGTCTGGCAAAGCCATATCCCCAAGTTCACATATCGCTGCATTGATTTGAGCATTCCCGCCACGGCCCACTGGCAGTGTTCCGGATCTTCGCCATCATCCCTTCGGCCCAGCACCTTCTCTATTTCCACAGCGATGTCATCGAGATGCGTTGTTAGCCTCTGCATGGCCTCCTCTACCATACCGTCGTGGGCCATTAGCGCGACGATGCCCTCGATAGCACCCGTCTCTTCCATCGTAGGCAGCAGCTTGTCTAGCCTCAGATTCTTGTGTTTCACAAGACCGACGTAGTCGCCAACGTGGTCCTCCTCGAATGCGCACATGAGTCGCACATATTGCTCAATGAGGTCCCTGTCCGATGCCGCCACTGCCTCAGACGCGCTTGTCCCAGGCTCTAAGAGTGCCTTGAGATAATGGAATTGGAGGTCTGGCATTTCTTTTGCTGCCTCTAGGATATCTCGATGGAAGGCCGCATCCTGTGACGCCAAGGTTATTGCCGCCTTCTCCGGGTCGAGCTCAATAAGCTCCACCGCATTCTCACGGATAACATCGAGCACCTGCTGTACCTGACGACCCGTGAGGCCGCTCCTCGGCCGCAAACAATCTGCTATACACTTAAACGTCTCCTCACGGTCGTCCGGATCCTCAAAGTACGTCTGGACGAGCTTAGCATACTGCTTGTCGACCTTGTAAATCCGCTTAAGTATTCGGTAGAACCCAGCTTTCTTAAAGAGCAAAGTAAGCGCTTCCAGGTCAGGCGGCTGATGAACCGAGAGTAGATACTCTGCGCTGAGCTGAGCATCCTCGGCCAAGTCTTTGCCGGGGTAGTTGCAGAGTCCCGTTAGGACACGAGTAAGCGTCGAGCCGGGGAAAAGAAGGTACTGCGGGAATTTTGGTAGATTGCGCGCAATAAACATGTCCAGATATATCGTATCCTCTGGCGCAAAATCTGCAGGGTTCATGATTTCCAGGAGAATGGACACGATGTACTGCCTGTCAACCGTCTGACCAAAGATCTGCTCCTCGGGAAGATCCCCACCAGTTCCATTCTCCTTCTTCTCCGGAGCGTCGTTAAGGAATGAATCCTCGAATGCCTCGTTGAGAGCGCTTAGGAAGCTCGGGGCGTCGTACTTGAGAATTAACCTCAAATAGGGGAAGGATGGCTCAACCGGATTGCTTGGCCGAGTCAAGAATGGTCGTCCGCTCCCCTTGGGCCAAGTTATAGTATTTCCGGAGAAGAAGAACCAATACAATTCAGCGCTCGCTTTGGTGGCTGCTTCGTCACTCATCACTTCGTCGGTAGGGTAGACCCGTCTCGTGAGAGTATATGAGAGGTACGGGAAGATCTTGCGTGCGTTCGTCCCGTATATCAGGTCATTCATGTAATCCCCAGCGGACGGAGCCCCACTGCCATCATCCATTAGTGGAATCAAGAGGGAAAGTAAGTCAATCAATGGCGTAATATAATCGCCCATCGCCTGGTTCCAGACATAGATTAGCGCGTCATAGAGCCTGTTCTGCTTGCACAACGTCGTGATTTGATCCAAGTCTAGAGTTGCCGTCTCCATGTGGCAGATCATTTCTTCCAATCGCGTTTCCCACCCTTGGGAGACGTAATGAGCTACCATGGCCTTAATGACAGTTGGCGGTACTATCCTGATGCTCCTGTCTAGGATATATTGCTCTAGCGCCTCAAGGAATATACCCTCCGCTTCGGCGTCCTCGTACCACTCGTACATGTCGTCAAAAATGAAGTCGGTATTGTCGACACTTTGGCATGCGACGAAACACGCCTCCGTCAGCTCGCGTAGTCGGTCGTCATCAACAGCGTTCGCGTCCGTGCGACGCTGTCCAAAGACGTGGCGTAGTGAAGTTCTCATCACTTCCACCACCTTGTCCTTCACCATGGTATGCCTCAGAGTGGCATCTTCGGGGAGACCAACAGTAAGCTTGTCGGAATCTCCAGTGTAATAATCCGTTGCCAACTGGATAGCCGCAACATGATCCCCATGGTCCATAAGAGCGTGGAGCCTGTCCGACCAGTTTGAGAGCGTTCCGATAGAGAGATCGTCAAACCCAAGGAGGAATAGTCGGCTCTTATACGCCTTCACACTCATGTAGAACGCATCTGCCACGACGCCGTGCATGGTGGGGTCTTCCTCGTCGAGCTGTTCTACCAAGGCATGCAACTGCTCCGAAAACAGATCCACGTGGTAAATGTGTTTATGGATTAGATCGAAGCCATCAGTGACTCGCATACTCCGATCCTCAAGGATAATTAGTCTCTGTGTGATCGTGAGAACAGTTAAGACCGAGCGGCTTAACCACTGAACTGCGACAATAGCCTCCTCGCACGTCCATCGGCTGCGTGCCCGGAATTTAAGCGTTGGCGACTTGCCGGGATCATCTGTGGGCACCTCATCGATGTCGAGCACAGTCAGTACGTTCGACCAACAATAGACTAGCTTGACTTTTGAGATGTTGGCCCCGGTGACAGGGTCGGGAACTTTTAATTTGACTGCAGGGAACCACGCTAGACATCCACTCATAGCGCTGTGGTGCGCAACTTCTTTAGGTCTTGCCGATTTGTGTTGCGTTTGCGCTACTGGGGTCGTGGACACGATGACGAGAAGGTAAGGGGTGAGCATGGCGGTAAGGCCTAATGTGTCGGTGGATCGGTCGACATTTCCCAGAGGCAGCGACGCAAAAGCAAGGACAGTGCTGGGCTTCAATGTTTTGCCCGCTGGAGGTGGCGCATTCGGATACCGGCCGAGAATTCTCGTCGTTCTCACAATCCGACCAAGAGAGCCTGTTCCTCGGGTTGCTAGGTGGGCAAATGCCATGCCTCGGTCATCAGCAGAGACAATAGCTGTGCGCCTTGTTCCAAGGAACCCGAGATGTGTGATCACGACATCGGGCACATGGCCATCCATTGTCCGGTTCTCGAGCCGTGCTGGTTCGAGGTGAGGAATAGCAAGGAAAGGCCGAGCAGGCCTATTAACATCCCAGATAAAGATGGTACCATTTCTATGCCCGGCTGACACCGCTGTATGATCCGCCGAGATAGCCAGTGAAGTAATAGGACCACACTCAATAGCTTCTTAAATTAGCTCCTGTATAATAAAAAAAAGCTAGGGTATATCAGAGACTCCTTACCTTTAGTCCCAGGACCGATGATCAACTTCAAATTCTGGCTGTAATCAAACATTAATATTATGCCTTTCGTAGTTCCTAACACAATCATCGAGGCGACCGCAAAGCAAGTCGGAGAGCCAAAGTTCCGTTTCCCGGACTCAGAGAAGACCTGGCCGCTCAGTTTCTTCAGCTTCGTCCACCGAACCACCTCCCACGGTGGTGTAGTGGTTTCCGCCTCCGCATCGAACAGGAACTGAGAGTTTACTGAAAAGTGTCGTTTATGGCCGGACATGAACGCGGGAGAAGACGGCCGCGAGCTACTCGGGCTCGGGCTGAGGTATAGAGAGGAAGATAGTCGGGACTGGAATCGTCGGTCAAAGGGTCGGAAGGAGGGTGTTGGGGAGTCGAGGCCGGGACGGGAAGCCACGGAAGGGAGCACGCTACTGCTTGGGGAGGAAAGGATAGAGTCCTGTGAAAATGACGGTCAGGAATGAAAGTCACATATTGTCGGTCAAGACGAGGGCGCGCTCACCTGGACTGAAGCATCATCTGGAATCGAGAGGAGTGATCCTATTGGACTTCCCACTCTACGAGGAATGTTGTCTATCGATCCACTATCTGAACTCTGCTCCCCTCCATCTTGCAGTAGTTGGCGATATCGGTTGACCACAGATCCGTTTCCGATTCCCACGGGGGTGGAGGCCCCCTCCTCCTCAATGGCTATAGAAACGGCGTCATTATCGGCATCGCCGCCCCGGATCGTATCCCCGTCGTTGGACGAATCGTCGCTTGCAGAGGAGGAGGCATTCTCCTGTATCGGCGAACCCCCGGGACTCCGGTCCCCTCTCTCCTTTAAAGGGTTGCTCATCGGGAGGGCTTCTCGATCATGGCGTGTAACATCCAGTCATTTGGGGGGTAGCTCGGAGCTCGGTCGACGGGAACTACAGCATCGGAGGAAAGAGCAAGGGATATATCAACTTCGCTTCTGGGTAAATTAAGGAAATAAAATAAAACCGCTTGAAAAAGGAGAGCGTGGCCCCAAGACGAGAAATGTACAATGCGTGGGAATCCGGATGTATCGAGGTGATTGCGAGGCAAGTTGGCGTGCCAAGGCCTACGAAAGCATGTAATAATCGCGGGCTGTTCGACGCTAGCTCTCACTTCGCTGTTGAACTAGCTAAAAGATCTACCGACATTTATCCGACGCACCTCGCATTGCTTACGTCGGTGATGCTGTCATTTCGCAGGCGAATAAAACAGATGAATCTCACTCCTCATCTTCCAGAGTAAGATTACAACCTCAATATCAACAATGGGCTCAATCGGACCGCAGCTCCCGCCGCACCTGGCAAAGCGCAAGCGGAGTGCAGAAGATGATGGTGCTCCAGCTTCTCCTCCAGCCAAAGCCGCCAGAGGCGCAAACCCTGACGAAGTCGACCTAGGCGACGAAAGCTCAGACGACGACTATGGGCCCAGCCGTGCCGTCGGTCCCAGCCTACCCAAAGAAGAGCGACCTTCATCCGGACCCTCGATAGGTCCTACGATACCCCTAGAATTCTCCAAGAACACGGACGAGATCGATCTCTCTGATGATGACGATACAACCCTCCCCATCTCCACCTCCGGCGCAAACAAGCCCTCACCACCTCCTCCCTCCAAACGGTCAATAGGTCCCACACTACCCCCAACACGCCCTCCCAACCCAGCTGAGATCTCACTCTCCGACTCCGACTCCGAACCAGGGCCAGCTCCTCCATCAACCTCCCGCCGCACCTACGGCCCCTTTCTCCCACCCACGACAACCTCGGCCGACTCTGACACTGATTCCGACGACTACGGCCCCGCGCTACCCTCCGCCTCCAACTCTCGCCCCTCCCTCCCCTCCCGCATGCCCGCCGAAACCCCCCCAGAACCCACCAAACGCGACGACTGGATGCTCGCCCCACCCACAGCAACAGGCTACCGCGCCACCGACCCCACGAAGCTTAAGAATCGTTCTTTCCGCTCAGGGCCCTCCGCGGCATCAGCGGCGCAGCAGTCCGGCGTCCCTAGCATCTGGACCGAGACGGCGCAGGAGAAGCTCGCGCGGCTTCAGAACTCGGTTCTCGGTCGCGGGCCAGACGAGGGGCCCTCTTCCGGCGCGGGTGGTGGAGGAAGCGCGAAGGCAGCGCTGGAGAGCGAGCGGAGGAGGAAGATTGAGGAGTATACCGCGCAGACGAGGGGGAAGAGTATGTACGAGGAGAGGCGTGAGGCGAGGAGGGCGGGGAAGATCAAGACTGATGAGGAGGAGGATGATCCTAGTAAGCGGCCGTTTGATAGGGAGAAGGATATGGCTATTGGTGGGAGACTGGGTGCTGCGCAGAAACGAGAACTCATGAACAAGGCGTCGAATTTTGGAGACCGGTTTCAAAAGGGATCATACCTCTAGGCTCCTCACGACTTGGATATATAGATTCAATACCTCGGTACATTCAGTTGGAACATCAATGAGGTGTTGTACACAAATCACATAGCATTTGACAGGTATTGTCGATTGGATCATCATTAATCGACTATGTAACTATGGGAATGCTTCTTCCAAGGCTCCCAGCCTCCAACTCCAGCGCCAATCTTCAGGTCCCCTTGCATGCTCCAGCCCGGCTTGGGGAAAAGAAAACAAAATACAGAAATGGGAATTGTAAGAAAACGAAAGGTGGTACTAACGACTGTCCCCCCCTGCATGTTCGTGGTGTGTGATGTGATGGAGTACATTCGTAAGAACAATGTTACAAGGAATATCCTCCTCCTATAACCGAAAGAGGGTGGATTCAGGACAAGCCGAATGTACATTAGGCTCTATCTAACACAAGATAGAGATCCCTTTTGTTTTTTGGCCTTGTTTTGCCACTCGCTTAACGGACAAGGAATTAGTTGATCCTGGTAATACAGGGTCGAATTCCACAATACCTCGGGAGAAAAAAAAAACACAGAATGAACCAAATGCTCCCAAACTCCATGCAGCGGTGTAATAGTGATGGTATATACGGAAAGGGAATGCATCGAATTTCAGTAGGAATTAACAAAAAAAAAAAAGAAGAAGAGGATGTCATCAGGTTCGGATGTTGGGCATAAGAGGCTTCAGTCGAGACGGTGTGGCTTGCCGTGTTGAGGTTCGATATTGTGGTGGTCCGCATGTTAATGTACAACGAAGAGGAAGGATAGTCGGGTATGGGAAGTCGAAATGGATCCTCTGATCAGAGGTACGCGGATCGGGTGTTTAGAGCGGAATGAAGAGAAAAGGTGGGTGTTGGTGGTCTAAGAGCCAACAGGCCGCACACCAGCTTCAAGATGGGATGGAGTAATGGTGTTAGCCCCCGAGGCCGTTGGAGGGTTTCCATTGGCGCCGTTATTCCTCCACAGTCGAGGAAGTCGGGAACGGAAGGACGACAAGACGCCATTGCCAGATTGCTCGGTGGTCTCGACCGGAGCAGCGTCGGCAGCCTGCTGAGCGGGTCGGGTCTGGGGTTGGACCTGTGGTGCAGGACGTGGACGAGTTTCTCGTTCTCTCCTTGGCCGGTTCTGCCTGTTGCCTGGAGAAATGAAGAAACGCATGCCGCTGTACCAAGAACGCTCGGGAGTAGCAGGAAGGTTGGCTTGAGAGCCGTTGCCTCCACGGTTCCTATCCTGGAGGTTGGTGGCACCATCAGCCTGTTGAGGCCGCGGTTTGGGAGTGTAGTAATCCGCCTTGCAGAGAGGGCAGCAGGCACGTCGACTAGTCAGCCAGGGATCAACGCAGACGGCATGGAAGGCATGGCCACAGGTGAGGCCGCGAACGTCGTCATCATCTTCAAGCGTATCAATGCAGATGGCACAAGTATCACCGCTGGTGCCGTAGCACTCCGGAGGTAGGGCATCGTGAATATGTTCGTCATCGTCATCATCATCATCGTGGCTATCATCAGCATGATCGGCATGGGAGTGAGGAGTGGCGTTATGGGCTTGAGCGGGTGCGGAATCGGAAGGCTGGCCGGCAGCGGCGGCAGACGTAGCAGTGGTCTTGTTCTGTACATCATCCTTCTCCTCCGAAGGGATCCGAGCGGTTTCTGGTCGAGAGACTTCGGGGCGTGCGTCCGAGCTAGAGTTCATCTTGGAGGCATTCTGGGTGGATTGTTCGTCGACGGAATCCCGCTCCTTAGATGGGATGACACCGTCAACAGACCGAACACTATTCGCTCTGCTGGAGGGTGCCGTTACACCCCCAGTAGCCGGCAATCCTTCCCTTATTCTCGAAGAAACCCAACTCTTGTACTTCATCATTGGGAACTTCTCGTTCACCTCATCCATGGTCATTAGCTTCTTTTCCCGCCGTCTTCGATGGGGCCGTGGCATATTCTCCAGGGCGACGGGCTCGCCATCTTCGTTGAGTCGCATCTGACGGTTTCGGGCATTGTAGCGGAAGCAATACTTCACACCAACAATTATCCTATTGGACGCGGGCCGAATTAGAATTTGCTCTCTCTCATCTCACCAGACCGCAACTACCGCAACTATCCTCTGGGAGGGCGGGACCGAGGGGGGAAGAGGGGGGAAGAGGGGATATTTACCAGAGATTCGTGAAAACAACTCCAAACCCGAGAGCGACGAAAAACAACAGGGGCGATGTACCACCTCCACCACCATTATTACCATTTCCACCGCCATTGGAGTCGTTATTAGAGGGCGGTGTCTGGGTTGGTTGAGCGTCGGTTGGTGTAGCCGCGATGGCTGTCGTCGATGTCTCAAATCCGGTAGTGGGGACCACCGTGGATCCAGTTACTCCAGCGGCGTCTGTTTGCCTGGCGTGAAGTTCGACGGCTCTCACGACAATGTGTGAGGCCTCGATTAACAATCGATTGAGTACCGCCATATTGCCCACAGCGCCAGGAGCGAAATACTGTTTCGGGGCAGCGGTGTTGACAATATGAAAATCAAAGTGACGGGAGAAAGGAAGAAAACCGTCTTTCTTTTTAAAGCGTGATCATTGATGAATGTTGAGTAGTTCGTACGTGAAACTCGGCCCGGGTATATCTTCAACGAAGTCAAAGCGAGCAATCGAGGAATCGGCGAGCGCACATCAAGAAGTCGGGTGGTGGATTGGGCCGTCGAGGAGGTTCCCCCATAAAGTTTGCGTCAAATCTCTCCAACAATCCACAGAAGACTGCTACAGGAGATGAAAAGAATAAATCAATCCAGGATCGCTGGAATGATGAGGGGAAAAAAAAAAATTAACGGATTGCGGTGGTTGATAATGGTCTCTGGGTCCGAGAGAAAGGACAGTGGAGGTGCGAAAGAGGAAGTGGGTATAGGAGGGAAAAGAATTACGATCGAGGTGGACAGGGGAGGTACTATGTAAAACTATGTTGGATAGATTGCATGAGGTAAGAGGCGAGGTGAGGAAAGGCGGGCGGGTAAAAAGACTGGGGCTGGACTACGAGAGTACAAAGTACAAGCACCGCATACGAAGTACACTAGGTGCACGGAAGGAAGGTTCGAGTGGGGAGGGGAACATTGAAGGGGGGGAAAACACGCGCACTGTGTGAGAAGGGGCTTGGGGTACTTTAGGGACAAGGATGTCTTCGTACGAAGACTGATCGTTGATCTTGATTTGATATCGATATGGGGGAGTCAAGGGTGACCTTGACCTTGGGGAATCCAGTAAAATCGCTGGCTCTTGGCGGGCGGCGGAGAGCAGCCACCCTTGAGAATAATGTACTCCGTGTATTACTCCTCTATCTATAATAATGACACTGTGTGCTTTAGGACCTCTCTTCCCTATTGCGGTCGTGCTTCGTCGACCTTTGTCGACTTCGGCCGGAAATGTGATCTCGTACAGGGATCGTCGAGACTCTTCCCTTCTTCCTCCGATGTGCGGTTCGCTGCACCCGTAGTGTAAATGATTAAATTGTTATTGTTATATGATGATGCTTAATGGCCTCTTCCGTCGAAAATAATTCGGTTCTCCGCGCTCTCCGAACTCCCACTGTAGGATCAAATGCGTTTCTGGAAAATCGCCAGATCTCTCGGAGATGTCGTACTCCTCAAAACCGTCTGGTCCTCTTGGAGAAACTACCTGCTGTCCGTCCACCCACCAAGACCTCTGCCGCTCTGCTTAGCGAGACACACGACCATGTGCCGCTTCTTGCTCCCAGTTCATGTATCCACCCTGAAAGCATCGGGATCGCGTGCAATTCCTCTTCTTGATTATTTGCATTTTTACCGGCCCAAGAACTCACGATAGCATCGACTTTCGTGCTAGTGTCCCAGTATCGGTTGGTGATGTTGGTCTTCTAAATTATCATCGACGAGGTCTCTCACATGACGCTGGTTGATCGGCATGGTCTTGAGGTCATGTACTTCGTAGTGGACTTCAGAGTGGACTCGTCCTTAAGTGCGTCGCATTGCCTCCACCTTTCTCGCACGAGCCGTCTCGAGCGAGAAATTCGTGGAGGTTGAGCCAAGGCAATGGTCGCCCAGTGGTCTGGGGAAGGAAATCGATACTGGATCCTTGATGGAGACAGTGTGGATTTCAGAGTGCTGTGGAATCCATACCCTATAATTGGCATGTATTACTTGTGTTACACCTTGGACCTCAATGCCAGGCCTTTAATTTGATCCTTCCACAGAGACTCCAGACCATGAAAAAGGGTTGTCTGTTTATAATTGATACAAGCCCCGAATCGCACTTGCCATTGCTCGGCATTCAAATTGAGATTCTCTCCAAGTTGCAACCCACTGTGGTATCCCCCAGCAGTAGTTCAGCGATGCTAGGACGATTCTGTCTTTTTTTTTTTTTTTTTCTGGTCTTGCTCGACCTAAGCTTCCATCTGCATCTCTGCCCCACGATTCAAGACGACGGCGGGCCAATGGTCATAGCCTAAGTCCGAACTAGTATGAGCGGCGACGGCCGAACGAACCACGACCCAGTCAGACCAAGCCAGACCAAGCCAGTGAGGTAAGGGTCGCCCCCAGAAAGCCCATCCAAGAACATAGCGCTCTAGACGATGTGGAGCTTGCGCCGGATCGAGAAAACACAGGTTGGAGGGGCTGACTCCGCGACACATTCCTCGCCTGCGCCTCGTTCCGTCCTAGGTTAGTCCAATAGAAATAATGGGCCAGAAATGCTCATTCTTGAAGGGTGTGGGAAGGAACGGGAAAGTTGTATTCCATTCAAATCCAAATGTATCACCCACGGAGAGATTTAAGAGGCTCTTTGTTATTTTAAACGCTGACGCTACCTCGATCTCCAATGATGACACACAAGATGCTTTGCGTACGTATTTGACTCGGCTTAGCGACAACCCTTCTTTTGTTTTTTGTAAGCTCCTGGACAACGTGATATCGCGAGAGCTAGCCATGACATGCTTTTGAGGACCATACGCGTAATAGCTATGGGAGATCATCTCGTGCTTTCTTTCGCGACCATGGCCACATACGTAGTGTAAAAGCTTTAAGGTGAACAGACGTGTCTCTACGGAGATTTGAGGCACATCCACCATCGAGACTCAAAACCACGCATGGTCAAGACCCGCCCTGTGGTCAGCACGGGCCTTTCCAAGATCAACGAATGTGTCGCACACCCCGGTTCTTAACCCCAGGCCTTAGTCTCACAGCGGCATGTATGTAATTACTAGAGGTACTTTGGGGCCCCTGGCCAGTTTCTGTGCTTGTGCTTCTGCTTTTTCGAAATCTGCCTTATCGCCAGGCTGATCCAGTAACTGTCTCTCGATCCTCAGAAGGCTAGACAAGGGTTTGGCAGAAACTACTTCGTGCATCTAAAAATATTGCTGTACGCTCAGGGACAAAGAGTTCAGTGTCACAGCAATCCAGAGCAAATAATTCTTCTTCGAGATCCCTAGCGTATTGTATTGTTTGTATTTCCGAAAGCCGTAGGACGGGGACGCGTTTTCAGGCCTCTTCAAAGTTACACTACCTTACAGAACAGGCTTAGCTTGAGTGATTCGATCCCAGGCACCGCCCGCTCCAAACAAGAAGCGAAGAAATATTGAAGTATGCACAGGTGCGGCCGGTGAGACAGTGTGCTGATATCCAATCGAGCGGCACCGATGTCAATCCTCTGGAATTTCAAACAAAAGCAAAAGGATTGCATCTGGAATATCGAATACCAATAAACCCCTGTCCATGAATTGAATAAAATGTGTAACAACGCTCTCCCAAGGGTCGATTCGAGATGTCCATGGCAGCACCTGCAGGTATTTTGCAGATCTCAAAGATCTTGTGGGTAAATCCAGCACCGGGATTTCATCGAGTTTCAGACGGTTTAATCAAGATCCAGAGATCTGATGCGACCCCCGCGGGCAAGGTTTTTCAAGACTCCATCCGTTCCCACTTTCACCTTTAGCAGATGACGACGAACACTTGAGAATGGGAACTTTGTAAAATTATTATGAGGACAAGGGCAACGGATCAAGGCCTACGAAGTATGAGTTGAATTACTATTTTGCCTCTGAACAGGTCGGCGTGCTTCAAATATTAGTACTACGCAGTTTGATATTGAGTCAGGTCTTGGGAGCCCCAGATCCTTTGAAAGAGGAATATCTGAACCCGGTCCCGGTCCGTGTGGATCCGCCCTCCTTGAGTTGATCCTTGCTATAGCCTCAAAGCCCCAAACAGATCTCCTCTTCGTCATTGTTAACGTCTGTTATAGACTCGACCAGGGACTCAATCTGCACTAACAAGGAGCATCTTAGACCCAAAGGATCTCCGCAAGGGCCTGTCTCAGAACCCCCGCGCCTCCCCAGAGTCCCGGCGCATCATCGCCAATCGCTACTTCGGACAAGTGATGCAGCACGGCTGCCGGCTCTTCCAGGCCTTAGAGGGGCTTCTGTCTCCGAAGTACCTCAGTAATACCTTACTTCGCAATAGTCTAGAACGCTTAACAAAACCTTATCGGCCCAAACAGTCCGCCGGAGTCAAACCTACTCGTGACGTCCCGAGATGTACATAGGAAACTTTGGCTATTGGAGGGTTTTCTTCAGTTGTCGCAATAGTTCTCAAACAGGGAAGCGCCAGGAATAGACATTCAGTGACAGCCATGTATGACAGTGCGAGTCTCATCTAGCAAGGCCCCTGTCTCAAAGCCAGGGTTGACCTCAGATGCGATTACCAACCGACTTCACACACATACGAAGTGCAAAGCTGATATTGCTCGTCCTTTACCGCTCCGAAGGAAAGGCAGGTAGAACATTGAGGTGCGTCTATATAACGGTGTCGGTATGATGATAGCGAGATTTGATAGGTGCAGTAGTGTACTAAGGCATTGTGAAGGATCAGCAAGCTTGGCCTGGCCTAGCCGCCGACCATGCAAAATAGAGCCATGGTGATCATCAATCTGGGACAGAGGCACCATTCTCTCCATCATGCGGGAATTTAGACAGCACCCAATTAAGGATGGCCGTGGCACGCATTGGAAGAAGGGCTACGAAGTAGATTGGATGCATATCGTAACCAAGTCCTGCCATGACCAAGATTGCAAAGCCGACTCCAGGTTAATGAAAGTCCTCTGACAAAATCGTTCGCGGGATACCAAATTCGCCGGCTTGGCGGAGCATCATCCGCCGTCTCGTCTGTTGAAGCACTGGCGAGTCGTAATAGTCCAGCCACAATTAGTCCGTAGGAAGTAGCGTAGATTTAGTACCTTACAAAGTAGATGTAATCCATTACCTTGTCTAGCGGCAGTGAATTGAAGTCGTCAGAGACACTTCCGTTCCTGGGCTCTCCGTGGCTTCCGACCGCTAGTTCTCCGGCATGATGAATTTCCAGCCACGAAGTAAGCGTGGAGAAAAAACCACGCAAGGTGTGGAACTTTGTCAAAATTCGCCGATCGCCGTCGATTGACAGGTTTCGACGAGCTGGAAAGGTGCAGGGAGCTAAGATTCATTTGTTGCCCTGTGGCTGCGACCTGCTTGCGACGACTCCGTTGTGTAGCATTCGGTTCGCACTGTGGGGCTCCAAGGGTCATGTGGAGCCACGTACCTTCGTACTGTGTTGAGTCTGTCTCATCAAGTCTCGACGCTATCATCTTTGTATGGGCGGAGAACTTTGAGGGACAACAGAGGCTTTCTATGTCACCTCCCATTCTCTAACGGGAAGACGTTCAATACGACGTGATGTGATACCTTGAAGAAACTGAGGTACGATCTGAGCTAAACTAGTTTATGTGCGGGCGAGCTAACAGGTTGCTTTAGTCAGCTTGGATGACCTCAATGTCCCGGCTGTTGCCCTACCTTCGATGTTCATGTACAATTGCGACTTGGCACTCCTGGAGGTAATATCACCAATTGTAAGAGTTGACATTCATTCCACCCCAATCACCTGTCCAATCGCCAATCCTGAAATGATCTGACGCGATTGGTGTTCTCGTGACAATTGAAGTTGAGGTGGTGGCGAACATGCCGGCAGTGATAACCGATCCAGATGATAATTATTTCATATCAATATTAAAGAATCTTGAGAGAAGCCCTTGACGTTATGACGCATGACATCAAGGTGGCTGCGGCAACGGCGGAGGACAGTGTCGTTCTCTTTTAGTCGACTTCACGCCCCGGTTTTATCATCGGGGGATCCCCAACTTCGCCTTAGCGGTCCGGCTCGGGTGAGTCCATTCCAGCCCAGACCTATCTCCGTCCAAGCCATACCGGCAACCGGGACTGTCCGTTTTTCCGGGTTCCTCCGGCCATCACGAGCTGAGCAGCGCAGAGTGCGTCGACTTCAGGGCAACTTACTAGCGCCCAAGATACACCCTGTACGTCCCCAGCGAACTGAGGATAATAACGAGGCTGCCCATTATAAATCTAGATTTGTCAATCACCCTAGTCTAGTCATACCCACACGCATGGCTCACAGCCTCATCGTAGCGTCGCAATCGTACCGAGTGTTGAGAATGTACGAAGTAGTGGCTTTTCTATTTTAGCTCTCTGCTGTTGCGTCTGCTCCGCCATCCTAGTCTCCCCTTCTTCTCCCTTGCCGTGTAATAGATCATTCTTGAATACATCGTAAGTCTCCTGAGATGTCACTTTATGGGGCTTTTTTCCCCAGGGTGATGCCCCGGTTCCCGACCCGCGCGCTACGGTCGATCGTAGCTCTACGTATAGGGCCCGAGTCCCGCTTGAAAGGTGACCGTCTTAGTCTCAATAAAAAAAAATATGCCGTTTGAGGAAACAACGTAGTGATACTATAAACGACATTTCATATGAGCTAGCGGTTCCATCCTAAGGTCATTTCAAACAGAAAATTCTAAACACTAGATATATCAAGATCGCAGATAAAAATCGGGCAATTCCTCTGAGGGCGGGTGGTGGAAGATTTAGATTCAGATTCAGACATCCTCGTGCATGTTCCACCATAACACAGACTGATGCAAGGGCCTGCAGATGTCTTACCAACTATTACACGCCTAGGAATGAGAGGAGAACGACTGAGCCATGCCTGTCCCACCAAACCAGAAATTGGCCTCTGCAGGGTAGTAGCCCGAAATCGTGGCATCGAACGTTTCAAGGTGGTGACAACCGAGCCAAGCCCAAGTCTGCTAATAAGAAACCAGAAATCGATCTCAATAGGGTCTACAGCATATGCAGGCATGGGTGTAGGATGATCAACGCATCGGCTATGGATGAACTGCAAATTTTGCGGCTCGTTGAACAGTGCTCCGGCGTGCATCACTCTTTCAGGTCCATAATCGCTCGGCGTTGGTGTACGCATACTTCGTGGTGTACACCGCGCAAATGCAGATGCTAGGAATCTGGTACTGCGTACTGCTCAACGCTCATGGTCGTGGTTAATTAATGATTCATGAAGTCATCTTGAGGCTAGAAAGTCGCGTACACTACTCCGTAGCGTGGTGTGGTGCACTTTGATGCTGTGGATCTCCCCCGCATTAGCACGTCACCAGGGCTGCACCTAGATCACGCGATAACACCTGTGGACACCTGCTCTCAGGACTGTCCCAATCCCAAGTAAAATAAACGACCTTGGTAAAGAAATTACCAAAGTCCAAAACACGGAGTTCTTAACTGTTTATTTGGAGAGTTTAAATCTCTTGTTAGAGGCATTTTCAACGGAGAATTAAAAGCATCAATAGTACTTTTACAAGCTCATCCTTCGTGCGTCCAAACGTCGTCGTCAAGGCGATCTCGAGTTTGAACAGTGCAGAAAAAAAATATTTCGGCGGAGTGGGGCTGATGACTTCACACATTCCAAATGTCCTGATGCAACCCAACCTCAAAAATCGACCATGATGGAGAAAAATCCTACTTCGTAGTCTACAACGGGCGGTGTATCCGGATATCTGGATGTTAGCTCGAGTGGAAACAGTAAAACCCAGACTAAAGCTAGGGAAGGATCGATGCGTCGGTCGCCCGCCTCCGATAAGAAAGCCACTTCTCGTCCGACTCACCCGATAATACCCCTCGCCTGATGCGCAAGCCGCCTGCCCGCTCCGGAATACCCTCACCTTGCTGCGAGGCACGGTTCTCACGCAGGTCACGGCAGGTGTACGTGCCACACAGAATGCTACCCGCCTCTGGCGCTACTGCGTGCTAGCGGGGTTGAAGGAAGGCGCCTCTGACGGGCTGGCTAGTCCCTAGTTGCAGTGGACTTCTCAGTGGAAATCTCGACCCCTCCTGCCACCTGGAGCAACAACTCAAATTATTGAATTTTGATCAAAGCTTCACAAACCAACCACCCAGCCGTAGCCACAGCCCCAGTCAACGCCCCAGGCAAGGGACAAGATACGAGCGGTGCAGGCCGAGCTAACGGCCGATAAACCAGCGGATCCTCTCAAAACCCCTAACCCACCAACGACACAATATCAAATCCCTCGCTGAGCAGATACAACATCCTCGTACCCATCCTCGTACAGATCTCTCATCCGAAGCTTCCCGTACGTCCGGACCATCCTTCCCATGCCACCCACTAAGCTGCCGGAGTCCGGCAACCCGCTGTAAGTGATTGATTTTTTTTTTTTTCTTTTACCTCTTCCCTAATCCCTACCAATGCACCCTTAACCCCGGCGGATCCAACCCCCCGGCATTTTCTCTCGGAGACCCTCCGATGAGACGATTCTTCTCCATACCGCCCTTTCCTAACCCCTCGCATGTCGGACGATGAGGGCTTTTCTCTATTTTTTATATATCTCCCCTTATTCCTTCCCGCCTGCCCATCCGAGACCGCCATTTTCAAATCATGTCGGTTCTTGAGGGGGTTGACAACTGTCATCCTTGGCCAGACGTGGTTCCATTGGACCTTCGTCTCCAAGCCTCGTTGATGACGCGTTTGAGTTGCTTGGCTAGATGGACAAAGGGGGGGATAAGGAGGGGGAGGCTTAAACCTTTACCGGGAGGGAGGTCGAGTCTAGATTGATGACATACATGGTTTATCAGCAGTGATTCTTGAATGGACGAGGGCTAACTATTGGGCTTTCCCCTTTTCTTTCTAATTCAGGGTATTTTTTGATATCACTCTAGGAGGTATGTCGTCATTTTCGAGGCGAGAAATCGAAGCCTCGTTTTACCTGCTGCATCAAGAGCTTCAGCTTGTTTGGAGGGTATTGCACGTGATCTTTCTTTCGACCAGAGCTCTCCAGTTGAGGATTGACTGAAGATAGTCTCGTAGACGATGATGTGAAGTTGATGATGAGAAAGAGCAATCGCTGGCCATCTCCTACGCCATGTGAGAGATATGAGGAGACTGACGGGTTCTCATTGCAACAATCTAGGAAACCCCCTCGGAAGGATAACATTCGAACTCTTCAAAGATGTAACGCCCAAGACGGCTGAGAACTTCCGGCAGTACTGCACCGGCGAGACCAAGAACATCCAAGGCAAGCCCCTAGGATACAAGGGCTCGAAGTTCCACCGCGTGGTTTGTCATTCCTCTCTCAAGGCCTCTTTCAACACCAGGCAGGAAAAAAAGCTGATGGTAGAACGTCAACGTAATACTAACCACAATATATGACTTGCTAGATCCAAGGCTTCATGTGCCAAGGGGGAGACTTCCTCAAAGGCGACGGCACCGGCTCAACATGTATCTACGGCACAAGGTCCTTCGAAGATGAGAACTTTACCCTAAAACACACGGAGCCAGGTCTCCTCTCCATGGCTGTACGTTTATCTTTCCCCTTTCTCTCTTTTCCCTCTATTTTGATATCTAACGGATTCGATCCAGAACGCCGGGCCCAACACAAACGGAAGCCAATTCTTCATCACTACCGTGCCCACCCCTTTCCTGGACAACAAGCACGTCGTGTTCGGCAAGGTCGTCGACGGCATGGATGTTGTCAAGAAGATCGAGATGACCAAGACCGGACGCAAGGGGAGGGATGTGCCTGATATGGATGTCGTCATTGCTGAGTGCGGAGAGATGTAGGCTTTCGTCTTTTGATATGATCGATAGTCGGCAATAGGAGACATGCAATTACTCAAGAAAATAAAACACCATGTGGTTACCAGTGAAGAAAATAATTGTAAGAGGTGAAAAGGGATTCCGAATGGAAGGGGGAAAAGTCAAGATATCGTGGTACAGGAATCCAACTTGCCTCCACGTCCTACCAAGAGCTTTGGAGTCAACTGGGAACAAAACAACCAAAACGTTGCTGTTCTAAGATGAGCAAAAGAGAGTCAGAGTCGATTTAGAAAGGCTACGGCTAAATACACAACGGCAACCTTTCCTCCTGTTCCTAATCCCTCCTTGAAAGCCGAGTCCTTAAACGAGAGACGAAGAGAAGAAAACAACCTCTTAAAACGCCAACGCCGTATTCCCTTTCCGATGTCGAAAACAATTAAAAATGGCATATGATGCAAGCTAATGTGCCAAGTACAATTTCTTTTGGGAGAAATATCTGACCGAAAAGAAAAGGTAAAGTGAAGAAAAGAAAAAGAAAAGCGAAGAAATGAGAAAACAGACAAATATCCGCCTAGGGTATCGTTTTCGCACCTCGGATAATGCAGCTCTGGGACCTTGTTCCTCTTATGAAACGCCAGGAAATCACCTCTACCAGAAGAAATGCAAAGAATTCAAGTACTGTGTATGCTCCTTGATCTGCCTTGGGAAGTCGGGTTGGCGGTGATGGACTCGCTTTGTTGTTGAACGTAACCCTCGTGTGGATGAACCAGAGTCATAAATTGACAGCGCAAACAAGCTCCAAGCAACGCTTAATAGTGACCGAATCGCCAATTATTACGTCGTCTCTGCGGAGGCTTGGCTACGGTCGTGTTGGGAAGGGCAGTCGCCTCAACGCCAAAAGTAGACGTGACGGTAGCGAAGAGGGTCGTAGGCTCGAGGTCCACAGTAACGGTGACAGTCTTTCGCGAGTTGTCACCGCCAACAGTCTTTGTGATGGTGACCGGATCAGCAGTAACGGTGACGGTCTTTTGCGGACCATCGGCACCAGAAGTCTCGGTGATGTTGGTATCTGGATTGACAGTGACGGTCATGGTAACCGGGTCAGCAGTCACAGTTACTGTCTTCTGGCCGGCGCGACTGGTCTCGAAGGTAGAGCTGCCACTGTTCGTAGCCCGAGAGGGTGTACCAGAAGCAGCGGATGTGCTAGAAGGAGCGGAGGATGCGGTTCCACTGCTAGTAGGCCCGCTAGGGTTGGAGTCGGAGAAGTTGGGGTCGACCAAGAACATGTTGTTCATCTGCTCGGCGATGGCCCTATTCGTGACATCTTGGTCCTTGATGAAAGAGCTCGCACCCTGGGTGCCCTTATTGTTGCCGTTGCTGGTAGAAGCGAAATGGAGCTCAGGTGCATCGCTGTCCGGATCAATGACGGCGACGTCAACCACACTGGTATATACCTCGGGAGTGACAACATTCTCTCCCTGGGTATTGTAGATGCCGTTCCTCGAAGCCTCAGCGGCCTGGGGGGTAAGCGTGGGCCAGTCCCAGACCCAGTAGAGGGTGTATGTGGAGTCGATGTCAACGTCGTCGGGAATGCGGACATCGACCTGGCACCAGAGTCCAGTACCTTGAAGCGCATCGGCGGTCTTGGGGAACTGGGCCTTGCGAGCAGTGGCAATTTCGCCGTTGTTTTCTTGATGGCACTGGCCGTCGTCGTAGTTTCGAGTGGCAATCAGGCGGCCACGACCATCACCACCAGTTCCCTCGGTGTTCCAGACACGATGGATACTGAGGAGCTTGTCGTCGTCCTGGGGCTCAGAGGTGCCGTAGATGAAGACGGTGCCGCGGTTGAGAGGCTTATTGGGCTGGTTGTCGGGAAGAGACACATGTCCATTCTCTTGATAACGAAGAGCAACCAGCTCGCCAGGAGCAGCCTTGATCATGGGGAATTTGTCGGTGTAGTCGCCGACAGGGTGTTTGGATATGTTGTCGTCGTCAGTAATAACGGGGCCACCGGCCCTGCCGTTCGGTGGAAGAAGGTGAACGAAGAGACCGTCATTGAAACCGGGGTCATTGCGGTCGACCATGCCACGAGGGTAACCGGGCTCGCCGATTAGAGTACCGTTCGAGGCTATACGGCGAACCTGCTCGACCCAGGAGTGGGCGGTGACAGCAGGGATCATGGCAGCGAGGGCGACGCCCTTACAGAGGGCCTTGAGGCTAATAGGCTGTTCGGACGACATCATGAGAAGGTGTCAAACTATGGTCGATCTTCTTTTTGGGGTTAGCTTATGGGTTGGAAGATGAGAAGTTGGTTGGGAGAATGAAAACGTACTTCAGAAATGTTTAGCCGGGAAGACCGTTTTCTGACTCGGCTCGGATCAGTGATATCAATGAGTCAATGACTATTGAGATCGAGAACAATAGGAAACAGATCAGGAGATTCCCTGATTGATGATGTATGTAATAAGTGATGAAGGACGAGCTTTGTCAATAGGTTGGAGGTGGGCCAAGTGCGCGGGATGGTGAGGGAGATGAGATGAAAAAGAGATAGGGTTGTGGTGGACACAGAGGCTGGTACTCTGCTGAGTCTTTGGAAAGGTGAAGGAAGGAGTTCCTGGAGGTGTTTGTGAAGGAGGATAGAGTTGTGTGCTGTGAGCTGTGAGCTGTGTGCTGGGAAAAGCAGTAGTTGGTGAAAAGAAGAAAAAGGAAGATTGATGTTGGATGAAGAAAGAAGAAGTCTCCAGATGGAGGATTTGGTGATTTTGATTTGGGCAGGAGCGACTGGAAGTAGGATGATGATCTGAAAAGGAAGGAAGACCTGAGCAGACTGGGTGAAATATCGAAGATATATATACAACTTGGCTCCGTCGTCAAGATCAAGCCGGAAAAGAAACGCTCGGCGTCGTCGAAGAAGACAATCAGACTAGCTGAGTAAAAGAATCGAAGAAGAGAAGAAAGGAAATGACAAGGCCTTGTCTATATCAACATAATTGTTTACTCGACAAAGACTCTAAGGAACAAGTCGCTCGAACAATGAACAATGGTTGCTGGGCCCGTAGCGTTCAAAGACTCGCCGTCAAAGACAGTGGAAGTTTGGAAAGGTCGAGTGCTCGAAGACTGATGCGACGAGTAGTAGAGCAGCGAGACCAGCTGTTATAGCCGAAGAGTCGGAATGAGAGAGCGAATGGAATATCGAGAGGATGATCCCTTGGCCTCCAGGTCTGTTGGGCAACGGGGGAATATGTATATATATGTATGTATGAACGGGAGGGCCGAAAAACGGGACATGCAGGACGGGGGAAAGCTGCACGTTTATCTACAAGTGAAGATCTGCCAGGGCCCACGACATCGAAGTGCCCAGAAACAAAGAAAACCAGGCAAGCCACGAGGGGCGGATGTGGGAAGTGGGATGATGGACGTCGAAACAAGACGACATTGGTAGAATGTGCCGGGTAATGGCGACGGCAGGGAGCTAGCTTTCGAGTTGAAACATATCGAAGCTCCGCGCGGGTCATGGGTCGAAGAGAAGAAGACAGGAAACCTAATAGCCTCAACTTGTTTGAAGCGGAAGTTTGCGCCCCAGTCGCGGCCACGATAGACGCAAAGCCAGGGACCCCCAGAAACGCCCGATGACCCTTGACTCTGGGCCCATTGTTTCGGCGATTCAAATGGCCTATCCATCACGTGTGGAGTCTAAGGGTCTGAACAGATGGCCTGGGAAATTTGGAACTTGGCGTTGTTGAGAGGGCGACTTATGGGCAATTTCGCTCGCGTCTGATGGGCGATGCATGGTCACCACTCGTTGCGCCGGCATGGCTGCAGAGATCGTGTGCGACGGAGGCTCAGGCCCGGCGGAAGAGAAGAATAATAGCGGCGACGTTAAGACGGTGGAAAAAGCCAGCGATGAGTGGCGCTCGGGAGCAGGGGTGGGACAGGGTTTTGGCGGGTTCTGGGGTAGCGGGAGTAGTGGGTACATGTTGGTGGCTAATATGGAGCTATGAGACGTAGTTTCTGTTAACAGTTCACCTGTAAGAATACATGTTTCAATCGAGGTCTAATGTATCTCTACGCATCCACACCCTGCTGTCAGGGTCCAAATGCACCTCATCCAGTGCTTCAGACCCACGCACCCCCCATTTCGCCCCTGTCGTACCAAAATAGGCAATTCATCTGGAACCACTGGTCCTGGAGCTTCTCGCCATTCAGTGACCCACCGAACCCGCCCTGGCCCGTCCTCTCTTGCTGCTTGCTACTTGCTGCTCTGCTGCTCTGCTGCTACCCTGCCCCAGCCAGACCAGGCCCACGTCCTGTCCCATCATCCATGTCGTCGCATCAAGCTGCCGAGCGAGGTCCGCATCTACTGGTCGAGAAACCCAGTCCACGACTGAAAATTCTTTCTCTTCAGGCGGCTACGGGATCATACTTCGTGCGGTGGGCCCTAGTCGAACCATGGGTTGCACGACCGATATGGAAAACATGATTGATTCAACTGACGATATGGTGTCAAGGTGGCCTTGAAGCCGGCCTCTCGCAATCTCGTCACTCTATTTTTGCCTCGATGTAATTTTGAATAAAATGAATCCCACCTTCCAGCAGTTGCGGGCGCGTCTATTTCCCTCGAAGCCGACGATCTTGCACTGCACGGTCTACACCTCGTTCTTTCTGTTCGCCACTCATCACTCTGAACATCGGCGATATCCTCCTGACCTACGGATGAGCCCGCAGAGGTAAAGGGTAAAAAAACAACGGGTCGTTTATACGTTCGATGGGATTAAAATTCGGTTTCTTCTTTTTCCAACTCGTTTGCGCCTAGCTTGTCTACTCGGCACGGAGAATGTCTGACCCATCTCTCTCAATGTTTCCTGTTTCGTCATTCTCGTTTCAGGCATCGTCAGCTCGAATGGTTTCTGTTCTGCTCGGCAAACGTCTTTTTAGCCTTCTCCTCCCCTCTCTTGAAAACAAAATAAGAAGCCAAACTCCAGGTCGATGGCGTGGATCACTGGGAGATATTCGTCAGATCGAATTTACCTTTAGATCCTCTGATATGTTAATCCCTTGGCCCCACGCGTGCCCGTATGTTCCAGTGTTTCATCTCAACTTTCGCTTTCACTGATCTATCTGTTCTATGTACTATTTTTGCGGGACTTGGACGGGGAGACGTGGAGCTTTGATCCACATGCGGAGCATCGTGGAACTAGGCACAGGTGGATAGTAGAGCTCTAGAAGAAACAGAAACAACCTGGAAGAAACTTATTCTCTGATGATTCAATTCTTGTTTCTCGTCGATTCGGGAGGCTCCGACGAAGACGTGGACTAAAACTTTAGTTCCGCCATGTTCCACCCAGGGCCGTTTCTTTACTCCGCAGGCAACTAGCTTTGACTTGTCAAAACAGTCAAACACGGACCAAAAACATTAGTTCCACAGAATTGTTCTACGCCGACTTCCTCTCATTCTGACTGCCGAATTATCTCCCAAACTCACCAGCCATCTAGATTCAATTGCACATCCCCGAAGGCGATGGTCGAAGAATCTATGGATGCCCTCCATTACGTCTAGTTCCGACACGTCAAGTTTCAGGGTCTCCGATCCAACAGCCGGCCGGTCCCGAGCAATTATGGGAGGCCACACAGACACAGCCTCTTCACGGCTAATCGGTGCCAGTGGCTCAACCACGAGTGCCTTCTCAAGAGATCGTGCTAAATCTTCGAAACTGTTCTAGGGTAAAATCTCCTTCTAGCGGTCCGGCCTCTCCTCTCCCAGGTGTTGGGTCTGTAGCCTGTTTTAAAACCTGCAGGCAGAGTGCCGTGTGCCGACACGCCGTCATAGTTATGCTAGAGATAGATGGACATATATGGAATTTCCAAAAAAGTTTTATTTGGTTAAGCAATGGCTCAAACAATATTGAAAGCTCAATGGTGGCAGCTATGATAGGTAGTGTACAGAAGCAGATCTCCGCCATGTTTGGGGACCAAGAAAGCCAGTCCGGTCGAAAAGGGAATCTTGAAAATCGAAAGGACGTTAAGACTGTGAATGCACTTGATGATGAGGAGGGGAACAAAACAAAGGGAAATGAAAAGAGAAAGGAGGAGAGAAAAAAAGAAAATGGAGAGAAAAGGAAAAAAGAAATGAAAAGAGGAAAATGGGAAAAAAACAGAATATGCGATGCGAGATGATAGTATACAATACACAACAATCACCCTTCCTCTAAGCCCGGCTCGCAACTCTTCGCATATCTCTCCTAACCCTCTTGACCGGTCCATCAAATCTATCTATAGTCTTGTAAGGAAAGTTAGTCTCCAGTTCTAGTCCTTCCGTTCTCGCCCTCTTCACAATCCTCTTCCCAGCGAGTCCAAGTTCGTGATAGAAGGTGGCGGTAGGAGGGGGAGTGCCTACTAATGTAGGGGCGCCAGACGTAGTTTGGACATCCATCCTCTCGTTCTTCCCCATATCGTTCCACTCGGGTTGGAGCGGCATTTGTAGACACCCCGTCCCCGCCGCATCCCAGAGGACTTGCCCGATGCCATGGTCCGCGGGCCACTCGGGTGTCTTGTCCGACGGTGTCAGCGACGATGGATCGAACCTGGGATCGGTGCCCGCAAGCCATGGCTTCAGTTCCGGGAGCGATGACGCAGTGTTCCAAGCTTGCAGTGCTGGATCGCAAACCACATCATCGTAGACAATCCCCGCAGCGGCAGCCATGGTCATATTCTCTGCCAGGAAGGGGTTATTCCCAGGAGTAACGGGCGCAGCGGCGTCTCCGAAGAGTGAACTAGGTTGACTCTCCATCGGGGTTCCGCATTCTGAGTGCATCAACCCAAACTGGTTCCGCCCCATATCATGCGGCGACGGAAACTCAGTCGAGAAAGAACTCGGCAGCGTCGGCGGTGTGGCAAGTCCGTCCACTAGGCCCATGACGGGAAAATCTGTAACGGAGGCATCTAGTCCCCGAAGGTGATTGGCGACGCTGGCATCCATGTTCCACGCCATGAAATCCTCCTGGGAAAATCCCCTGTGATCCGGTCCCTGCTCCTGTACCAGGTCCTGAGGCGATAGGAACTCTGCTCCCGCGGCCAGCGCCTCGTCGTACGAGATGTACGCGTTGTTCATGTGGTATTCGGAAGTAGGGTCATTCACTGTCAGGAACCGCCACTGCGCCGTCGGCGATTCTGCCGCTACCCATTTCTTCTTTCGCGCGTTGTATTGGTGCACGTCCCTGAACTTCCACAGGATGACGGCCCGTCGAGCCCATCCGCCTTCCATACCGCCGCCGCCGCCGTGTGGTAATGTGGGACCGCAACTCCAGAGCTCCTGGAACATGCCAATTCGAGAAAGAAGTTCTCTCTGAGATGGCTCGCTGCCGGTCTTTTCATATTCCTCTTCATCACCCCCGGACTGACCTCGGCCTTTGAGACGTTCCTCGGGGACGACATTGGGGTAGCTCACGCAGTTCGTCAGCATGCTCGCCCACTCGGCAGCCGGGAACGGTACGCGGACGTCCTGCCTTGGGCGGCTAATGCAGTCACACCCGGTCTTGTTATCTCCGCATCCGGGTTGATGCGTATATTGCACCGCCATCTCATCAGTGTGTTCGAGAAACAACGGCTCGTCCTCCGTACACAGCTCCCGCGGGCGTACGAGACGGGTGACGCATTTCCACTGATGGTTCTGGAGAAACGGCTGCTCTATCGTCATTTCGATGAGGCCGTTGAGCTCTGAGCCAGTCGGGAAAGCGTTTTGGTGGAGAGAGAGTGTGACAGTCATTTCAAGTATCGTGAGGGCATCTTCGTCCTGAGGCTCGGGGAGGTTGAGGCAGTCGTGAAGGGCCGGGAAGTTTGTTTCCCAGTGTTTTGTAACCTCCTTGGCCGGACCGGAATAAGTCTGCGAAAGGGTACTCGTATATTCATGGAGAATCACGCTCCCATCTGGCCCCCGGTAGGGAGTTTCTCCCTCCTCCATCGCTACCGCAAGCTGCGGGAACTTGGTGACGTCGAGAGCTTTCCCGTCCCTGCCAGTAACGGCTCCATCTTCTTGAATCTGGATATGCGGAGAGGATACGAAAACCCAGCACGTCTTCGGCCGCGCTGAAACAGTCGAGTTCTGAGACAGGAGGTGGGCAAAATACTCGTAATTCGGCCGGACGTCTGGGAAGCGTCCGCGGGAGAGAGCCATGAGAACAGGGTTTGTCTTGAGTGAGTGAGACTCTACCGACTTTCCGTCGTCTTTCGCGGAGCGTCTTTGCTCCTCATCTTTCGTCGGGAAGAAGAAATGGACTAGAAGGTAAACAAAGGGGACAGTTAGCGGGTGCATCTCCGGCAAAGGAGGGCAATAGGGGCGAGTTATCATACAGAAGCGATGGTCCTTGAAGAAGTTCTTAAGCACTTGGATATGGCTCGATATGGCCTTCCTATCCCTCTTGTTCGCGGGATTCGGTGTCGTCCCCGGAGGAAGCGACCTGCAGTAGGCCATCCACACGTACATGCTAATAATCATGTTCCGGCCGTGTAATGACTGATGCATGAAGTATTTTGACCTTCCCATATCCGGGATCAAGAGGAGTGCTATAAGGAGAAGAATGTCAGTCCAACGAAGCAGCCCAAACACCACACACACACACACAGAAGGATATGGCCGCCTTACCATCGAGAAAGGGATCTTCGAGGATTGGAGGCCATTTCTGTCCCTCCTTCTCCTCTTTCTGGTCCTGCCTGTTCCGATATTGCCGAAACTGGTCGTGTCCATAGAACGGATTCTTCCCGCGCCGGCGCCAGTCCGCTCCCCTTGGCCTCTCCCGCCTCGGCCGGTACCCCGTCGGGAACCCCGGAGGAGGTGCTTGTGATGCCACAACCGCAGCGTTGGGTAGGTGCGTCTGACCAGCAGCCTGATGATGGTGATGGGGATGGTGAGGAGGCAGGACCAGAGGTGGGCCCTGCGCACAGAAGGAAAGGTCAGGTAGGCCTTGGGGTTGGGCATTGCCGTGCGACTCGCACAACGGCTGTCGAGCTCTGTTATCGAAGGTATACCCGGATGGGTCTTGGGAGTGGTCCATATCAACGGGGGGTTATGGTGGAAGCCGTTGGAGGGCGGCACCCTCAAGCCGCGGGAATGATAAAAGTTCCGAGACGGGATATGATGTCCACTGATGTCTACCGCACCGCACCCCGAGAAAAGGGAAAGAATAGAAAAGCGAAGGGCTGAAAAGGAAAGAGAAAACGAATGAATAGCGATCCAAGGAACGCACACACACACCACACAGACACAGGAACACAACGAGGCGTTTGCCACCGGCGAGCCTTCTTTTCCCTACCGAGACAAACAGCTCGAGGAACAGGTGAGAGTAGAAGAGAGGAAGGTATGGGAATGCTTGAAAGGGTAAGAATTGCGTGAGAGGAATTTAATACATTCAACGAGGAGACACAAGACCAGCAAGGAGTGTGAAGAAGGGGAACTACGCAGGGGAAGAAGATGAGGGAAGAGGGATGATGTTATGATCGATGAATCATCAACGACATCGAAGAGGATCTGGTAGTGTTGATATTTTCTATGCAGTAAGTGGAACACGTAGGTGTAATATAAGCTGCAAAATAATACATGCAGGGCAGCTTCACGGATATGGCCATTTTGCTCGAAACCAGACCGCCTGATCTCAAACACTTGTTTTTCCTTCTCTTTTTTCTCTCCCTCGAAAAAACAAGCGAAACCTTACCCCCCCTTCATCTTTCCCATCAGCCGAAGGGTGGGTTGTTTCGAGGCGAGCAGTGGAGACCAAAGATTTTGCAAGAGAACTAAGCCCAGGATCATGCAAAGAGCGCAGAGTGGCGTTCATTGTCGATCGTTTTCGGGGGATGATGTCGAAGACGGCCCTGCCCCCAACAGCTCAAGAGCTCTAAGACCAGGGTTGAAGGGAACGCCACATTTCGTCGTGTCTCGTGTCGATGTTCTTCCCTTCCTGCCTTTCGTGTAAAGCGGGCGGTCTAGATGCAAGGGAGACAGTTGCCCCTCCGCCCCTTCAGGAATAGATCCGTCACAGGGATCCACGGTACCTACGCGGGGCTCAGGAACGCAAAGGAGATTGTAGGAACAAGGAAATTTTGAATTGGGGTAGTTTTTGTATCTCGGGCCCGAGAACGTAGGTACCTTCTCCAACAAGGCTACCCTTAGATGTCCCGCATGCGGCGAGTCATCAGAAGGGGCTATTTTCGAAGAACAATGGAAGGGATGGAAGGAGTTCTTAGCATGCGGGGCAGGCTTTGTGGCCGATACGAAGATGAAGTGGCGGAGGGATGATGGAGGGCAAACACATCGAGACCCCCAATGATTAGGCCTCCTGATAGGCGTCCGTCGTCAGAGAATCGCTGATGCAAGTGTTTCAGCAATTAAAGAGGTCGGTAGTACCGGGGAAAAGATATCACGAAAGAAACTGCTGCTTTTGGCAAGAGAGAGAGTGAGAGAGAGAAACTGTAATTGTAGGTGCTGGTCCCTGGGTAAGACTTCGTATCGGCTAATGGCCCGTTCATTCTCACATTCCCAGGTCCAGGTCGTCTTCTGCACCCCCAATGTTCACCTTTGTCCTTCCTCTGTTTGTCAACTGTTGCAAGGCCACCTTGTTTACCTGCCCCCCCACCTTCCTCTGCATTTTGGCAATCTCTTCCTCTGGATCTATTGTTTCGGCCTCCGCAAAGTCTATTACAAGCTTCCGTCCCAGTAAATGTGTATCCCTGAGCGCTGTAACAGCGTTCTCCGCCTCCCTCGGTGTAACAAACTCTGCGAAAGCAAAGCCTCGTGATTGGTGATTGAACTTCTTCGGCACTCGGACTGCCCTGAGCTCTCCATAAGTGCCGAATAGTGCTCGGACATCCTTCTTCGTAGCCTCGAAAGGCAAGTTCTTGATGACGACCTTTGTCCTCTGGTTTGCCGCCTTCTTGGCAGCGTCCTCACGCCTTCGTTCTTCGGCGGCGTCTAGACCTCTGTGCGAAGCTTTGACAGCCAGGGTATGGCCCGCTAGAACAAATCCGTCCATGGCTTTGATGGCAGCCATAGCCTGGGCCTTTGAACGGAATTCGACGAAGCCAAAGCCCATGCTCAGTACCTGACCGGGTTTCTTTGCGTCCGTTTTCGTCTTGACCCTGGCTGAAACAAAGCCGTCGAGGGAACTGAAAGCGATGGCCAGCTCCTCTGTGGTTGTGGAGAAGTTCAGATTACGAACGTACAGGGAGGTGGTCGGTGTATCAATCTCCCGTCCCTCGTCACGTTCTAAGAGCTCTGCCACGGACAATTTCTGAACTCCACCCACCTTCTCCTTCGTCGGCAGGGGTCCTTCGGCAACAGGGGCAGCGGGCGCCTCCACAAAGATATCGCGTGGGGCCTTCTCTAAGAAGAGAATGGAGTCCCTGATACGCCTATATGCCAGCTTTGCGAAGGCTGCCTTTGCATGGCTCGGTTGGGCGAACTGAATGATGGCTATGGTGCCACTGGGTGGCATCAGCACCTGCAGTACAGTCCCGTGTTCTTCGAACATGTTTCTTAGTTCTTCGATGCTAGTCCCGAAGGGGAAATTCTTAACCAATATGGCAGTGTCACCACGTTTGTTTGATTTAAAGGCGTTCAGGTCCACGCCGTGGGATGCAAAATAAGCTTTTGTCTCCTGGATGACGGTTGTTTCAGCAATCGCCTGTTTCACACCAGCATCGGCAGATGTAGGATCAAGCAGTTCAGCCTTGGAGACGCCTAGTCGATCTGCAATCGACGCATTGACGGCGTCTTGGCTCATATAAAGCGAATTCCAGTTGAAGGTGTTCGAGGCAGCTTCAGCCCGTTTCCGGATTAAATTTTGCTTCTTAAGAGGCAATTTGGAAATTGCAAACTCGTCAAGGCCATTGTCACGTTTCGCTGCAGCAGCTACAACGTGAAGTATTCGTCCCTGGAAAGGGATGCCATCCGAGGCTTGGAATGCATCAATAGCAGAACTCGCATCAGCGTACAGCACGAGTGCATAGCCCTTGCTTCGACCTGACGCATCAGCCGGCAAGTGCACCTAAAACGAAATTTCGATCATTAGTTCCTAGTGACATTAAGAAGCGGAGGAAATTGCACTTCATAATAAAGAGAAAAAAGAACCGTCCAAGGATCAATCAGACTCAGAGTGTCATCTACTACACTCGCCCAAGGTTTTCTCATCAAATGCCAATTGGCATCAGATGTCCCTATCTTGGGATTCATCATACACGGATCACAGACATACATGCTGAGGTAGGTGAAAAAAAAAAAACCACAAGAATGGGGAAAATCTTACCTCTTCGACATGGCCATATTGGTCAAAGTGGGCCCGGAGATCGTCTTCGCTTGCTGAATAAGGCAAGTTTCGCACGAAGAGTCTTGAGGTTTTCCGAATTGTTTCCAAGTCCGGGTTGACATCTTTCGATTCTTGTCCAGAGCCTTGATCTGCCGCGCTCTCATTCTCATCGCGACTCTCCTCCACAACAGCAGGTGCCAAATCTCCAGGCTCTTGGCCATCTTGCATCTTAGAATGCGTCTCCTCAGGCCGCTCTTCTGCTTGTTGAGCTGGCTGTGGAGGCGGTAGAGGTTCGTCGTCATCGAGAAGATCAAGCAACCGGTTGGTACGAGACCGGAGCCACTCATCGTCAGTAGCACCCTTGGTGATGGTTGACGTTGGCTTAACAGGTTCTGTGGGTCCTTCCGGCGACCTACTCGGCTCTTCTTCCATGACAACGTCTTCGTCCGGTTGCTTGGCGGCTCCCGGGACTTGAGATGGAGTCGGATTTAATTGGGGAGCCTCCGCAGGTTGAGGTTTAGAGGATTGACGTTTTGAGGGTATTTCCTCATATTCATCATCGCTTTCCGCAGCCTCGATGGGTGCCTGTGCCTGCACGTCTGCATCTAGGGCAAGTTCGGCATCTATTCCAGCCCTCCTGCTGCTCGGTTGCATAACTTGGAGGAACTCCCGGAGCATGGGGTCCGACTCGTCCACCTCCCGCTTCCTCTTCTTTGAGCTTTTGTCTCCATCTTGCTCGGCCGGAAGCTCAATCTTTGCAGGTTTGCTTGTACCCGGGATGGCAGCAGATGGTTCGTCCGCTCGAGTAGACCTTTTCAGAGATGCATCGCCTATCTATCGAAATCAAATGTTAGTGTCGGGACAGCACAGCGCTTACAGCAGGTAGCATATTCGTCAGGGTCCTCTTACCGGTTTCGCAATCTCGACTGCAAGCTTGCTCATGCGAATAAACGTGCGATTGAAATATTTCACCGCGCTGGCGGCTTCCTCTGGGGTCTTGTAGCCCACATAGCCAAAGCGTCGATTCGGGATGATTTTCACATCGGTGACTTGGCGGCCATTCGCACCAAAATGATTTCTGAATTCTTTCTCTGTAATAGTGGACGGCAAGCCTTTCACGAAAATCCTGGAGGATGCCATCGTGGCGATCCAAAATGGGAAACAGAATAAGTCATGGAGGATTCACTGCCCTACTGGACAGGAGTAAAGCTGGTATTGATGACCGAGCATCGACGTTCCTGGAAATTTAAGAAAAAAAAAAAAATCCAGCCCACTCCAAAAAATTTTGTCGACAGGGTGTTATCGGTACCTATCTCCACGTGACAACCCCACCGGGCTATCCCGTCCCGAGCTCTGCGATTACCTAGGAAACTGGGAGCTGGCTGACACCAGCATCAGGACTCGCTGGGCCTGACCATAACTATTGTAGGGGCAAGGCAAGGTGGGCTGGGCCCTTGCTCAGGTCGTGCACTTCAATTCCACATCTCGAGACAAACAATTGTTCCTACTTCGGACAAGCAGAACTTGGCTTGACGTCAATTATTGAAGACTGTGACTATATTTGGATTTTCTAAGATCTTCGTATTTTTGGCCATCATCGTCAAGGTGCATCTGGCCCCCCAATTTGGCTCTGTAAGTTACATCGCCAATCTCTGGTGTTTACATCAAGACTGAATAGGGGGTCGTGGTATCATGGGAACACCCTGCGGGGACACATCCGCTAACAATGGAGCAGGAAATACTCGACAGGCTCCCCGAATACCATCTTCTCCCCTGAGGCATAACCAGACTCCTCGAAAATGGCGGATCAACAGACTCGCGCGTCTCCCGTGGCGAGAGAGAGGCTAGAAGGTAGGTCGACGAAGCTCAAGGACCCCGTCCAGGAGCAAGCCAATGCTAACAACATGCGCTCCGATCAGCCCAGATCAAATCCGCGGACATGGTGAGCTTGAAGCGCCACCGACCCATATGAAAGAATATTTGCTGAGTCTGGGAACAGAACGAGGACATGCAACAGGAGGCGATTGAAGTTGGTAGGTGCTCCTAGCCTGTATGGTCACACGACTTGATCTCAGGATATCTGACAAGCAGAATAGCCCAGGAAGCAATGGCCAAGTTCACAATCGAGAAGGTTTGCCCGTCCCGCACCTGCCAATATCTGCCGAAGAGCGCTAGCTAACTCCCGTGAAGGACATTGCCCAGCATATCAAGCGAACTGTCAGACTCCCCGACCCGACCGCGCGCATACCTCCATGCCCCCATACCCCCGGCATACTAACAATTCGGATTTAGTTCGATGAGCGCAAGGGGCCTACCTGGCATTGCATTGTTGGGAGGAACTTTGGCAGCTTCGTCACGCACGGTACATACAGCCTTGTCCTGAGCCTCGGCTCAGTCCCCTAAATCCGAAAATCGTGACACTAACGAGACTGGCATCTAGAGACGAAGCACTTCCTCTACTTCTATCTCGGACACTGCGCCATTCTCCTATTCAAGACTCAGTAAGCGAGGTTCTCCGGGGCGATCGCTTGGTATGGGGTAAGGGAAGTTGTGCTTTCCACCTAAGCTGCGAGGACTCAACCGGATGGATACATCACAGTGATGTCTTTATGGGAGCGAAGCGGATGTGTATAAACGTTATTGGCGTAGGACCAGGGTATTACTACAACGGCGCGCGATCTGGTTTCATATGGTGGTTCGGCGAAGGTGCGATATCAAACAACGGAGAGAAGGCTCTAGGGTATCGCAAGGCGCTCTCGAGGGGGATAGCAAGACTTGACTTGATGGAATATCCACGAACCAATGTTGCATTGCACTTCCTGCTACTTTTTGTTACCTCCCGCCACATGCATTTGATGTTCGATACAAGGCGAAGTAGAGTATTTGAACTCCTTGAGTGTTCATTTGTCCTAATTTGGCAGGTGACCATCCAAAGTGAACCTATGCCTCACTTCAATGTAGATTGGCTGCCTTTGCCTCTAGACTCTAGTTGCCAGCAGCCCTGACAGGGCCCTCATGCACAATCTCCCAGGTTGACAGACACTCGAGAAGATCCGTACTCTGACTTGGCTAAAGATATCCGGGTTCCAGGACGACGAGACAATGTCATGATGGAACCGCCTTCCCATCCTGAGACATTCTCAAAAAAAGAGATGGAGACTTGTCTCAATATACTCTCCACCACTCGGTATCGGCGAATAGCTTCTTTAGGCTTCGGTGCGACACTCCGGTGAGCGAGAAAGCAGATGGCCTATGATTTAACGGCGTACATCCATGCTTGTATAAATTGATTCGTCTCTATTCGCAGCAATTCAGTATTTCCCAAAATAACACCCACCCCTCATTCGTCTCCTCCATCGTTTAAATAGTTCGGTCGAATAAATGATCGAAATTTTTCTCAGTCAAATAGTGTAGCACCCGTACATCGTCCACCCTTCCTCCCAGGCCAAGTCTGTCCTCGGAGTGAAATTTCCCGGGTTTCGAAGACACTACTTCGTAGTTCACTAACACCCCGCATTTTTCACCTCCACATTTTCGCCTTTCTCCCGTTCCGTTTATACAGGTCGAGGTAGTGTGTGGTGTATGTAGTATAGCTTCTGCACTAAAATAATGCCACCCAGAATGGTTCTTTGAGCCAGAATCTAATGCTTGGGAAGAGAAGAATGATCCTCGCCCGGGTACCTGGGATAGTCTCTGGTTCGGCTGAACTCATGGAGGAGAAGATGAATTAAGGCGGTATGATCGCCCAACTTAAGGATTACTGGGTTGGCATTTGAGTGGCTAGCTGCTTGCAGATTTGTAGAAAGGCCCACGAGTCATTCACTCCGGGGACGTTTTTGATCGGTGTTTTCGTCCCATCTTCTTTTTGTACGGGAACTTTGGACGAAGATTAAGGAAGGGCAGTCGATCAGAAAAGTGTGCCAAACAACTTAAACCCGGCGCACCGTCTGCTTTTCCGCCACTTGAATGCCGGCTTCTTCACACGGCAATGTCCTGAAACCCGGATTGGCCCGGGAAAGGATTGATCCCATCTTACATTTTACGTCAATTGATGTGTGGCAGACAAGAAATTCCATTCGCTCACGGCGGGATCACTGCCAGGCCGCTCTGGGCGAACACGAGGAGAATATTTCCCTGATCCTCACCCCAAAGAGATGCGCACAAAGGACGCCGACTCTGACAGGCACGTTCCACAAATTCAAATTCATGTATTTCACTTGCCCATATTCCGGGTATTTCCATTGGGTGTCATCCGAGATTGATAGAAGGAGGGGTGGCAGGACCGTCAGCTCCGTGCAGCTGAAGCGGTGATATTATGGGTGGCATCCCAATGGTGAGCCAGCGTCAGGTCCCTTCATCACTTTGTCAGAACCCGAGTCTCTTCGGGGGAATCACCCAAAAGGCCGACGACCAGCGACCCTACGAACGTGATCCCTTAACCTCAAGTCAATGTGCTTCGTAACGCGAGAGGGGCAACGTCAAACTGGAAGGCGCTCTTGCGTGGCACAATTAATATTTCTTCCCAGAGGCCTCGAACCCGTGGAAAGATAATCTAGGTCGAAATACTTCGCTTCCTGTTGCTCTCCTTCACTCCCTTTCTTTTTCTCTGTCAGTCCGAAAAGTATCTTCGAGTTGCTGTTCTGGGCTTGTCTGGTTCCACTTGAGACCTGCATGAGCAGCGAGGAGGGGCGTGGATTTTGCTGCATGTACAGTTGCGTCCTATCCGCCTTGTACTCCGTGCGCAAGTTCTTGCATTCTTACGGCATCCAATTCTCGAAGAATTATCGAAAGTCGTCCCGCAGAAGCATTTTTCCTTGACCGAAGTAAGGTACACCCCTCCTTTCGATGAAAAGATTGAGGATTGAAGAAGAGGATCTAGTCATGTTGGAAGGGGGGAGAACTCGACTCTTGGTTCGTATGAATATCCCCCAGGATTAGGATGTCTCGTCTATTTCCCCCGTCGGAAGGGTGGTAGCGCCCGTTGTCGAAAGAAAATCAGGTAGCCAATTCGCGGGGGCGGTGGGGGGAAGACGATTGAGCTGGGCTGGCGAGATGCCCCCCCCGCCTGACGGCGGTGGTCGTGTGTGGGGAGGCAGGCGTGGGCATCCACCACCCCCCTTCTTAAATACACTAAGTAAACTACGAAATATTGATGAAGTATTGATTATGTTCGTAAGTCCGCGCGTATTTCGCAGATGGAATCATTGCGCACTCACTGTTTCGTTCACTGCACTCATTACTTCGTACTTGTCGGATGTGGTACGGAGGTATGGAGGCACGCGGGAGATACCCCTTCGAGCAACAGCAAGCTTGGCGCCCTTCCCGTGAGTCGGCTAGGCCGTTCTGAGGTTGTTGAGCAGCTGCTAGCGGACTTATCGACCAGACTAGCGCAACCAAGCTCAACCCACGGTCATCGGAGTTGAACTAGTGTGAGGTAGTGTAATAGTGGTATATCAGAGTCTAGACCGGCACTGTCATTGGAGCTTGAACGGAAGAGGCTCGGAAGTTTATCTCTTCACACAAGCACACAAGACGGCGCTATGCTTGGAGGAAAAGTGCGGTGGCTGTGGTTGCTTTGAGTTCGGGGTCGACTCGTGTTGGTCTTCACCAAACAATGCCATGAAAAAGGAGTTCGTAAACCCCTTACGTACATGCGGCCTCATCCTCGCAGACATTAGATGCAATCTTCGTAATAATCCCAAGCCAAGAATAGATTGGACATTAATGGATCCAATCACACTTCTAACAGCGAAGCCGTTTTCCTCTGGTTCATGACGAAGTAAGTGACATCATGCCGCCTTAAACAGCTGACGACGGTTGCAATTAGCTGGCGCGTTGCCCACGTAATGCCTGGTTTACATGAGACACCAGGAAACTTCTGGGACAATCCGAAGTACTTCCACCTTTTGGATCTCCCGCTTCCGTCTGACACACTGCGGGCGAGTAGAGAGTATCAGCTTGGAGTCACCTAAGTAAACGCCAATGTTGTGCCTTGCTAGAAGAGCTAATCGGTCCTACTAGCATCTTCGGGTATAAATAGCGTCTGAAATCCTTCTGAGTGGTAGTATTGATGTCGGCGATGCTTCGATGTTCTTATAGCAGACGCCTTGCTTCGGTGGAACGGCGTACGAGGTGCGTATTTCGTAGCCTCTGATATCGCACGGAGTTCGTCTCCGAGATGTTGCATACAGGGTAATATGGCAGTCCAATCCGCATGTTGGGATCCGCCGGCCCATATGCCACTCTCTGATCCCTTGTTCGCCTGCACAGAAGCGGAACAAACGTGGGGATAAGGAGGAGGAAAGCACTTCGATAAAGCCGACGGTATTCTGAGCCGTGGCAAGGTGATTTTTCTCTGTTGTCGCCCAGTTCATGGCATCACTTCATCTTGAAGATGGCAGCCTCCGATCATTAAGTGTGCTTCCAATTGTCGACAGACGCAATCGTGACTTTGTACGAAGTACCTGTGAAGACGGGTCGAACAAGGGACTGGGGTTTCAGTGAGACCCACGATTAAAATGTGTGGCTTCACCTGAAGCTCCATCCCATCTCACCTGAGGCACAGGGCTAATGTTAGTGTGTACTTCATGGCTGGACCTTGATTTTCTTCCCTTTTCATCCCTCAAGACTCTATTTTTGTACGAGGTCCCATAGGGTAGTGTGAAACCGTCGACAATCCATCAATGGGAGAAGGTTGCCTCGAGAACTTGTCACGTTGCCCTTAATCAATATATCGTACAGGAGGATTACCGAGAAAACACGGACGGGATCAATATCGAAGAAGTTGATTGATGCCCACCTGCCAGAAGTAGGCGGTTTCCACAAATAGCCAACTTACTCATCGGCTTCGAATCGTATCCTCATCGTCCGTAGGCCTTTTTGCGAATAACAGCAGAGCAATCGATCAGTATTCCTCCCTTGAAACAAGGTGGAAGGGGCTGAGCTGAGGCGCAAGCAGGGGTATTCTTGAATCCATCCCGCTCCGGCGAACCAGTAAGAATGACCCGGATGGATCTTGATGAGTGGCGGACTAAACTGAACGGCGTCTGTCACCACTATTATCAGTTGGAGCGCCAGATCAATTGATGCTTTCCCGCTTTCGGCTTTGCACTTTGAAAAACAACCGCCTACAAGGGGGAACTAATATAGCGATGGGACCTGAGTTACAGTAAGCTGAGGCGCATCGCATGGGGTACAACGTGGCTTGAGCTGGGCTGACCGGCCCGGTTCAAGGTTGATGCTGGTCGAATCAGCCGTATCCACCAGTGGGCAAGTTAGTAGCTGTGATATCGGTGGTCGAGCGGCGGAGTACATATAAAATCTCACGAGGAGAATTCGTCTACAAAGCAGAGAGCCTCGCCCCCAACCGTTATTTACAGGGCATCGGACACGGGGCCCTTAGGGGTTCTGTGAGAAATTAGTGTATATCCGACATCGGTTCAATTCACTCTGGTCCACCTTGCAACTGCGACTGGTTGCTCTGTTATTATCGATCCGGTAAGGCT